TGAGCTTTACAAGATGAAAACAGTTCATGGTCCACCAAAAACCTGTTAGAACTAGCAAGCAAATACATTAAATAGTAAAATTACAGGATATGGAACTAACATATAAAAATCAGTCAATGCTTTTATACACTAACAACAAACTATCCAAGAAAGAAATGAAAGCAGTAAAAGCAGGATACTCATTGTATATATGATGTAATCATAATAATTTTGAAGAGCAGAAATTTATGTACAAAAAGTTAATTACCAAAATGTTAGTCTTTTACTTTTTTAGTTGCATTTATTCTTTTTAATTGCATTTATTCTTTTTATAGTATGATACAGATTTTTATATTCTTGATAAATATCCATTGGCTGTAAGACCTTTCTATACCATGCCTGACCCAAGAAATCCTGTAAGTAATTTGGTTTTAAATAACCTGTTTGGGGGAAGAAGAAAAACTATTGTTACTGTGTCAAATTGTAAAATGGGAATAATGGTTTTCATTAATAATTTGCAGTTATGGTAGACATGCTATTATATGTATTACCACTGGTGTCTGTTACTACAGTTTGAAATAATATTGTAAAATTTGAATAGTATAGCAAATTAATCCTTAAAACCTACATTAATAAAGTCATTTTTCTGAAGATTTATGAGGAAAAAAGACTATGTAAATGATAAATGGTACTATTAGATTTGCATATTTTAGCAAATCATCTTATCATTATCCTTGAACTAGGAGTTCACATTATGTCCTGGGAATAAATAATCTAAATAATGTCTTGTGGCCTTTTACAGTTTTTCCATTGCAGTGGTTTCTAAACTTCAATGTGCATCAGAATCACCTGGGCTTTTAAAAACACACATTGCTGGGCCCCATCCCCAGAATTTTTGATTAGTTGCTCTGGAATGGGGCCTGGTAATTTGCATTTCTAACAAGTTTTAGGTAATACTGAAGCTACTGGTCCAGGAATCATGCTTTGGGAACCATTGGTTTATTAAAAGACAGGGGAAGTAAGTTAAAACTGCTGTTATCAAATACCTACAAGGGAACAGGTTAAGCTTTGGTAAATTGACTTTCAATCTGGTTTTCTTAAAGTAAAAAAAGAAAAAAAAGTTTTTGATTAAAAAAGACTAACACCTGGTGGGGCACAGTGGCTCACACCTGTAATCCTATCACTCTGGGAGGCTGAGGCAGGTGGATTGCTCAAGGTCAGGAGTTCGAAACCAACCTGAGCAAGTGTGAGACTCCCCATCTCTACTAAAAATAGAAAGAAATTAATTGACCAACTAAAAATATATAGAAAAAATTAGCCGGGCATGGTGGCGCATGCCTGTAGTCCCAGCTACTCGGGAGGCTGAGGCAGAAGGATAGCTTGAGCCCAAGAGTTTGAGGTTACTGTGAGCTAGGCCGATGCCACAGCAATTACTCTAGCCTGGGCAACAAAGTGACTCTGTCTCAAAAAAAAAGACTAGCACTTGTTGATAACTTGAAGTTCCAAAAGAAATCCAAAAATTGTAAAGCATTTTAGTTGATAAAGTGAAATAAAGATTAGCACTACTTCTTAAAAGTTAGATGTGGTGCAGTGAGTTGTTATTGGAGGATATGAGAGAAGGAGAGCACAAAATCTGATGTAAACAAGAAATTATTAAATAGCCCTCAGCAGTTTAATTCTACTTTACAAAACAAAATTGCATCATTAATTGTAGGAGAAATTGAACTTCATGCGGCAGAGACTTTTTTTCACACATGTGTAATGGAAATAGGCTGATAGCCACTGGAAGAGTGGGGTGTTTTGTTTTGTTTTTCCTGCAGAAACAGTCCAACTCTTATGATATGTTCATGAGAGGAGAAGAAATATTGTCAGGAGCTCAAAGAATACATGATCCTCAGCTGCTGACAGAGAGAGCTTTACATCATGGAATTGGTAAATAACTTAAAGTATATTTAGGAGAGTACATGTTCTGAAAATAACACATTGTGTTATTAAAATTAAATTTTGTGTTACAAAATTAAAGACTTTTTAGAAAGTCTTTTTATTTTTATCTTCATTGAACAGTAATTACTTTTGTAATTTTTTTAAGCTAAATAAGTTGATAAATTTTGTTTTGTTTTGGGTCTTTTTGTAGATTTGGAGAAAATTAAGGCCTACATTGATTCCTTCCGCTTTGGAGCTCCTCCTCATGCTGGTGGAGGCATTGGTAATATTCTGTTATTGCTTACAAATAAGTTCATAAGTGCTAAGTATAATAAAAATCTGAACTATAAAAATTGTTTAAAGCAAGCATGACTTAAGTAAAAATATGATTTCTAAGGGAAATCTGTTTCTAAATGAACAGCTAACTTGCGTGTTCTAAAATATAATTGTATAATTGTAATAAATTATATAAAATATAATTGTATAAAGTTCTAGCCATTCTTTTTCTCTTAAGAGTTTAGAAGCCAGTTGTCTTATAAGTATCCTATTTTCTCTGTCTTAAATTAGCTCAAGGAGCTGCTAAATTTTTTATCGAATTATAACATTTCATTGACTTTAAGACTGCATCTACAGTATATGTAAGAGATTGCTCTGCAATTTAAAATGAGTAAATATTTAAAGCATCTTTGGATGTCCGTAGCAAACACTCTTAAAAAGAATATTTTGAATGTATGGTTTTGTTGAAGTTTTTGTTTGTTGTTTTGGGCATTTTTTGGTGAATAGGCAGTATACTTACAGAAATTTCAAATTAAAAGGATATAAGACAGTCTTTATAACCTTGGTGCAGAGAAAACTGATATCCACTTGCAAAAGAATTAAATTTGACACTTACCTAACACCATATACAAAAATTAATTCAAAATGGTTCAAAGGCCTAAATATAAAACCTAAAACTATAAAACTCTTAGAAGAAAGCATAGGGCAAAAGCTTCACAACATTGGAATGATTTCAAGTTTCAGGTAATACTGAATACAAATGATTTCTTGGATATGACACCAAAGGTACAGATAAAAAATAGACAAATTGGACTTAACCAAAATTAAAAACATTTGTGTATCAAAAGATAATTATCGGCCGGGCACGGTGGCTCACGCCTGTAATCCTAGCACTCTGGGAGGCCGAGGCAGGTGGATTGCTTAAGGTCAGGAGTTCGAAACCAGCCTGAGCAAGAGCAAGACCTCATCTCTACTATAAATAGAAAGAAATTGATTGGCCAACTAATATATATGGAAAAAAAATTAACCGGGCATGGTGGCGCATGCCTGTAGTCCCAGCTACTTGGGAGGCTGAGGCAGAAGGATCGCTTGAGCCCAGGAGTTTGAGGTTGCTGTGAGCGAGGTTGACTCTAGCCTGGGCAATAAAGTAAGACTCTGTCTCAAAAAAAAAAAAAAAAACAATAATTATCGCCGGGCGCTCTGGGAGGCTGAGGCGGGAGGGTGGCTCAAGGTCAGGAGTTCAAAACCAGCCTGAGCAAGAGCAAGACCCCATCTCTACTAAAAAAAGAAAGAAATTAATTGGCCAACTAAAAATATATAGAAAAAATTAGCCGGGCATGGTGGCACGTGCCTGTAGTCCCAGCTACTTTGGGAGGCTGAGGCAGTAGGATCGCTTGAGCCCAGGATTTTGAGGTTGCTGTGAACTAGGCTGACACCACGGCACTCCAACCAGGGCAACAGAGTGAGATTCTGTCTCAAAAAAAAAAGATAATTATCAACACAGTAAAAAGGCAATCCACAGAATTGGAGAACATATTTGCGAATCGTGTATCTGATAAGGGATTAATATCCAGAATATATTATAGAGAACTCCTGAAACTCAACAACAGCAAAATTAGGAATTTCCAAAAAAGTGGAAAAGCAAAGGTTGCTTACTACATACAAAAGTACAGCTAGATAAGAGGAATAAGTTCTAGTGTTCTATAGCACTATTAGGTGACTATAAAAATAATTTATTGTATATTTTCAAATAGCTAGAAGAGCAAATTTTAAATGTTCCCAACACAAAGAAATGATAAATGTTTGAGATGATAGGATATTCTAATTACCCTGATTTGATCATTATACATTGTAATCACGTATCAAAATATCACCTTGTACCCAAAATATGTACAACTCAATGTCAAATTTAAAATAATAATAAAAGCTTAAAAAGAAACTAAAAAGTATTAAAATATTTTTAAATGGGCAAAGAACTTCAATAGACATTTCTCCAAAGAAGGTACAGTATACAAATGGCCAATAATCACGAGAAGATACTCAACATCTCTAATCATTAGGAAAAGCAAATTAAATATACAGTTTAAAAACTAGAAAATAACAAATATTGGCAAGGATGTGGATAAATAGGTGCCCTTGTTAATGTAAAATGATACAGCCAATGTAGAAAACTGTATGACAATTCTCAAAAACTTAAAAATAGAATTACCATATGATCCAGCAGTTCCACTTCTGGGTATATACCCAAAAGAATTGAAAATGGGGTCTTGAAGAAATATTTGTGCAACCATGTTTACAGCAGCATTATTCATAGTATCTAAAACATGGAAGCAACCCAAGCTTTCATTGACAGATGAATGGAAAGCAAAATGTGGTATACACACACACACACACACACTAGAATACTATTCAGTCATGAAGGGAAATTTGACCTATGCTATAAGACCTTGAGGATATTATGCTAAGTGAAATAAGGCAATCACAAAAAGGCAAATACTATCTGATTCTACTTATATGAAGTATTTAAGAGTAGCCAGACTTATAGATGCAGAGAGTAGAATGGTGTTGCCAGGGGCTATAGGAAAGAAGAAATGAGAAACTACTATTTAGTAGGCACAGAGTTTGAGCTTTACAAGATGAAAACAGTTCATGGTCCACCAAAAACCTGTTAGAACTAGCAAGCAAATACATTAAATAGTAAAATTACAGGATATGGAATTAACATATAAAAATCAGTCAATGCTTTTATACACTAACAACAAACTATCCAAGAAAGAAATGAAAGCAGTCCTGTTTACAGTAGCATCAAAAAAAAAAAAAAAAAAAAACCCTTAGGAATAAATTTAACCAAGAAAGTGAAACCTCTAAAACATTGATAAGAGAAATTAAAGAGGATAAAAATAAATGGAAAGATACCCTGTGTTTATGGATTAGATAAGTTAATATTGTTAAAATGTACCACCCAAAGCAATCTACAGATTCAATGCAGTCCCTATCAAAATTCCAATTATCTTTTTCACAGAAAAAGAAAACAATCCTAAAATTTGTGTAAAACCACAAAAGACCCCAAATAGCCAAGGCAATCTTGAGACAAAATAACAAAGTTGGAGGTATCACACTGTCAGATTTCAAACTATACTACAAAGCTATAGTAATCAAAGTAGCATGGCACTGATACAAAAAATAGACACATAGACCAATGAAACAGAATGGAGAGCCCAAAAATAAATCTATAGATTTATAGTCAATTGACCTTCAACAGAAGTGCCAATATAACACACAGTGGAGAAAGTAGTGTCTCTTCAGTAAATGATATTGGGAAAACTGATTACCTACATGTAAAAGAATGAAATTGAACCCTTCTTTCACACCACATATACAAATTGACTGAAAGCAGATTAAAAACTTAAGACCTGAAAATGTAAAACTGCTAGAAGAAAACATAAGGAAAAAGCTTCTTGACATCCATCTGGGCAATGAATTTTTTTATTTTTTTTTTTGGATATGACCTCCAAAGCACAAGCTACTAAAGCAAAAATAGACAAGTGGAATTGCATGAAACTAAAAACTTCTGCACAGCAAAGGAAACAACAGGGTGAAGAGACAACTTCTAGAATGGTAGATAATATTTGCAAACCATACATCTGTGATAAGGGATTGATATCTAAAGTATATAAGGAACTCATACAACTCAATAGCAAGAAAACAGCCCAATTTTAAAATGAGCGAAGGACCTGAATAAATATTTCTCAAAAGAAAATGTACAAATGGCCAATAGGTATACGAAAAAATGCCCAACATCACTATTAGGTAAATGCAAATTGAAACCACGATGAGAATCACCTCACACCTGTTAGAATAGCTGTTATCAAAAAAGGATAGTAAGTGTTGGTGAGGGTGTAGAGAAAGGGGAACCCTTGTTTGTAAACAACTGGTGGGAATGTAAAATTAGAATAGCCATTATGAAAAACATTATAGCTGTTCCTCAGAAAATTAAAAAATAGAACTACCATATGATCTAGCAATCCCACTTCTGGTTTGTATATCCAAAAGAAATGAAATCAGGCTGGGTGCGGTAGCTCACGCCTATAATCTTAGCACTCTGGGAGGCAGAGGTGGAATGATTGCTTGAGGCCAGGAGTGCGAGACCCTGTCTCTACAAAAAATAGAAAAACTGAGCGTGGTGGTGCACACTTTTAGTCCTATAGACCTAGTTACTCACTTGAGCCCTGGACTTGGAGATTGCAGTGAGCTATGATGATGCCACTGCACCCTAGCCCAGGTGACAGAGTGAGACTGTCTCAAAAAAAAAAAAGGAAATCAGTATGTCAAAGAGATCTGTGCACTCTCATGTTCATTGCAGCATTATTTACAACAGCCAAGATATAGAAATGACCTTAGTGGCCAACAACCAATGAATGGTAAAGAAAATGTGGTACAGTTTGAGTGTCCCTTATGCTTGGGACCAGAAGAGTTTCTGATTGGGGATTTTTTCCAGATTTGGGGATATTTGCATTATAATTAGTGGTTGAGCACCCCAAATCCAGAAATCTGAAATGCTCCAATAAGTATTTCCAATGAGTGTCATGTTGGTGCCCAAACAGTTTTAGATTGTGGAACGTTGTAGGTTTTCAAATTAGTTTTCAATCAACCTGTGTATATTTACAATGAAAAAGGAAATCCTGTCATTTGCAGCAACAAGAATGAACCTGGAAGACATGATGTGTAGCAAACTAAACCAGGCACAGAAAGACAGATACTGCATGATCCCACTTATATGTAATATCTTTAAAAAGTTGAATTCATAGAAACAGAAAGTAGAATGGTTGTTGCTGGGCGAGGTGGGGCAGAATGGGGAGATGATACTTGTCAGAGGGTACAAAGATTCAGTTAGGATGAATAAATTCTAGAGATCTGTTGTATAGTATGATAACTACGGTTAATAATGTATACTTGAAAATTGCTTTAAAAGTAGATTTTAAATGTTGTTACCCATAAAAAAATAAGTGAGAAATATTAATTGATTTAATAATTTCACAATGTGTATATATAATATACATATCAAAATGTCACATTGTATATCATAAATATATATAATTTATTTATCAGTTATGCCTCTATAAAGCTGGGAAAAATTTAAAAAAAAATAGCACCATTAAAGGTCATTACATAGGTTTTTTTTTTTTAAGAGATATAGATGGTAGTGATGGTTGCACAACACTTCATGTATCTAATACCGCTGAGGTGTACACTTTAAAATAGTTAAGATAGTAAATTTTATGTTACATGTATTTTAACACAATTTAATTGAAATGGAAAAAAGGTAGAAAATGGTTTGTATTCACCTCCCTACAAAAAACTGTTGTTTCTAGTTTTCTGCTTAACATTGTGAAGATAATCTTTGCATATACAAAAAGACACACATTTTTAAAAAATATTTTTACACAAATTGTAGCATACTATAAGCCATTCAGTGCTTTGCAGTTTTTACTTAATATAAGTTGTTCCTTATCAATAAAGAGCTTTTTTCACTCTTTTTTTAATCTGTAGAGGCCACGGAAAGGATACACCATAATCTTGTTAACTAGCTTCCTGTTGATCTATAGGTTGTTAGCAGCCTTTTATTATTACAAACAATGCTACATTGAATATATAGTTTAGTTTTTTAGTGGGAAATTTAGGGCTGTTTTTTCTTAGAGTATTTAGTAATGTGCATTTTGCATAAATATTTTTTAAATTTCTGTAACAATTTAATATTTTAACCTTAATTATGAAGAAGGAAGCTTGCATAGTTATCAAAATGCCACCTGTTTTTTGTTAATTAACATTTGAAATTTTGTTAATTAACATTTGGGATATGGTGGGGTTTTTTTAGATTAGTCTTAGATCACCATAATACAAGTCTCAAATTTTTATCTGCAGATGTCTTTTGGTAAAGAATAGCGGTAAAAATTTTAGTTCTCTTATTTATATTTACAATATTCCTTTAAAATCTTTAAAATTAAAAATCATTGCTGGCCGGGCGCTGTGGCTCACGCCTGTAATCCTAGCTCTTGGGAGGCCGAGGCGGGCGGATTGCTCAAGGTCAGGAGTTCAAAACCAGCCTGAGCAAGAGCGAGACCCCGTCTCTACTATAAATAGAAAGAAATTAATTGGCCAACTGATATATATATAAAAAAAAAAAAAATTAGCTGGGCATGGTGGCGCATGCCTGTAGTCCCAGCTACCCGGGAGGCTGAGGCAGAAGGATCACTCGAGCCCAGGAGTTTGAGGTTGCTGTGAGCTAGGCTGACGCCACGGCACTCACTCTAGCCTGGGCAACAAAGCGAGACTCTGTCTCAAAAAAAAAAAAAAAAAAAAAAAAAAATCATTGCTATATAAAAATATTTTTTGACCTTGTCTTCCTTGTGTGTCATTTTACTCTTCTAAAACTTTAGTAGATAAATCAAAATGCACTTAGAAGTTTCATTTGCTAGTTCTGCTCTGCTGCTTAGGTGCTACTGGATCTTAATTCTTGTCAGTAATACAGTATGTAAGCCACGTGCCAAAATCAGTCTCTTTTCTACACTCAAAACACTTAGTATAATAATGTACTCTAGAGCATTTTGTGGTAGGAGCTACCATGTTAAATGTCTTTAGAATTAAAATAAATGTTTTGGTACTTCTATTAATAAACATCCTTGAACAGGTTTGTGGCTCTCATCCTCACTGCCTGGTCTACATAATCAGAATCTGATACTATTTGAAACATGCAGGCTTATAAAGTCTTTTGGTTTTTTATCATTTAAATCATAGATTTTGTTCATTTACATAGATTTTTGTGGTTTGTATTTCAGGATCTTTCATTTAGTTCTTTCCACATACAGCAGCATCTCTGTTTCTGAATCAATACCCAAAACATTCAATTTTAGATAAACTCAAAATAATAGAAGTCATTTTCCTTCCTAACAAGGAAAAGTATTTAGTTGAACAATGATATTATTAGTTCATCCTAAGTTACTAAGACCCGGAGAGGTTTTTAGAAAAGGAATTAATGATTATTTTGTTTTCCCCAGGTTTAGAACGAGTGACTATGCTGTTTCTGGGATTGCATAATGTTCGTCAGACCTCCATGTTCCCTCGTGATCCCAAACGACTGACTCCTTAAAGGAAGCCACACTCGTAATTCTTTCCAGTAACCTGCTATTGAACAGGCTATACCTTAGGTACTTAAAATTTGCACTGGAATAAATGTCTTACCTAAAGTGCTACTCTTATTTTTGGAGTAACTTAGTATAGATTAGTTTAAAAGAGAAGATTTTTATAACTTTGGACATGCTTCAGTAAGAAATGCTTTGACATTCTAGTGAGAAATTCATATGGTTGTGTCAAAAATTCATTTTTCAAGGCCTGGTACGGTGGCTCATGCCTGTAATCCTAGCACTCTGGAAGACTGAGGTGGGAGGATTGCTTGAGCTCAGGAGTTCAAAACCAGCCTTAGCAAGAGCAAGACCCCTTCTCTACTAAAATTAGAAAATATTAGCCAGGCATTGTGGCAGTGCATCCGTAGTCCTAGCTACTCAGGAGGCTGAGGCAAGAGGTTCACTTGAGCCCAGTAGTTTTAAGGTTACAGTGAGCTATGATGTTAAGAGTTTTAAACAGTTAAAATTTTACAAGTTTTTTTCTTTTCTATATTACAGTGGCAACAGTATTAATGTCTTAAATTTTCAATATTTGAACTTTTTAAAATTCTGACATTGAAATAAGAATAATTGGGGAAATATTTGAAATTTTAATGAATGTATAATTGGCATATCATGGAAAGTAAGTCAGAAAGTATCAGTTCTTAAAAGTTATGCCCAGAAATTGTGTAAAGCAGGTGAAGAATACTGGTTAGAAAATATTCAATATAATATTGTATTAAATTCTTAAATTCTAAAAGTGAATTTCAATAAAATTTTAAAGTTAATTATAGTTTGTCTTTGTGTAACTTTGGAAATCTGATTTAATAACTGGTTCTTGGCATTTATAATTTGGGAAAAGAAAAAATACACGACTAATTTATGTAAATGCATGAAAAATGATATATTCTTAATGTATTCATTTCAAGATATAAGTTTAGATGGGTGTAAGGATAGAGTTCTTACAGCTGACAGCTTGGTTTGGTTAACAGAGTTCATTTCACATGGATTAAAAGATATTGCAGGCCAAGTGTGGTAGCTGATGTCTGTATCCCAGTGTCTCAGGAGGCAGAAGTGGAAGGATTACTTGAGGCCAGGAGTTTGAAACCAGCCTGAGCAACATATTGAGAACCTGTCTCTAAAAATATTTTGAAAATTAGCCAGGTATTGTGGCATGTGCCAGTAGTCCCAGCCACTGAGAAGGCTGAGACAGGAGGATTGCTTGAACCCAGGAGTTCCAGGCTGCAGTGAGCCATGATTATGCCACTGCACCCCTGCCTGGGCAACAGAGCAAGACCCAGTCTCTAAAATAAACAAGTAAATAAGTATATGTACATACTTATACACGCACACACATACTGCAGAATTTTCTGCTTCAGTATTAACTGGTACTGGTACTTAGTGAATGTCAATAAAATGCATTCCCATCTTACCCACCAAAAAGAAATTTCTGTGTAAGAGTTACAATTAGGAACACTTTCTCTCTAAATTATTATTATTACAATTATTACATATTAAATAAACATACTAATGTTTATTTTACAGTAAACCACAAGTAATGGCAAGAACAAAACAATGTAATGCAGATATTTTCCTACAAGAAAAGAAAAAATAATGCAGAAAAATAGAATGAAAAAGGAAGTTACACCTGGACCATAAACATCTGCCCATTATTTTTGAAAGTTAAAGGGAACATTATTTAACCATCTAGATTGTGAGCTCTTTGAAAGTAGAGACTTCGTTTTTTATATTTTTCTTTCATATCCTACCAGAATATCTTGAGTGTAGTAGGCACCCTAAAAGTATTTCATAAATACACACCAAGAACAAAATGGACTATTACCCATATTTTTCTATATTATGTAATTGCAGTGCCCTAAAATAGTACAGTAATATTGGTCCTAGTGCTATCTCAACTTTGTATAATTACAACTTCTTTCAAAATAATGTGTGTGTAAAATGATCATCTTTTTTATTATGAAGTATTTCAAACATGCTGACCAAATGAGAACATGTACTCACCATCCAGCTTTATCAAATCTTAACACTCATATTTGCTTCAAATATTTTAGAGATAAGAGTCTCACTGTGTTGCCCAGGCTGGTCTTGAACTCCTGTGCTCAAGTGATCCTCCTGCCTCAGCCATCTGAGTAGCTGGGATTACAGGCACGATTCACCCAGCACCCAGCTCTCAAATATTTTATTTTTTAAGGGGAGAAGAAATTGTGGATATAGTAAATGCTTCTTATGTACCACTATTATATGAATTCATTGTCTTTTATTCTTTTCCATGTTTTTTATATTTTAACTAAATATGTTTATATAAATGTTTAGTATTATCTTGCAGATTTATTTGATATGTGCAGAATAATTTGAAAGACTTGGAATTTCCCTCTTTTTAGTCTTCTAGTGGACAAACATGGTAATCTCTTCATTTATTGGTATTCTTTTTTTTCTAATTATAGTAAAATATATTGGTATTCTTTTATATCCTTCAAAACTATTTTGTTTGGTTTTTGTTTGTTTGATGTTGTTTACTCCCATAGGGATTTCATCAGCATTTTATTCTCAAAATTATCAAAGAATTTAGTACCATTAATGCGGGAGGCAAGCCACCTTCTGTTTTAGCTCTACATCCTTGTCCTTTGTAGACCCAAAGATATTTTAGGTGAATCAGGACAGCCTTGCCGAAGAGCTGCTAATCTTGTGGTGAGAGGAAAGGAATTGGCAAAGTAATTTACTGTTTTTTTGTGGGCAGGATTTAATGTGTACTCTTGAAAATAGATGGTTCCATGTAACAAAATTTAAAAACGTTTTCTAAATGACCCACTTTACCAGATGTAGTGGCTCACACCTATAATCCTAGCACTTTGGGAGGCCAAGGCCAGAGGATTACTTGAGGCCAGGAGTTTGAGACCAGCTTGGGCAACATACCAAGAACCTGTATCTACAAAATATTTTTTTAAAATTAGCCAGGCATGGTGGCACACACCTGTAGTACTACCTACTCAGGAGGCTAAGGTGGAAGGATCACTTGAGCCCAGGAGTTTGAGGTTACAGTGAGCTATGATTACATCACTGCACTCCCACCTAGGTGACAGACAAGACCCTGTCTCTTAAAAAAAAAATTAGCCTGGCGTGCAGTGTGCCTCTGTAGTCCCAGCTACTTGGGAGCCTGAGGGGGGAGGATCCCTTGAACATAAGGGTTCCAGACTGCAGTGAGCTATGATCATGCCACTGCACTCCAGCCTGGACAACAGAATGAGACCCCCATCTCTGAAAAAAAAACAAAAAATTACTTTTTAATTTTTAGTTTATGCTAGAACACCTTACAAAATTTTTTCTATTGGAAATGAGATTACATTTTTAAATTGTTTTAAATTACATTTTAAAATGTAAAACATTACATTTTTAATTGTTACAGAGTAAAGAACACTACTATCAATTTTTATATGTTGCCTGGTTTTATGCAACAATATTCCTGAACTAAGTACTAATAGTACGTATTAAGTCTTAAATATTCCTGCTTTCTCGAATGGCTAAAAAAAAAAAAAAAAAAAAAAGTCTTAAATATTTTCAAAGTAGACAGACAAGTGTGAGAAAAAATAGTATGAAAAGTAAAGAGTATGGATTTTGTAGACACCCTGCCTGGGTTCACATCCTGGCTGGTGTTGCAACTTATTAGCTGTATAACCTTGGGTAACTTGCTTATTCTCAACTCTAATTTGCATACTTCTACCTCAGGGGACTATCATGGGAATTAAAGAGTGTGAAATACATAAAATACTGTCTGGCAGATAAAGAGAGTTTAATCTCTCCCTGTCTAATTCTTATAGCATATTTGCTTATTTCCAAACTTTCTTCTATTCTGTTGATCCATGTATCTATCCTACACCCATACCAGTGTTTTGATTTCTGCAGTCTTAAGTCTTGGAATCAGATAGTGCAAATCCTCCAAACATGTCCTTCTTTTTAAAGATTTGTTTTGACTATTCTAAATCTTTTATGTTTCCATATAATTTTTTTTTTTTTTTTTTTTTTTTGAGACAGAGTCTCACTCTGTTGCCCAGGCTAGAGTGCCGTGGCGTCAGCCTAGCTCACAGCAACCTCAAACTCCTGGGCTCAAGCTGGGACTACAGGCATGCACTACCATGCCTGGCTAATTTTTTTATATACATATATTTTTTAGTTGTCCAGCTAATTTCTTTCTATTTTTTTAGTAGAGATAGGGTCTCACTCTTGCTCAGGCTGGTCTCGAACTCCTGAGCTCAAATGATCTGCCAGCCTCAGCCTCCCAGAGTACTAGGATTACAGGCATGAGCCACCATGCTCTGCCGCTTTTCCATATAAATTTTTAAATTATCTTATCAGTTTCTTCAAAAATCCAGCTAAGATTTTGATTGGGATTGCATTGAATCTAAAGATCGATTTGGGAAGAATTGTCATCCTTAACAGTATATTGTCTTCCAGTTCATCAATGTTAAATAATTACTTTTTCTTCAGTCTTTAATTTCCCTTTTTAGTGTTTTCTAGTTTTTAGTGTTCAGTGTATAAATTCATCACGTCTTATTCTCTTCATGTACTTTAGGAAAGAATGTGTACTCTGCCCTTGTTGAGTGTAATATTCTATATGTAGTGTTATTGATAGTATGTTTAGAACTTCTGTGTCCTTGCTGGTTTTTATTGGCTAATTGTTGTATCAGTTGCAGAAATAGGGCAGTTAAAATCAATTTCACAATTTTGAATTGTCTTTCGCCCTTTAATTCTATAAATTTTTGATTGATATATTTTGAATCACTTTTATTAAGCACATACATTATTGTAACTGTTAAGTCTTCCTGATGAATTGGCCCTTTTATCATAATGAAATGCCCCTTTATAACTCTGATAATGCACTCTCTTGAAATCTGTTTTATCTGATAATAGAGTAATTCCCATCTTCTTATGCTTATTGTTTGCATAAGAAGTGGCACCATCGTAGTTCACTGTAGCCTCAAACTCCTAGGCTCTGTGTCTTTATATTCAAAGTGGGTTTCTAATAGATACCATATAGTTGAATCTTATTAATCTGCTCTGAAAATCTCTATTTTAATTGGAGAGTTTATTCTGTAACATTTGACGTAATTATTTGTGTGGTTGGATATGTATCTGCCATTTAGTTGTTTCCTACTTGCTGCCTCTGCTTTTTGTTCCTCTATTTTTCCTTTCCTGTCATTATTTAAAATGATTATTTAAGTATTTTTTAGGATTTCGTTTTAGTTTTCCTATAGATGTTTTAGCCACACATTTTTGCATTTTTTTAGTGATTGCTCTAGAAATTACAATATGCACATCCTTAACATTTTTTTTTTTTTTTGCTTGTTTTGAGACAGGATCTCACTCTGTCCCCCTGGCTATAGAGTGCAATGGTGTTACCTTAGCTCAATGAAGCTCGAACTACTAGGTTCAAGGGATCCTCCACCTCGGTCTCCTGAGTAGCTGGGACTATAAATGCATGTCACCATGCCCACCCAGCTAATTATTTTGTTAATTTTTTGTAGAAACAGGTGTCTAGCTAGGTTGCCTAGGCTAGTCTGGAACTCTTGGCCTCTTCCTGCCTCAACCTCCCAAGGTGCTGGATTATAGATTGAGCCACTGTGCCTGGCACCATTGTTTCTTATATCTGCATATTCCATCTGAGTGCCTTTTTATTGAAGTACCTATTTAATATTTCTTTAAGTTAGGGTCTCTTAATTATAAACTCTAAAGAGTGCAGCACTCTTGAACATAGTTTTAGCTTAGTATAAAGTTACATTTACTTTAGCAGTTAGCAGTTATTTTCCCTTAGCACTTTGAAATGTTACAGCATTAAATTCTGACATCCGTTGTTACCTATGAGCAGTTTGCTGTCAGTCTGTCTTTCCTTTGTAATTCATCTCTTTTCTTTGGTAGCTTTTAAGTTGCCTCTTTATCCTTGATGTTCTACCAGTTCCCTTGATCAGTTTGATAGTTACTTGTCTTTGCTCAGTATTCAGTGTGCTTTTTGTTGAGGACCATTGTCTGTTTTCAATTTTAAAAAGTTCTCAGCAATTATCTCTTTAAATATTGCTTTTTTGAAACTCCAGTTAGATAAATATTGGGCCTCTCAACAATTCTGTCTCATATTTTTCACTTTTGTCTATGTGCTGTGTTCTGGATGAGTTGCTCAGTGCCATCATCTAATGTGTATAATTCGTCAAATATGCCTAGTCTAAAATTAAGCCAATTTGTTGCATTTTTTTATTTCAATGACTATATTTTCCATATCTAAAATTTCTAATTAGTTTTATCTCTTATGTGCCTATTTTTGTTTATATATTCTTTGGTGGCAATTATGCCATAATTTATGTCTTTCAATAAATTCTTTATGAGACTCTCTAACAAAATACTTTTCCTATGTCTTGTTTTGTTTTGGTCTGTTCTTGTGTGTCCACATGAAAGGGTTATCACATGTAACTCACTGGACCATCTTGAGGTAGATGCCTATAATATAAAAGAAAAAAATAATATTTAAACAGTGACTAGATGGTGTTGCCCAGCATAGTAGGGTTTTTTTGTTGTTTTTTTTTTAAGACAGAGTCTCGCTTTGTTGCCCAAGCTAGAGTGAGTGCTCATAGCAACCTCCAACTCCTGGGCTCAAGCAATCCTTCTGCCTCAGCCTCCCGAGTATCTGGGACAACAGGCATGTGCCACCATGCCCGGCTAATTTTTTCTATATATATATTAGTTGGCCAATTAATTTCTGTCTATTTATAGTAGAGACGGGGTTTCACACTTGCTCAGGCTGGTTTTAAACTCCTGACCTCGAGCAATCCGCCCGCCTCAGCCTCCCAGAGTGCTAGGATTACAGGCGTGAGCCACCGTGCCTGGCCCAGCATAGTAGTTTTTATGCCATACTAAGTTGTTGCCCAGTTCAGATATGCAGTGACTGAGGCTCCATGGGAAGTTCTCTCTTCAGCTGTTGCATAGAGCAACAAAGTGTTCTGCTAGGGCACAAATATGTACTGAGGCTTTTGTCGTGGACTAGCTCTTGGGTAACTGCCTGTGGTTCCAATTTTTTCTTTTTCTCTTTGATTTACCTACAGGTAGGAGCACTTTGCTAACTCAAGTTAGCACCTGTTAAGATTTTAACTGATATTTTTAAGTGAATGTTATGTAGTACATTACTATATAGGTGGTTTAGATAAGAATGTTTTTCAACAAATACAGGCTCCTGCAATTTCTAGAAGTATGTAGACCATTAAAATAGCCTGTTTTCTTCTTTCTAAAGCCATTGTTATAGACTTCTAAATGACACTGTCTTTGGCACTAACTGTGGAGATAATACAACATTTTCCTAATTTTTGTTTCAGTTCAATCTGCTGGTGCTTGAGGATTTCTCTAGACTTCGAGTTGTATTTGTTATCTACTGCCCAAGTTTCTCAAAATTCATATATACCTGGATTAAAAGAAACATTTTTATTTTGCCATCTTCTGCCAAATGTCAACATGTACACATAAGACTGGTTAACTCACCACTTAGAGTAGCCCTTTGTTCACTGTGTGATATCTTACATTACCTCATCAGTATGACAGAACCCACATCACATCACAGAACCCATAGCCCCGGTGTTCTGACTCTCTCCGGATGGATGCATCTGTCATGTCTTCCCTTTGCTCAGCCATAAAATGTCCTTTCATCTCTTGAGACCCTGGCAAAGCTCCTTCAACCCTCTTTCCCCAGGCCTGCTTACAGGAATGACTCTTCTGCTCCCAAAGCTGCTCAGGATCTTCCAAGTACTCACCTATCCAATTGACTATACTGCAGGTTGTTCAATCCATAAAAAACTTGACCGTCTTACTATCAAGACCACATGGTTTTGCACCTAATTTTTCTCTAAAATTCCTGTTACTTTGTTTCTTCAACTGGGTTAAAACTGAGTTTTAAACAATTTGGTATAGCAATGTGGAATCAGAATACTTTAAGTTCAAATCTTGACCTGACAGCAGGTGTGTAATTCTGAGTACAGAATCTACACCTGTACAGTGGAGTTAACAATGCCTACCTTGTAACATTGTAAGGATTAAATCAGACAGGTGAAAACTCTCCTACAGTTCCTGGCATATAAAATGTATTCACTGAACAGGTATTATTGTTAATGCTAAGGGCAGGGACCACATCTTAAACTTTTTATAGTCCCATATTCATAGCATAATAATGAGTATATGGCATGTACCTAATATAACTTACAAACTGGTTAGTTTCAGGAGTTCAGAGATGAAGCTGTAAACAATAAACTCAAGATAAAATTTATTTACACTAGCAGTTTTAGTTTTATATTCACATCTGACTTGTTCTGTGTACCTTTAAATCTGGCAATATGTGTATATATTTACTTGAAAGACCAAAATAAGAACCACAAGCCTTTAAAAATAAGCTGTCTTGCTAAGAGAGGTAGCCACCAGTTTGCGAAGTCTTAACAGTTTTCCTCTGTGCTCTTCCTTCAAATCCTTATTTGTATCTTGACCTAATTAAAATGAGCCACCAGGCTCTTGGTTGCTGCCCTAAGAGTTAAACTGGTGACTACCCCTGTTTCTCATGGATCAAGATGTCATCACATCCCTAGAGCAAGGAAATGCTCTATCTACTTTCAACGTCAGTAATCTTTATGGAACTCTTTTTCCAAATAACCTTTTAAAACCTTAATCTCTTAAAGATGTTCAACTTCCCTGATAATCAAATTGAAACAACAGTGAGATATCAAATAAGCAATGATGATAAAATATGCTTATAGTTCACCACAGGATGGAGAACTGGAAACTTTGAGCCACTGCTGGTGGAACCTTTCTGGCAGGCAGTTTAGCAGGGTGTATCAAAAAGTGAATGTGCATATCCTTTGACCTAGTAATCCCATACTCTTAGAATTTATCCTAAGAATACAGATGCACAAAAAAGATGTGTATGAGGATATTTATTACAGCATTGTTTTTACCAATAAAAAAAAATTGCCAACAACGTAAAATGTCCATTAGTAGAGAATTAAATAATGCTATATCCATATTATAGAATGCTAATCAGCCATTAAAAAGCACAGTACAGGCAGTCTTCACTTTGCACAATTGTGTGGGACTTTAATGATCAGGAAAACCGAAACTATGCATGCAAAGCAATGTTAACATCCAAAGGGCAAAATAAGATTATTCCATGATCTTTAAAAATTTTTGTCAAACATTAAAAATTCCCTTACTGTTGGTTATAAGAGTATAGAAAAATGAAAAAAATAGTAAAACTAATATTTATTTAGTGTACTGTAATTTAAAATTTTAGAAACATTGAAAAGTAGTTTATGCCTTTGTAAAGAATATTTGCAAGAGTAATGTGAACAATACTTCCCTTCTTGTGTAGCTTTCACTGTGGAGTAACCATTTCTCCTGTGCTTTGGTGAATTGTCATATTCCATCCTAAATTCAGATCAGCTTTCAACATTTTGACCTCTGTACTTTTTTTTTTTTTTTTTTTTTTTTTTTTTTGAAACAGGGTCTCACTTTGTTGCCCAGGCTAGAGTGAGTGCCATGGCATCAGCCTAGCTCACAGCAACCTCAAACTCCTGGGCTCAAGCAATCCTACTGCCTCAGCCTCCCAAGTAGCTGGGACTACAGGCATGCGCCACCATGCCCGGCTAGTTTTTTCTGTATATATTAGTTGGCCAATTAATTTCTTTCTATTTATACTAGAGACAGGGTCTCGCTCTTGCTCAGGCTGGTTTCGAACTCCTGACCTTGAGCAATCCGCCCGCCTCGGCCTCCTAGAGAGCTAGGATTACAGGCGTGAGCCACCGCGCCCGGCCTGACCTCTGTACTTTTAAAACCATGAAATATCTCAGATATTTTAATGTGAACCTTTTTGCTATTATCACTTACTCTAGGACATCATCCTTTCCATCACAACCACTTTCCTCATCTATGTCAATAAGTTTGTCTTCACAAGGTTCCTGTGGCTACATAATCTGGAGTTTGTCAAAAGGTGGCAGAGTCAACACTCGCATAGTCAGCTTTTTCTCTTTAACAACAATTACGTTTGATCAGATTTCACTTCCGGAATTATCACTTTGTGTTTCTTTGCTGCACTGTCATCCTTGTTGGGTAATTCCCTCTTTTGAATAACTTTTTTTGTAAAATACCACATGGCTTCCTCAGTGGGAGACAAGGAGGCAACACAACTATACACTTTGTGAATGAACTAAATGTGTGCAGTGACCAATCACTAACAGATTTTTAAAGAAGTGACAACGGATTTTTAAAGAATCTAGTCACTGATCATGATACACACCAGTTATTTCTGGAGTGATTTGTGTGTGACCTGAAGAGCTAACAGTGAGGCTTGTATTTTATGCCATCACAGTTAATATACCATGGTAACTGAAATTTGAACTGTGTTGGGGAGCAGATGTAATCTAACTAAACAGTATATTCATTGTCATTGAAAGCTCTTCCTTTGAGCTGGACATTCTCCACTTGCCCTTCCCTTTCCCACTCACTGGCCTTTTCCACTCTGCTGTGTACCCTTTCCCACTCACTTCCCTTTTCCACTCTGCTGGCCAGCCTCTATGGATGCATCAACCAACCACCTTCCCAATGGCTTCTAGTTGGGTCTGGTCATTGGAAGCCACTAACAGAACAGATGGAGGGAGAAGAGAAAGATCAGGATATTTATTATATTTTCCTTCTTTGCTGGATTACATTTTGGCCATGGATGCTTTCCTTGCTTGAAGGCCACAACTCCCTCTCTACAACTATATAGCTTCTTTTCAGCCTCCATAGCTGCTCTCTTTGCTCCTTCAGACCTAGAGGTGGTAATCGTTTCATCCTACAGCTGATAGCTCTAGGGCACTTCTCCCATTCCTTTCTGGTTTCCTTTATAGCTTCCTGTATTTTTGTTTATGACCACTTCAGAAAACTCTTCAAGCATGCTCCTTTGAGTGTGCTGTATGTTTCCCACCAGGACCCTGACCTAGATAGCTACTGTGCCACACTGTTTAGGGAAAGTTATATATATCCAAATATGTAAATGTACTCAGAGGTCTGAAAGGATAGAAACAGCAACATTTTTAAGCAGTTGCCTTTTTCCCATCTGCTTGTAAAGATAAGTAGATCACATATGTTGATGGATTATTTGGGCTTCAAAATAGTTATTCATTTTTCTAATTTAGTCAGATTTATTATAGAAATTTCCAAATTAACTACTCTGCTTTTTAACATATTCAGTCAGATATATCTTTGGATGAGTGCTCTTATAAATTGTTCTAACAAAGAAGAGTTGATCATGCAACAATTCCTATTAAGGAATTGCTGATCAGAGGCAATTTTCTGAAGTTAAATAAAATTAGCTGTTGTATTCTTTCTTTTTTTTTTTTTTTTTTTTTTTTTTTTTTTTTTTGAGACAGAGTCTCGCTTTGTTGCCCAGGCTAGAGTGAGTGCCGTGGCGTCAGCCTAGCTCACAGCAACCTCAAACTCCTGGGTCAAGCATCCTTCTGCCTCAGCCTCCGGTAGCTGGGACTACAGCATGCCCACCATGCCCGGCAATTTTTATATATATATCAGTTGCCAATTAATTTCTTTCTATTTATAGTAGAGACGGTGGTCTCGCTCGTCGCTCAGGCTTGGGTTTTTGCAACTCCTGACCTTGAGCAATCCGCCCGCCTCTGCCTCCCAAGAGCTAGGATTACAGGCGTGAGCCACAGCGCCCGGCCTGTTGTATTCTTTCTTAAAGAGAGTAACTCAGGACCTGCTTTATGTCCTAACAGACTCCTACATCTGGACTGTCTCTGGGTCCAACTGGGGATAACTCACATTTCCAGTTTGTAGGAAAACCATTGACATCTGCATTCAGCTTTAGTGCTGCTGATTGGTTATTGGCCATAGCCTCCACATGTCCAACTTGATGTTTCCTTCAGAATCAGACCCAGTTGAATTTTCCAGTTGTGAGAAGCATTAAAATGCTAATTTTAATTTTAAAACTGCCACTAGAATATTTAACATGGCAACATGATATGGTGGGGCTAAACATGTATACAAAATGAATTTTAAAAATGTCTGTGTGGCTTTATCATTTGAAATGCTGAGGATTCTGGAGGATTATTTCTTTGTATTTTAAGGTGATACAGGAAAGTAAAACATTTCCTGAATGTTTTTAAGGAAAACATTAAAAAAGTATAAAATGGCATCCTAAAGGAAGATCTATTCACTGGAATTTCTGGTCTTTGCCTTTCTGTTTCTACAGCAGTACCTGCAGAATGCACAGTGCTAGCTTGATATTTGCAGATTAAAGAGAGATTTCTTTAATAAATAATATTTTACAGTGCCCTACTTTTTATAAGACATTCAAAAAGTGTCACAATAATAATAATTTCCTAGTTTTCATTTTCCAAGTCCAGAATACATGGAACCAATAACTATTGGACAGAACCTTCAAAGAATACTCTTCTGACCCATCTACATGGAGTGCTGTCAGGTTTGAGGGATACCAGAACAGGAGAGGGTTCTTGAGCAAGTCCAGGCTGTGGTTCAAGCAGCAGGACCCTATGCTACTATAAGTATCTGTGGTGGGAAACAAATGCCATGTGGAGTTCATAGGAGACCCCAATAGGAAAATCACAACATAAAGCCCCTTGGTTCTGGAGGAAAGCTACATCATCTGCAGCAGAGAACTATACACCATTCAGAAAAGACCCTGCCTAGCTATAGGGCCCTGGTGGAGATAGAGCACCTGACCATAGGATATAAAGTGACCCAGCAGCCAGATTTTCCCATTGCGTTCTGGGTTCTGTCAGACCCACCAAGTTATAAGGGCCAAAAGCAATCCATCATGAGATAATAGTGTTACACTTAGGATTGGGCATGACTTGGGACTGGGCATGAGTAGAAAAGGGCCAGTAAGCTGGGTAATCAGGACTCCCAGAGTTCCATGTTGTCACCATTGTTGCATCAGTTCTCCTCAGCTCAAACATGGCCACATTTGGGGGTGGTGGAGGTGGGAACAAAAGAGTCTCCCTTAAGACCAGCTGGCAGAGGAGGGAAAGGACCGTGTTTGGTTCACAGTTGGGCTGACTTGGTAAGTGGCTGCTGCTGTTATACTAGAACCACTCAAGAGTGGCCTTGAAGGACTTAAAATCCTCCTAGTGGGCAGTGCCTTACGTTATCTATTTTGTATGGAAAGAGAAGTGGCCCAAGATAAGAATACACACACATTTGTGGACATTGGCGAATGGCTAGGTTGATTAGTCCGAGGCCTGGAAAGAGAAAGATTGAAAGTTTGGGGATAAGGAGGCTTGCCAAAAAAGCATGTGGATGGAACTATGGGAGTAGGAACAAAATTTAAAGATTTTTGTATCATCTGTTAATGACCACTGGAGAATATCCACCGTGGATGAGGCACTCACTGGTGGTCATCAGTCACTGAAAGCCTGGCACAGTAGTCTCGTGGAAGTAGGCAGGTGGTAGAGATAGAAGGTAAGGGCCCAGCATGAGTTTCCAGTCACTGACACTGAACTAATAATTCTTACTGCCAAATGTCCTATCTGCCAGCAATAGAAATCAATACTGAGCCTCCAGTATGGCACCATCCCTGAAGGAAACCAGCCATTCACTTAGTAGCAAATTGGTGGCACTGGACCCTTCCAACCTACAGCAGCAATTCACCTTAAGCAGACTCAACACATTCCAGGTATGGGTTTTCCTTTTCTGCCTGAAAGGCCTCATCTAGCAGCAGTATCCCAGGGCTTACAAAGTTTGATGCGCCATCACAGAATCCCACACAACAACTTAGTACGGTAAAGCCATAGGCATAATACCATGGGATGGAGGTACTGATGGAGGAGGCTGGCTCGTGGTTAAACACCTGTCTGTGATCTTTCAGGCCTGACCACAGACCATAACGAAGACTTTACCTGGCATGCCTCACAGGGAAAGCTGCTCTCTCCACTCCAGACTTGGTGCACAGCCAGTGCAGTGTGGTTTCCAAGGGAGTTGCAGGCAAGGACTCAGGATGCCATGGCCAGCCATGCTCTTCCCATATTTACATTCCTACCCTGACATCTTCGTTCCTGGGTCTCTATCTGAGGTCCTCTTTATGTGCCTCTGCCAAGGCCTCCTTACAGAGGGAATGAGGGAGAACCTTTAAGACACTTTTCTCCACTCTGACTCAGCACCCAGAACTTTCCTACTCCTCTCTCCTGCTTCAGGGTCCCTAAAACTGCCAGAGCCTTTTGCCTGAGCCCCCTACATCTGTGCCAATGCACCTGATCCTCCACCACTGTGCCATTTCATGGCGGAAATGAAACACAGGAGTCAGCGCTTTTTCCAGCTCTAAACTCTTGCTTTTATCATCACAGTAAGTGATTAAAGCCTTCACTCTTCCATTTTGGGCTTGTTGCTTGGATCAGCTACTCTGACAGCTCTCCCAGCTCTGCTGAGCTCCTGACACTGATCCTGTTACATACTGTACCAACCAGGAGCTTTAAGTCTCAGAGTGACAGAGGAGCATTTTGAAAAGAAACATAAAATGTTAACAAATATTATTTATGTGTGGTACAATTTGGGGTGGTTTTTATTGTCTTTTTGCTTCTATTCTTGCTTTTCTTCAATGAATGTGCATTCACAATTGCTAAAATTATAATTTCCTATAAAATAAGGAATCAATGGTTTTTGGCTCCCAATAGATTATCTCTTTTTAGAGTAATTATCCTAATTAAGAGCCTTCATTTCTACTCTTACATTTTGATGCCACTTTACACTTTATGTATTTTGGTATAGTTGCATATTACTCTGCAAATTGTAGTTGTATTCATTCATATCCTGCCTCCATTGTTGCATTGTATGTTTTTCATCACCTTATCCACAAACATGGCTGTCCACTTTATGACACCCCAACAGAGGATGGACTGAAGGACAGGAGGAGATGACTAAAGGACAGAAGCCACACACATGATGTATCACAGAAGGAACCTGTAACAGCACAACCTCAGCCCTTCGTCCCTGTTTCTTCTCCTTAACCAATCCCCTGCCAAAGGATATAGGTTAGGTTATTTCCTCCCACCAACCCAGCCCCCAGTAGAAACAAGTGCAATTAACATCTTCATATGTATAAATTTCTGGAAGGCCTACTCCTAGGTGAAAGGGTGTGAACATTTTCATAAACTGCCAAATTGCTTTTCAATTAGGTTGTAGCAATTTAATTCTCTTAACAATGCACATGGTATTTTAATTTTAAGTGAAATAAGAATCTTAAGGCAAATGGATAAAGTTCTGACCTTAGAATTACAGGCTGTAGTCTGTCAGTGGGAAAGGATTATTCAAGCATTAGAAGGTTCCTGATGTCCCTAAAATCTCAGCCATCCCCAAACTTTGCTCCATTCATTCATTTATTACATTTGCTGTACAACAAATATTTATCAAGTCCTATGTCAGATACCATATGACAGATACTCTGTCAGATACCATGATAGGTACTAGTGATATCACAGTAAATAGAACAGACAAAAGTCCCTGCTTCTCATGGAGCTTACAGTCTTAGGGGCCCAAGCACACTGGAGCACACTGAAGACTTTGATATAATTCATTCCTTCTTGACTTTGAGCCTCAACGAGTAAATTATTTCACTTATAATTTAGAGCCCAATAATTACCCACTGTTTCACAAACACATAAAACGCATCTCTTTGGCTTGAGATTGAAAACGAAAATTTCATATCCCATACTTCAAGACATGAAAAGAGATTCATACTCTTTATATGCAGTTGTGGCAGGCTGCACAGGCACCATGGGTTGACCACATCTTTCATCAGCCCCAGGAGACATCCTAGGAATAAATAGCAGACCGGTTTGTTGACAGGTGGCCAGAAAAAGATGCATTTGCAAACAGTTCAGGTGGAACTAAGTGAAACACTTTTCTGATCTAAATGCAAATTATTCTTAAGTAATTAAACAAAAGGAAACATGAAACAAAAAAATAAAAAGAGCCCATGTTGCTCTTAGCAGCTGCAGAGAGGATTGTATGAATGATGGCAGCTTTTTAGAAAGCATTTCATTGCACGGTATGTGGCAGGCAACAAGGAAGGCTAGTCTGACTCCTAGTATGACTTTATGAATAAAATGTCCAACCTAGTATGACTTCAACTATTAATAAAATGTCCAAGGGTAGGGTGTGGGCGGGGTGGTTGTTATGTTTCTAATTAAGAGGATAGAAGAGGAGGGAGAAAAGGAAAAATAGGAAAGAAAAGAGTGAGGCCTTTTGAGAGGACGAGGTAGAATCTGGTTATCAAACTGCTCCCAGATGCCTTGTGGATCCATTCTTAGTGCACCAGAGTTGTGAATACCCTGGAAGCACTGTCAAGTCAGAGGCTCCTAAAATACATGCAGGTGGTCAAGTCCAGTAGGCAGACAGAATCTGGAGCTGGTGACGGGTTGAAGGATACAGGGCCTCAAATGAGGGAATACATACAATTGCAGATACAGTACAGTACACCAGCAATGACCATTTTGATTAAACCCTGTAAATATTAACATCTCGTGAATAGTGTCTGTGTACATGTGTGTTCAAAGAATTATTTGAACTTTTGTCCACTCTGTTTGGCATTAAAAAAATCTTTAATATTCTAGAAACCTCAAAAAGTGGAAGTGGTCCGGGTTTCTGTTAATGTCTTGGAGGCCCCTAAAATAGTACTGGTTGGTGAAAAACTTTTCAAAGTCATTAGCTCTCAGGCGTTAATTAAAACCAAAGGAGTGTAGGTTGCCTGAGAGAACTGCTCTACCGGGGAAGGAACTCTGGAATTAGGACATTTACGGGAGCCGCAGAAGAAGAGGCGCCTACAAAGGATGGCCAAACCGGGGATGGCCAAAGAGATGGGACAAAAATCAAGTGAAACGAAGTCGGGCAAAGATGGCCGAAGAGGGGGCGAGAACACAGGGAGAACGCAAGCCAATAGTGCGTTTTAAGAGGGGGATTAATCAAAGTGTCAACTATTTCGAAGACTTTCCTCGGCCACCGGAATAATGCTCCGAACTCCCCCAGGCACTGTTTGTACATCTCTTTAACTTTTTTTTTTTTTTTGAGACAGAGTCTCGCTTTGTTGCCCAGGCTAGAGTGAGTGCCGTGGCGTCAGCCTAGCTCACAGCAACCTCAATCTCCTGGCTCAAGCAATCCTTCTGCCTCAGCCTCCCAAGTAGCTGGGACTACAGGCATTCGCCACCATGCCCGGCTGATTTTTTCTATATATATTAGTTGGCCAATTAATTTCTTTCTATTTATAGTAGAGACGGGGTCTCGCTCTTGCTCAGGCTGGTTTCGAACTCCTGACCTTGAGCAATCCGCCCGCCTCGGCCTCCCAGAGAGCTAGGATTACAGGCGTGAGCCACCGCGCCCGGCCTCTTTAACTTTTTTACAGGGTTTTATCCAGTGGTTTACAGCTTATTTCCTCCAACTAGACAGCGAAAGCAGGTTTGAATCGCAATCATTTTTCTCTTCCATAGAGCGTTACTCCTGCTCCAATAGTATCAGTATAACGATTTGAAAAACTTTTGGAAAACCACCGGACAAGGATCCGACCTTTTTAACTCGCTCCAGCAGCCAAAATACCCTCAGGACACGACCACACTGCGCAGACGCAAAGGCAGAACCCCAGTCGCCCCGGGGAGGGCTTTGCATTTGGCGCGAAATCCGCGCTCGGTGGGCGGGGCCCTGGGAGGAGCCGCCGTTTATTGGGCAGGTTTGGCGCGAAGTCCTCGACCTCCCGTGCCACGATTGGCTCCGGCCGCCCCGGTCGGGCGAGGGGGCGGGGCGGCGGCGGCGCGCGCAAAGCGGCGGCGTAGGGTGAGGAGCGGCTCGTGGCGGTGGAGCGTGGCGGAGGTGGTCCTTCGGCGCTAGGCAGCGATGGACCTCGCGGCGGCAGCGGAGCCGGGCGCCGGCAGCCAGCACCTGGAGGTCCGCGACGAGGTGGCCGAGAAGTGCCAGAAACTGTTCCTAGATTTCCTGGAGGAGTAAGTCGGCGAGCGCCCTCCCCCCAGCCCCCGCGCCCTCCCCTCCGCCGCCGCCGCCGCCTCCCGAGCCCGCGGTCTCCGGCCGAGCCGGGCAGTGTGGCCGGCGCGCGTTCGGGAACCGAGGGGGCGCGCGCCCGGGAAGGGCGCCCTTCCCCGCCCCCAACTTCAGGCTCCCGGCCGAGGGGCCTGGGGACTTTCGTGAGCGGAAACCATCTTGAGCTCTTCCTCAGACGCTTGTGCGCAGCACCCGGTGGTCAGCGCTTTGCCTCTGCCGTTTATCGCTCCCGACCCGGTGGTGACGAGTAACTGGTCACTGGGCCGCTCGCGCGGCGGGGTGCAGCGGCGGGCGGAACGGGCACTGAATCCTGGCAAATCCCTGCCGCTCCAGACGGCCAGGAGCCTGGTGCTCGGGGCACCCGGGGCCCGGGCCACCCTCGGAGCCTGTGCGGATGAAAGTTTTAGCGTGAACGGTGTGGTTTGATAGCTGCTCCGAGGTCGGGGGGAGCCCTGCCCTGCTAAGCTTACCTGAACGTACCCCTTGTTCTGCGTTCCTCTCTCTCGCTGCATCCCTCCATTCCTTTCTTTCCCCCTCCTCCCCTTTTTTGCCTTCTAAGGCTCCTGGCCTCCCAGAACCCCCGTCCCTGGCTTGTTCCACCCACTAGTTACTTTTCTTGGATAGTGCAGATACACCACTGCTCTCCCTTAGAATGTGGACTCTGCTGCCTCCAGGATGAAGTGTGAACACTTTGAAATGTCTTATGAAATTTTTAAGTATACAGTTCAGTGTCATTAAGTGTGTTCACCTTGTTGTGCAGCCACCACCCCTCTCCGTCTCCAAAACACTTTTTGTCTTTCCAAAGTGGAACTCTGTGCCTATTAAACACTAATTCCGTTTTCCCCCTGCTCACAGCCACAGGTACCACCATTCTACTTTCTGTCACTGTGGGTTTGACTACTCTAGGTGCCTCGTATAAGTGGAATCATACAGTATTTGTCCTTTTGTGTTTGGCTTATTTCACTTAATGTAATGTCTTCAAGGCTCACCTATGTTGCAGCATGCATCAGAATTTCCCTTTTAAGGCTAAATTCACATTGTATATACAGGTTGAATATCCCTTTTCCAAAATGCTTGGGACCAGAAGTGTTTCAGATTTCGGATTTTTTCAGATTTTGGAATGTTTGCATTATACTTACCACTTACATCCTTAATCCGAAATGCTCTAGTGAGCACTATTTCCTTTGGAAATCATGTTAGCACTAAAGAAGTTTCGGGTTTTAGAGCATTTCAGATTTTAGAATTAGGGATACTCAACCTGTGTATATGCTGCATAAATTGCTTATCCATCTATCAGTGGTCAACAAACCTGGGTTCCTTCCACCTTTTGGCTATTGTGAATAATGCTGATGTCTTAGGAAATTTTGAAATACTTAAAAGCATAATTTGATTTCTATTTCCCTGCCTTTGGCAATGTTATTCTTTGCCTGGCAGCTCCTCGTCCTTCAAAACCCAGCTCACACCTTTGTGAAACCGTATAAACCTTTTTGGACAGCACTAATACTTTTTCCCTTAGGTTTCCAGAGTGCCATTTATCACATATATATGGCAGTGTGATTTATTACAGCTTTACTGTCAGCCACTTGATCTGAAATGTGAATCCCATCCTCAGCCCCATCTAGCCACCACACCACATTACAAGGTCCTCAGTAAATGCTTCATTTCAACAAATAATGTAAGTGCCTTCACTTTACCTTGCAGCTAGATGCTGGGGGTAATGATAAACAAGATAAATAATCCCTGTACTTGTTTTTGTAAATGCCAACTCCCTCCCACAAAATCAACTTTAGTTTGTCATTGCTTATGAAATAAAGTTCAAATTCTTCACCACTCTTTGCAGTTTTATCTTCCAAAACCAGCCTCAGTCATCATCCACACTCCTCCCATACCTTCTCTGACTTGGCTACCTACTTGCAAACACCTGTAACCAGTCTCTCTACTACCTATTTTTCTTTCAAATTTTTAACTCTTTCATGGGCTGGATTCCAATGCCTCATTTTATATGTATGACTCTTCTAGATGTTCCTATAGGCAGAATTAGTTTATATTACCCTAGCACATCTCTTGTCCATCTCATTAGTAGGAACATCTTTCTTACCTGTCTTGCTTACATTGTCTTTCCTCTTAGGTAGATTGTCAACTCTTTTAAAAGAACAGAAACTAAGTTTCTATGATATTCTCTGCCTGGCCTTTTGAAAAATAAATACCAGCTTTATGTAATGTGTATATGTTTCCATTTTCCTGAGGTCTTGAGCAGTGAAGTACCTCATTTCTGTATATTCTTATTTTTATTCTGCTTTTTATATCTATGTTTTCAAATTCCCTGTGGAAATTGAAACTTTGGGTTTTAGCCTGAATTTTCTGATTTAACACTTTCCAATCTTACTTATAAATAACAGTAATGAAAGAACAGTTAGTATTTGTTGGTTAGAAAATGTTAGGTCATGAAATTTAGTTTAAAATCCAGAAACCCAATTTTCCTTTGTTCCAGGTGTTGTGCAAATCACTTTATAGGCATTCTCTCGTTTAATGAGATACAGTGATGTCCCAGTCTGTTTAAAAAAAAAAAAAAGAGAGAGGATGCTTAGAGGGAATAAATAATTTGCTCCAAGTTGCAGAACTACTAAACATGAGTCTCTCTGACCCTAAAGCTGACCATCTTTAACCAATATACTGAATTATCGGGCATTCAGATTCTTTTTACTGCCTGTTGCCTCATTTAGTCTGACTTGCATGTATCCACAGGTTCCAAAGCAGTGATGGAGAAGTTAAGTACTTGCAGTTAGCAGAGGAGCTAATTCGTCCTGAGAGAAACACTTTGGTTGTGAGTTTTATGGACCTGGAACAATTTAACCAGCAACTTTCCACCACCATTCAAGAAGAGTTCTATAGGTATGGATATATGAATCTTCTTTACTTTGAACAGGGTTGGAACCTGACAAGGGCAGCTGTCACAAAAGGCCTCCCTCTGAAAGACCTTTTGATACTGCCAGTGGTCATTTTAGTCCTGCTCTGAACTTAATGTAGGCATTTGTGGAGCTGAATTTTTTTTTCATATGCAACTGTTTAAAATCTGCTTTCTGTGTAGTTTTCCCAATAGGAAAACTGTACTTATTTTTGACAGGCTCTTAGTGCTAATGTTGTTTGATTAATCCTTTTCCCCCTCAGGAATAGGTTTGTGGAGGTTCTATGCTTGCACCAGGGATATCTTTACAGCAGTGACACTGTTGTTCTTATTCCTTAAAGTTCAAATTGTTTTTCCAATTGTGAAAATAATAGACATATATTATAGAAAATTTAGAAAATAGAGAAAAGTAGACAGAATGAAATCATCTGTATACTTGCAATCCTACCACTTATTGATAACCACCATTAGCAAGTCTGCTGCAACAAGAACCTTCCCAGTTTACAAGTGCAGAGTTTTATAAGCATCTTCTGTCACATTTCAATGTCCTTCTGTGTATATATAATTATTCAATTTCATATAAAATTTCTTGAAAACATTTTATAGCTCTAATAGTATTTTTTGGTAGAAAAATGTTTAGAGATTATGTTTAATAACTTAGGCTTTTGTTTTGTTTTTGTTATATACAGCAAGAAACATCTTTGTACCCGAATCTTTATCTGCATTAAGTCAAATAAATGTGACAATCTGTAGAAATATAGTCAGGTTAAAATAAACATTGTGGGCAGTCACAAAAGAGAAATGAAGACCCAGGGATAAGGAGACGCAGTCCTATTCTTTTCCTGGTAGACTGGGAGATGGAAGACTTGCCTCCATGTTTCTAGTCATAGCTGTCCATCAAGAGCAGTTGGAGGCATAAGCAGCAGAGTTTATTTTGGAAGCATGCGGAAGTAAAAGCTGTGTTACTGACAAGTGAGAGATGTAGAAAATCAGGCCTGGTGGTAGTAGTGGCTATGCCATACCTCATGCACAAGACATACAGCAGTTCTCGCTACTAAAAGTAGCTCTTTTTCAGAAAACTTTCAGATCCCACTGATTAAACAAGTCAAGCTGCAGCAGCTATTAGGAACTTACATCAAAATGACATGCCCACTTGAGTCTAGCCTGTCAAATGGAGCTTTTTGCCAGTTTATTCTCACATTAGTAGACAGACTTCTCTCTTGTCCTCATCCATTTGTTATCAGTCAAGAATGAAACAAAAAATAAATAAACTAGAACTTGACACCAAACAAGAGGCTGCCTTATTAGGTTGTAAAACCATCCAGAGAAAACCCACCGTATTGATCATAATACTGACAAGATGAATGTTCTGGTAGAGTCACTTTGGACAGAGGACTGGCCTACAGTGTGTGGGTATTAAATGATTTCTTTAAAAATAATAGATATTCAAGTATGATGTTTTATCTTTGGTGTTTCTGTTTGCGGTGAGTTAGGACAGGATTGAATGAGGCTTCTACACCTAGACTAGATAACAAAGAAGTTTCCTGCACAGTTAGTTCTAAAGCATGGTTATAACCAGATGACATTCCTTAATCTCAGCTGTTGGCAGGCATGAAAAGGGTAGGAGGTTGTGGTAGACCTCTAAGGTGGCAGTTGACTTGTTTTGGTATTTTTTTCTGTTTACTTGTCAGAGTTTACCCTTACCTGTGTCGGGCCTTGAAAACATTCGTCAAAGACCGTAAAGAGATCCCTCTTGCCAAGGATTTTTATGTTGCGTTCCAAGACCTGCCTACCAGACACAAGTAAGAAAACCTTTGTAAGGAAAGGAATTTACCCAATATTATAGATACCACTTACCAGAAAACTTGTGAGGTTGCCTCAATCTGCTACTAGGTGGCTCTTTATTTAACATCACACTTTTATCTCATTGGGCCTCAGTTTTCTCATCTGTAAAATCCTATAGCTTAGGTTTTCTACCTGAATCATGCAACAGGTAGATTGTTGCTGCAGAATTACTTTTTCATGGTTGGTAGCAACAAGAATTATAAAAAGAGTACTTAAAAAGATTGATGCTGTGAAAAAGTTACCAGTTACCCAGAAAGTTTAGTTTTGGAAAAACATGTTTTCTATGGAGATGGGATTGGAAATAAGTGAAGTGAGGCAGATCCTTAGGACTGTCACATTTTAGGGCACCTTTAGGGGAGTTTGGGGAATAAATTGGTCAAATGAGAAAATATGAAAAATGAGAACAGTTGTAGAAATTCATGAATCTTTGGAAATTTTTGTCAGCTTAAATGCATAACTTTCAAATACCCCTTCAGTAGTTATTTCAAGATAAATTTACTGGGAGAAATTGAAGTGATATTTTGAAAACTTAAACTACTCGCATTTAAAACCAAACTGGGATCTTTCTGTTTTATAATTTTAATTTTTGTTTCTTTGGTGTCCTTTATTTATATTTATTCATTTATATATTTTGTGGTGAATGGATATACATTGTATAATTTAGGAATGGGGATGTTGACTGATCATTCTTATAGGAGAATCTAGAGAATACCCTGTCTCTTAATTTTTCTTAAGATAAACTATTATTAAATACCCCTTGTTAGGACAGAAAGATCTCTTATTGGGAAATGAATATTTCCTGATGGGACATTTGTCTTTCAACAGGATTCGAGAACTCACCTCATCCAGAATTGGTTTGCTTACTCGCATCAGTGGGCAGGTGGTGCGGACTCACCCAGTTCACCCAGAGCTTGTGAGTGGAACTTTTCTATGCTTGGACTGTCAGACAGTGATCAAGGACGTAGAACAGCAGTTCAAATACACACAGCCAAACATCTGCCGAAATCCAGTTTGTGCGAACAGGAGGAGATTCTTGCTGGATACAAATAAATCAAGATTTGTTGATTTCCAGAAGGTATGTATTTACTTCTGTTTGAATCAGATTCCACCTATGCTAATAATTCACTCCTTGGCCCTTGCAATAGCTTATTTAATGGTAAACTCAATTTTTATGTAAGTTGAACATTATCAGAAGTGACTTAAGCCCAAAACTTTTAATGTAAGTTTCAACTGTCAGTATATACATGTGTTTTGACCTTTAATAACTTGAATTGGAAGGTCCTTCAGACTGACAAGATGTATTTATCAAAGAACAAACAATAACTACATTATTATTGTGAATGGGAGTGAAGAAAACTTTGAGGCTGGGCACAGTGGCTCACGCCTGTGATCTTAGCATTCTGGGAGGCCAAGGCGGGTGGATTGCTCAAGGTCAGGAGTTCGAAACCAGCTCTGAATAAGAGTGAGACCCTGTCTCTACTAAAAATAGAAAGAAATTAATTGGCAACTAAAAATATATAGAAAAAAATTAGCCGGGCATGGTGGCGCATGCCTGTAGTCCCAGCGACTCAGGAGGCTGAGGCAGAAGTATCTCTTGAGCCCAGGAGTTTGAGGTTGCTGTGAGCTAGGCTGACACCACGGCACTCATGGCAGGCAGCCGGGACAACAGAGTGAGACTCTTGTCTCAAAAAAAAAAAAAAAAAAACTTTGAAGAAGTAGCAACTTCTTAAGTGTAAGACTGCGATTTGGTGGAAAGGAAGGAGGAAGGCATGAATAAAAGGATAGTCTAGGATGAAAACAATGAGGATTATTGTGATTGAAGTAAAGGAACCAAACTAGAAATCATTTGAGAGATGATTTGATACGAAGCCTAAAGGTATTTGGACCCTTAAACCTTAGCCTGGGAAGTTTGATCTTAAGCAGTGGGAATATATTTGCAGGTGGGGTGGGTTTTTTCTTTTTTTTTTCTTTTTTTTAAGGAAACCTAATAGGACAGTGGTATGTAGTATTTCACAAAAACTAATAGGCACTTGTAGTTACCTATGTGAGAGGTGATAGATGGAAGCAGTAAGAATGTAATGACTTTATGGGGTGTGCAAAGAGGAAAGAAAAGTTGCAGCAGCTTAAGTATGGGAAATAAATAATATTAAATTCAGTCTTTAGTCCTGACCTAGCTTTCTTATATTAATCTTGTAAGTTATTAGCAGATTATAAGAAGCACATATTCTACCAATAGCTTTGGGTATATTTTTGAAAGAACATGATATAAAAACCAAATATAAAGTATGAATCTAGGCCGGGCGCGGTGGCTCAAGCCTGTAATCCTAGCACTCTGGGAGGCCGAGGCGGGCGGATTGCTCGAGGTCAGGAGTTCAAAACCAGCCTGAGCAAGAGCAAGACCCCGTCTCTACTATAAATAGAAAGAAATTAATTGGCCAACTAATATATATATATGAAATTAGCCGGGCGTGGTGGCGCATGCCTGTAGTCCCAGCTACTCGGGAGGCTGAGGCAGCAGGATTGCTTGAGCCCGGGAGTTTGAGGTTGCTGTGAGCTAGGCTGACGCCACGGCACTCACTATAGCCTGTGCAACAAAGCGAGACTCTGTCTCAAAAAAAATAAATAAAAATAAAGTATGAATCTAGATTGAGTTTGATTTGGGAGAAAAAACACATCTGTAATAAAGGATGTTCTTGACTATTGAGACATTTGAAAATGGACTAGATTATAGAAAATATATAATATTATGGAATTAGTTTAACTCTCTTGGTTGTGATAAAGGTATTGTAGTTACATAGGAGATTGTCTTTATTCTTAGAAATGAGAGCCAAAGTATTTAGGTGTGATGTTTCTTGATGTTTACAACTTCTTTCAAATACAAAATGTAGGAGAAGATGGAAAACGGAACAGAATTTACAGAGTCATTTTGAACAAAGGGGAGAAAAACTATTTTTTAATGAGTAAGAGTGAAATTTTTTAATACATGTGATATCTTATCAAATTTAACTGTTTGATTAAAAGGAGTTTTAGGGTAAATAATTTTTAGGATGAATGTTGATAACATGAAAAGTCTGCTAACAGGGATAAGATAGTTTAGAATATGTCAGTATTTATGGCATTTAATTTAGATTGTATGACATGTGAAAGGGATCTCTTCTCATTCTTGGCTGTTTGTCTTTGTTACAGGTTCGTATTCAAGAAACTCAAGCTGAGCTTCCTCGAGGGAGTATTCCCCGAAGCTTAGAAGTAATTTTGAGGGCTGAAGCTGTGGAGTCAGCTCAAGCTGGTGACAAGTGTGATTTTACAGGGACACTGATTGTTGTGCCCGATGTCTCCAAACTTAGCACACCAGGTCAGTAATCTGTGGCACAAATTTAACAAATTCTCAGTTACCTGAGCGCGGTATCTAGTGTGTCACATCTCCCTTGTCTTCTTTTTGTCTGCTAGTCAGAAAGTGAGCAAGGAAGTGTGGGGAGAATGAAAACAAATTGGTTTTGCTACAAAAGGTGCTATTCTGAAAGTTTTGAAAGCTTAAGCAATTTAGGTTCTTGGCACCCTAATATTTGAGCTGCGAAACAGCCTATCATTCACTCTTGCAGGAGCACGTGCAGAAACTAATTCTCGTGTCAGTGGTGTTGATGGATATGAGACAGAAGGTGTTCGAGGACTCCGGGCCCTTGGTGTTAGAGACCTTTCTTACAGGCTGGTCTTTCTTGCCTGCTGTGTTGCACCAACCAACCCAAGGGTGAGTCTTAATTGAATGGCAAAGCTTAAGAAAGACCTCCCCTGTAGCTGCCCCACAGTTACCAGTTACCGCCTTCTGAAAACATCTGAGTTTAAAAGTAGGGAATTAGGTTGAGATTTGCTTCTTTAATTTTTAAAATTAAATCCTTTCATGTTTTTCTGACTTTGAAGAAGTCTTGTTTTCATACATAAGAGGTTGCACTGCTTTAAGTGCAGTGGTACAAATTATCCATGTTGGTTTTTAAGTATCATACTTCTTCTGTTGCACTCCTAGAGGAAAGTACAAATAAAATGACTTAGTAATCTGGGAAGTAAATTGCTGTTTCTAAGAGTGATGGATTCCTCACAAGATTGTTGCTAACTTGATTCTTTGTCCTAAATGGGCAAGAGTTTGGGAAATAGTCCAGTATTGGGAAAAGGAGGTGAACGTAATATTCTGTTAACTTCATTTGCATCTTCGTATCAGTGATTAAACATTTACTATGGCTCATCTCTTGAGCATTCATATTCATTTAAATAGTGATATAAAACAATGATGGTAGCTTTTTTTATTTTTAACTCATTGGACAAACCCTTAAGCATCTTCATTAACAGCTTGCTAGTTGGGGAGTTTTTTAAAAACCTTTATAGTCAGCAAATCATGAGGGTAACCTCTTAGACTATGTTTTATTTGTAATGAAGTTTTTTTCTTTAACTTGTTTTGGCTGCTTCTATACTAATAATTCTTCCTTTGTTTTCTACCCTCAGTTTGGAGGGAAAGAGCTCAGAGATGAGGAACAGACAGCTGAGAGCATTAAGAACCAAATGACTGTGAAGGAGTGGGAGAAAGTGTTTGAAATGAGTCAAGATAAAAATCTATACCACAATCTTTGTACCAGCCTCTTCCCTACTATACACGGTAAGAGTTCTAGCCATTGGCAGCATAAACTTGAAATCAAAATCGATTATTCTCGGCAGGCGCGGTGGCTCATGCCTGTAATCCTAGCACCCTGGGAGGCCGAGGCTCGAGGTCAGGAGTTCGAAACCAGCCTGAGCAAGAGCAAGACCCCGTCTCTACTATAAATAGTAAAAAATTAATGGCAACTAATATAGAGAAAAATCAGCGAGCATTGTGGTGCATGCCTGAGTCCAGCTACTCGGGAGGCTGAGCAGTAGGATCGCTTGAGGCCAGGAGTTGAGGTTGCTGTGACTAGGTTGATGCCATGGCACTCTAGCCAGGCAACAGAGTGAGATCTTCCAAAAAAATGACAGAATCAAGATCAGAAATTTTAGTGAGTTTTAGAAGGAGGAGATATTACAAAAGGAAGCCAGTATTCACTTAGAGGTACCGTAGAATAGGCAGATTCATAAGACAACAGTAAATAGAAGGTTATCAGTGGCTAGGGGATAAGGGAATTTAAGAGGAGTTATGCTTAACCCTTGTACTTCGCGATATCGAGTGTGACTCAACACGGTTTAGCAAAAATTATAAGAGATTAAAATTACTCTTTGGAATGTACAAGGATTGAATATAAAATCAAATAAATAAAGTTTATATGAAAAACTCCAGTTTTTTTACTCGCCGCCCGCATGTAAAATCTGAGTTTTAAAATTAAATCCCGAATAGAATAAAGGAATCGAGGAAAAGCAAGGAGTGCAAAGGGTTAATGGATAAAGTACTGTTTGGGATGATGAAAAAGTTTGAAAGGGGTAGTGTGACAGTTATACAACATAATGTACTTAATGCCATTGAACTATACATTAAGTAAATTTATGGAAATTTTGTTATGTAATGTTTTACCACAGTTTTTTCCAAGAGGAAAAAGAATTAGTCATCTTTTCTAGCTTTAGGATCTTTTTAGAGACGGGTATTGCTATGTTGTCCAGACTGGACTCAAACTCTTGGGTTCAAGCAATCCCCGCCCTCAGCCTCCCTAGTAGCTGGGATCACAGGCACACACCACTGCACCCGGCTCTTGTTCTTCTTTTTAATTTACAGACGTAGATATTTCTATGATAGTTCTGGTTACTGTTATACCTTTAGCATTCCTTTCACATTTTCCTGACTCTTGGTTGCTAGATGTTCACTATCAGTCATTAAATGCCCTTTCTGTATTGAAGGATATTACTAAACTTTTGGGCTGCATGCATTATTCTTGAACTCTTCCAATCCTTGTCCTTCATACTCAATTGAGGTTATGTTAAGAACTCATAAGATATTGGGGTATTCTCTTAGGTATATACTTCAATCATTGTAAATTTTAACTTTTTTTTTTTTTGAGACAGAGTCTCGCTTGTTGCCCAGGCTATAGTGAGTGCCGTGGCATCAGCCTAGCTCACAGCAACCTCAAACTCCTGGACTCAAGTAATCCTTCTGCCTCAGCCTCCCGAGTAGCTGGGACTACAGGCATGTGCCACCATGCCCGGCTAATTTTATACATATATATATATTAGTTGGCCAATTAATTTCTTTCTATTTATAGTAGAGACGGGGTCTCGCTCTTATTCAGAGCTGGTTTCGAACTCCTGACCTTGAGCAATCCGCCCGCCTCGGCCTCCCAGGGTGCTAGGATTACAGGCGTAAGCCACCGTGCCCGGCTGAAATTAACTTTTTTTAAAGTATTTTAGTCAATGAAATAACTAAAACCCTTTGTTAATGTTTTATGGTTTTTAGAGCATTTCTCCTTATAAGGAGCAGGTGTTATATTTTTATGCTGCTATCCTCCCCCCATAAATTATTGCTGTATAACCCCAAAATTTAGTGACTTATAACAACAAACGTTATCTCAACAGTCAGTGAGTTAGGAATTTGTGAGACACTTAGCTGAGTGGTTCTGGCTTAGTCTTTCATGAGGTCACAGTTGAGACATCAGGGGGAGCTGGGGTCATCTGATTGCTTGACAGGGGCTCATTCAGGTAACTTACCAGTTAGTACTACTTGTTAACTGGAAGCTTTTTCCTTTGCCACACGAATCTCTCCCATAGGGCTGTTTGGATATCTTTGTAACACAGATGCTTCATCCAGAGCATATGGTCCAAGAGAGCAAAGCAAAGAGCAAGCAAAATGCCTCTCATGACCTAGTGTCAGAAGTTACATACCTCACTTTCACCATATGCTGTTTAGTAGAAGCAAGTCACTAAGTCCAGCTCACACTTAACAGGAGAATTAAGTTCCATCCCTTAAAGTGAGATGTGTCAAAGATTTTATGGACAATTTAAACACCACCATGCCCCTAACACATTTTGTTGGTCATAAGTCAGAGAAGTTTTTTTTATGATATGGATTTTTAATTTTCTACTTTTAAGGAATGCTTTGTGTAAATTTGCCTAGCACTTTATTGATGGAGTTCACAAAGAAGTCAATTAAGTCCACAGAAAAATGTTTAATAACATAGTGTTCTTTTTTTTTTTTTTTTTTGAGAAAATTGTATGTTTCCTTCTTACATTGGATTTATGAACAGCTCATAGAAACAGCTCTAAATTTCATTTAGCATCTTATTTAATCCATACTAATTAGCATGCATTTTTTCAATATTGGTCACTATAGGTGATACAAAAGAAGTGTCATGAGCCATTTCCTCATACTCTCAATGGAACTACAAGAGCTGCCATTAGAAAGAACTAACAAGGCGGGGCAAGTGGTTCACGCCTATAATCCCAGCACTTTAGGAGGCCAAGACAGGAGGATTACTTGAGGCCAGGGGTTTGAAACCAGCCCGGGTAACATAGCAAGACCCCATTTCACAAAAAATTTAAAACTAGGCCTGGCATGGTGGCACATGTCTGTAGTTCCAGCTACTTGAGAGGCTGAGGCAGGAGGATCATTTGAGCCCAGGAGTTTGAGTTTACATTGAGCTATGGTAATGCTTCTGTACTCCAGCCCTGGTGATAGAGCAAGACCCTGTCTCTAAAAAAACAAAAAAGAAGAAAGGGCTAGCAAATGTGGTAGGCTGTGGTGGACATAGCTCTAGTTTGTGAGGAGAGAGCTTTGAGGCATTAGGAAAGGCTTTTTGTGTAGGAAGTAGGTCTTACAGACAAGGAATGGCTCTTGGGGCGGTGAGCACCAGCATCTGTGGTACAGGAGAAAACACTGGAATAGTGATTAGGTGACTTAAGTCCACAGAGTCAGAACCAAGATCAGAAGCCAGGTGTTTTTACTCCAGTTTTATGTTTTATTTTAGATGTCTCTGGCTTTTGGTTGTTAAACATGTCTTTGTAGTTTCTTCTGGAATTAAGTTCATGTTGAAAGATGGGTTTTTTTATCCATAGCTTCTTTTCATTTCAGGCAATGATGAAGTAAAACGAGGTGTCCTGCTGATGCTCTTCGGTGGTGTTCCAAAGACAACAGGAGAAGGGACCTCTCTTCGAGGGGACATAAACGTTTGTATTGTTGGTGACCCAAGTACAGCAAAGAGCCAGTTTCTAAAGTAAGTGCTTGCCTGAGGTGGTAGAACAAGAAAAAACAATATAAATAGTTCCAAGCTTGCTGTACTACCAGGAATGCCTTTACTAGAGAGAGAGAGGAATGTAAATTATGATGTGTTGAATATATAACTCATAGATTAAATACTGTTAATTTTTTGATAGGAAAAAATTGCCTGTAATCCCACTCTCACATTGAACTCTTTAATCTTTATGTTAGTCTTTGAATACATGAATTTGTATTTTCATTATTATAAATCACAGTATCCATATTTTTATTTTTAATTTACCCTAAACATTTTTCCATGTTTCTTTATTTTCACAGTTATCTTTTTGTTGGTGTACTATAACTTACAAAGTTATTTCCCTAGCCCTATTAAATAATTAACAGGGTAGTTTACTATAGAGATTACAGATATTAATACAGTGAACATGATAACATATATATTTTTTTGTTTGTTTCCTTTGGGTAAATTCCTAGGTATACGATTGCTGTGACAAAGAATACAAATATCTGTAAGGTTTTTAAATAAGACACACTATCCAAAAGCAATGCTATGAGATATTTTATGCTAACTTTTTCAGCATGATTTTTGCTTATTTTTAGAAACTATAAGTACTTTCAAACTTGTAAGCAAATTAGGGCTCAGAAGCATCCAGTTTCTGAGCACTTGCTATGTTGTTGTTGCTACGTATATATGTATGTTATGTCTTTTCCTAGCAGCACCCAGACAGGCATGTGTTGTTGTCCGCTTTTTTTTCAAGGAGTCACAAACAAAACCTCTGAGAGTCAATAACTTGCCCAACTTGGAGGTGCCAGGTGACACTGAGCCATGAGTATTAAAACTTAGATATAGTTGGCCTGCAAAACATGCTCTTCATACAACATCAAGCTGCCTTTATTTGTTCTGGACATTTGTAACAGTACTGTTCTAGAATCTGAAACAATTTTAGATTTCCTTAAAGCAAATCATGAACTGAGTTTTAGATTTGAAGATAATAGTCTTATATTAAAAGGGATTTTTTTTCTTTTTATTCCCTCTGTTCCGGTCACCCACCTGCCAAAAAAAGGTGTAGATCAGTGTTGCCTCTGATAACAGTATTGTACATGATGATGTCTTAGTGAATTCTGTAGGATCTTCCATATATAAGATCAAGATTTTGTATGTATCTGCATAAAGTAATGGTTGGAGTACCTCTTCCTTTCCAATATGGCTGCCTTTTTTTGTTTCTTGCCTAGTCGACCTTGACTAGTGCCATTAGTATAATGTTGAATAGATATGACAAGAGCAGACGTCGTGTCTTCTTCCTGATCATAGGGGACTAAGTATTCAGCTCTCTGATTTTAGCTTTTGGTTTTCATAGATGCCCTGATAAGATTAAAGAAAAACTCTATCTGGTTTATGAGAGTCTCTTCTATTCCTAGTTAGTTGAGTTTTTATCATAAAAAGGTGTAGGTTTTGTCAAATGCTTTTTCTTTACATATATTTAGGTGATCATGTGGTTCTTATCCATTATTAATATGACATATTGATTTGCTTTTTAGTCGTTAAGCCAGCCTTGCATTTCTGGAATAAATCCACATCTAGTTTTGTCTCTCTCTCTCTTTTTTTTTTAATTGCAAGACCTTCTAATAGATCATTGTTGCTAAACTGTTTATTATTAAACTTCTTTTAAAATTGATATTTTTGTCACATATTAACTTCAACTTCCATTTTATAGGCATGGATTTATTTTTTAGCGACAGAGTCTTGCTCTGTTGCCCGGGCTGGAGTGCAGTGGCATGATCGTAACTCACTGCAACCTCAAACTCCTAGGCTCAAGCGATCCTCTAGCCTCAGCCTCCAAGTAGCTTGGGACTACAGGCTCATGGCACGATGCCTAGCTAATTTTTCTATTTTTAGTAGGGTTGGGGTTCTTACTCTTGCTCAGGCTGGTCTCGAACTCCTGAGCTCAAGTAACTCTCCCATCTCGGCCTCCCAGAGTGCTAGGATTACAGGCATGAGCCTCCATGCCCAGCTGATTAATTTTTTTAATTTTTTGTTGAGACAAGGTCTTTGTTGACCAAGCTGGTTGGCCTTCCAAAGTGCTGAGATTGCAGGCGACAACCACTGTGCCTGCCTAGGCATGGATTTAAAAGCTGAAGGAGATAGATTTCCCATTCAGTCTGTGGCCTGTTTCTTAATGAATTGCTTAAGTTTAATGCCACTATTAGATGTTCTTTCAGAAATTTAAACTCTTCATTGACATAATCCCTATCAGCTGACATTCTTTGGAAGGGCATTTTGTAGTCACATATTAATAAGTGTTTATATGATAACCTTGAACAGGCACGTGGAGGAGTTCAGCCCCAGAGCCGTCTACACCAGTGGCAAAGCATCCAGTGCTGCTGGCTTAACAGCAGCCGTTGTAAGAGATGAAGAATCTCATGAGTTTGTCATTGAGGCTGGAGCTTTGATGTTGGCTGATAATGTAAGAAACATTTTACAGTCTTGGATATAAAGAAGTCAGAATACTCCCTACCCTGTCAGTGAAGTCGTATAAGTTTCTGTTAAAAAAATGTCCTTCTAAAAAGAGCATTCTTTAGTAAATAATTTATAGTTCCATTAATGTAGAATTTGACATTATCTTCATTGGTCACCATTTTCTGAGCTTCTCTAGAATGTGTTACCTGCCTTGAATGTGTGGTTGCTATGTCTAGTACTTCCAGCATTTTTTCCTTTCCAGAACATGACACCTCTTCAAGTAGGTGTAGGCATGGACACATTTACACATTCCATTTTATAGGCATGGATTTATTTTTTAGCGACAGGGTCTTGTTCTGTTGCCCGGGCAATACACATACATTTTATGTGTATTTGACATGGATGGATTAGATCTGTGGATACGTATAAATTGTAGATGTAAAATCAATCCTGAGGTGACCCAGAATACCTTGACACTGGGGTTTACACAAGGTTTCGGTCTTAAGTACTAGTGTAGTAAGTATCTATATATTTTTAGTTTTGCCAAGTCATGTGGTTCCTTCTAGGCCTGGGATCTGTTGAATTACCTTGCTTAGAAAAGGGAATAAAGAAAGCTTACTTACCTATCTTCTACTTGTGTGGAGAATAGAAAGGTCTCTGTGGTGGCAAACTTTGTGAGTTTACTTGTGGTTTTACATCTGAAAGGCAGTTTCTTAGGCCAGATGTGTTTGGTTACAGGGTGTATGTTGTATTGATGAATTTGATAAGATGGACATACGGGATCAAGTTGCTATTCATGAAGCCATGGAACAGCAGACCATTTCCATCACTAAAGCAGGGGTGAAGGTATGTGTGTCCTCTTCTGTTCCACTGCATTGTGCCTTGGCCTTGTAGACTAATACATAGTGTATTAGAGAGGTTTACCTGCGTAAAATTCATTATTTCAACATGTAATGCTGTTCATAGAATGAAGTGTAAACTAAAAGAAATCTTCCCCTGCAACTGCCAGCACCAGTAGATACTCAAAGGTTATCTATTGAGTTTGTGCCCCTTTTAGGAATATTCTACATATAAATAGGCATAATGTGTATAGTTTCATTCCTTGGTCATTTAATGCCATAATTTTATTTTGGCAATCTTTCCATACCAGCACATATTAGATTAACTTTGGATTTTTATTACTCCTATATGTTCCACAGTTTGGTTCCTTAGACTCCAGTAGAATGACATTTGGGTCATTTTCAGTGTTTGGAATTACAATCAGTATGTAGTAAACATCCTTGAACACAACATCTTCCTGTACCTAGCTTCAAGATAAATTCTAACAAATTGATGGCCTAAAGGGGAGTTGCTATTTATTAATATATGAAAAAGGATATCTGGTTATTTTGGTTTGCTAATGGTTAACTAACCCATTTAGTTAATTACAGGTAAAATTGAACATTTTGTCATGTGTTTATTGGCTAGTCCTGATGTCTTTTTAAATTTTTCACAATTCTTTCATTTGTGGTCAGGCTACTCTGAATGCCAGAACGTCCATTTTGGCAGCGGCAAACCCAATCGGTGGACACTATGACAGATCAAAATCATTGAAACAGAATATAAACTTGTCAGCTCCCATCATGTCCCGATTTGATCTCTTCTTCATCCTTGTGGATGAATGCAATGAGGTAACCACATGAGCTGTCACTCTTAGCTTCCTTATTTATTTCCAATTTGAGTTATTGAGTGAGATGGGGCTGGAGGATACACTGCTCAACAGCTGGTGTGTGTGTGTGCCCTATAACCTTTCATTTCCCTCCGGGTGGCATGGGATTGGGCATAGGGTTTAGTAAGCAACTCAGAATAAAGTCCTTTGAAGCTGGCTCCACTTACTGTGTAGAGGAATATTAAGGTTTTTGTTTGTGTTACTGTTTTTTAATTCTCAAAAAAGAAGGAAACAAATTACACTTAACACCCAACCAACCACGCACTTTTGTTTTATGGGTTAGTGTTTTGTTGAGTGAAAAATTGTAGTTTGCTTCGATTTTAACATGTTAGCTTATTGGAGTTATTTGTATTTAGGGTTAAAAATTTTGAACAACATGGTTAGGTTTGGTTTTAATCAGTCTGTTCCCACACCTTCCTCAAAAACTTAGTAGCTATTAATACTTTTTTCAGTGGCATATTAGAGCTTATTTTTATCTATAAGTCATTTGCTGTTGCCCGGGCTAGTCTGGAGTAGATACTTCTGTGACTGATCGAAGCTATTTTCTTGTTCTGAATTAGGTTACAGATTATGCTATTGCCAGGCGCATAGTAGACTTGCATTCAAGAATTGAGGAATCCATTGATCGTGTCTATTCCCTTGACGATATCAGGAGGTATCTTCTCTTTGCAAGACAGTTTAAACCCAAGGTAACCAGCTCTTTTGTACTAAATCATAATGGGTATATTAAAGTAGAATGTAAACAAATGTGTCATGTAGAAATTAACTGAACCCGTAATCTACCTAAAGTGATTTTTTTTTTAAATAGCAATTTGTTTAATTAAAGAGGGTTGAATAAAGGGACTTTTTACTTCTATTATTATTATTAACTATTAAGAGATTTTTTTTTTTTTTTACTTTTTTTTTTTTTAAAGAAACAGAGTTCTGCTCTTTTGCCCAGGCTGGAGTGCTGGCGCATAATCATAGCTTACTGTACCTTCAGACTCCCTGGGCACAGTGACCCTCCCACCTCGCCTCCTGATAAGCTAGCACTACACGTGTGCACACCACCACGAAGCTAATTTTTTTTTTTTGTAGAGATAAGGTTTCGCTATGTGAGCCGGCTGATCTTGAACTCTTGTCCTCAAGCAATCCTCCTGCCTCAGCCCCAAAGTGCTAGGATTACAGGCTTGAGCCACCATGCCCAGATTTTTTTTTTTTTTTTTATTTATTTGATTTTATTTATTATTTTTTTTTTTTTGAGACAGAGTCTCGCTTTGTTGTCCAGGCTAGAGTGAGTGCCGGTGGCGTCAGCTAGCTCACAGCAACCTCCAACTCTGGCTCAGTGATCTTCTGCCTCAGCCTCCCTAGTAGATGGGACTACAGGCATGCGCCACCCATGCCCGGCTAATTTTTTTATATATATATCAGTTGGCCAATTAATTGCTTTCTATTTATAGTAGAGATGGGGTCTCGCTCTTGCTCAGGCTGGTTTTGAACTCCTGACCTTGAGCAATCCGCCCGCCTCGGCCTCCCAAGAGCTAGGATTACAGGGCGTGAGCCACACGCCCGGCCAGATTTTTTTTTTAATCTGACCTTTAAGAAAAAATCTAAATAATTCCATTTATATTATTTGTTAGTTGCTAATAAAAAGATTTTTATGGGAGAAGAGTTTTAGACAACTGAATAAACTAGGACATCCTTTTATATCAACCGTTACTACTGAGAATCTTAAAAATGTTTATGTGCCTAAATCTATAATCTACTGAATGTTACTGAATTTTCCTTTGAGGGACATTGTATTCTAAGTTATTTTGATGAATATGGATTACTATTTTATAGGAATTGAAATTGATGTGTATTGAACTGAATTTGTACTGGACCCAGGATACTTACCTGGACATGTATTTTTTTTTTTTTTTTTTTTTTTGAAACAGAGTCTCACTTTGTTGCCCAGGCTAGAGTGAGTGCTGTGGCATCAACCTAGCTCACAGCAACTTCAAACTCCTGGGCTCAAGCAATCCTTCTGCCTCAGCCTCCCGAGTAGCTGGGACTACAGGCATGCACCACCATGCCCAGCTAATTTTCTATATGTTAGTTGGCCAATTAATTTCTTTCTATTTATAGTAGAGACGGGGTCTTGCTCTTGCCCACACTGGTTTCGAACTCCTGACCTTGAGCGATCCGCCTGCCTCGGTACTCCCAGAGTGCTAGGATTACAGGCGTGAGCCACCACGCCCAGCCATGGACGTGTATTTTTAAAAATAAATTTCCGTAATGTGCATCTGTTTTGTTGCTCGATGCTTTCCTAAAATAAGATAAGGAAAGGGGAAAAAATTGTTTCATTCTGGTTGAGGTTTTTACAGTATTGTCTGACTTGACTTTTGGGAATTATCCTTGGCTATTAATTATCCATCATCTTCACTTATTTGTGAATTAGTGTTGGCTCTCACTGCCCCAGAAGAAATTTAGTTATATAAAATTAGGGTTGTGGGTGACTTTTGTGTAAAAAAGGCATCTGTTCTCCATGACTACATACTGGTCCCTCTGTAACCTTGGCGTGCTTCCTTAATATGCTGAGTTCCTTGCTATGAAAAACTGAGGATCCTTTGGGTGTAAAGTTTACTGAAACAGATGACAGACACACAAGGGCTATCTGGAAAGTATCCAGCCATGTAATCATTCTTGTTATATTAGCAATGTCTGGATACTTTTTGGACAGAGTGTGTGTGTGTGTCTTTTTTCCCCAAGACAGCATGAGTTGATTATTTGAGCTACAAGGAAAGTCTGAGCATTAATTTATTTAATAAGCTTAGTTTCTTTCGTAGGGTATTTCAGTAGTGATTTATTGTCACTGGCTTCACAAAAGTTTCGGCCCTCTCATTCCCCAAAATGTTTCTACCTGGAAGGCTCTTAAACTTATGTTTAGCACAGCTGTCATCAAGGAGAAATGTGTCTCTAACTTTACTGATATTCTGAAACAGATTTCCAAAGAGTCAGAGGACTTCATTGTGGAACAGTACAAACGTCTCCGCCAGAGGGATGGTTCTGGAGTAACCAAGTCTTCATGGAGGATTACAGTGCGACAGCTCGAGAGCATGATCCGTCTCTCTGAAGCTATGGCTCGGATGCACTGCTGTGATGAGGTATCAGAGTCACTTTGACACGGACACGATGAGGGCAAAGAGAAATTGATTTGTTGCCTCGTAGGCATATTTTTATCTTTGGTATAGGACATACTAGATTCGCCGCGGATTTATTTTTATAACTCTTGAGTGTTGATAGGATCTATGACCCTGGAATTTTTCCCTTTAAGGAGGTTGCTGTCAAGCATTTAATGAATATAGTCCATTCATTCAGGAAAAATGTACTTAGATCCCACAGTGTACTAGGCCTCCGGGTTGGGGATACAGATAAGATAATGTAGCCCCTGGCCTCAAAGGAACCCTCCTTAGGTTTCTATAATGTATGTGGTTTTTAAACTGTTCTTTGAGCCCAAGGTTCCACGAGTATAGGTCAGTGAGTATTAAGGGGTAAAAGGGGAGCAATACAGAAGGGCATTCAAGCTTTCCGTCTCTGCTTCAACCAAGGCCGCCGTGGCTTTTCCGTTTTACCTATATTAGATTTTCATGTAAGGTTTTTTTTTTTCAAAAGGGGGATTAGCTTTTTTATGATTTGCCAGTATGAATTTTATATGGAGGAAAATGTACAGCTGATGGGTTTTGGTTTTGTTTATTTATTTATTTAATATAACTGGTACATGTGACCACGACCATTCAAGAATACAAAACATTTTATCATTTCACGAGAAATTTCCTTGCGGGCTCCCTTGTGTCATCATTAACCCTTGTTCCCAGAAGTAACCCACTGTTCTGACTTCAATCCCATTTTTTATCCCAATAGATAAAAAAGCCTATTTCTTTTCAGTTTTGGGTATTCAAATTCTCAATAAGGTGGTTCGTTTCCTATGCAGACAAAGTACTTTTTAATGCTAACTTATTTGATATTTTGGATTAACCTAACATTTAAGGGACAGGTGTCAGGGAACGAAAGATAATAAGAGATGCTCTGCCTTCCTTGCTGCTGATCGTGGAGTGGGACATGTATTGTAAGGCATCATAAAAAATAGGAGATGGAGGCCAGTCACACGTGCCAAACTTTCAATCCCAGCACCGTGGGAGGCGGAAGGTCAGAGATGGCTGTAGGCCAGGATGTCAAAACACAGCACTGAGCGCAGAATAACAGATCCAACATCTTTTAACAAAAAAAAAATTTTTTTTTTTTGTAATGGACAGGGTCTCACTGTGTTGCCAGGCTAGAGAGTACAGTTGGCACATCGGTCGTAGCGTTACTGTGATGCTCCAAAGCTCCTGCGGGCTCAAGCAATCCTCCCAGCCGTGCCTCCAGCTCCAAGTAGGCTGAAGCGTAGTATATAAGGCCCACGACCACACGTTTTTCGTCTGAATTTTTCTATTTTTGTGGATCTCACCTTGCTAGGCTTGGTCTGGGAACTCCTCACCTCAAGCATCCTCCTATTCCTTTGCTTTCATATTTTTTATGTGCTATTTATCAAGTGTGAGCACCATTGACCCAGCCAAAAATTTTTTTAAAAATGTAAGGCCAGGTGGAGATATTGTCATCTGTGAGTCTTGGCTACCTGGATATGCTGAGGCAGGGTTTTGAGTGTATTCACCTTGTCTCTATTGTAGTTTAAGGTTGCTAGTGAGCTATGATGTATGCATGCTAGTCTGCCCGGGGAAAAGATGCAAGACCTTGTCTCATTATTATATTATATGTAAAAAAAAAAAAGGAAGAATATGATGATAGAGCATCACAAGTAAAGAGTACAGAGATCAATTACTTTATTCCTAAGAAGGGGGAGGGTTTATGGAGGTGCTGACATTTAAACCTGATTGCTGAAGGCTGTGGAGAATTTTGATAGGCAAAAGACCTTGGGGAAAGGGCGTTCTAAAATCATGCTAACATTTGTATTTTTTTCCCACTGTGGTATTTCTTGAAATGAGTTTCATAAAACTGTCTTAGGGCAAACTTAAATAGATTTTTCTTTTGTTATTTTTTAAAAATTGGTCTTTTAAATAGGTAGCAAATTCATATAATATTAAAATATGTGCACATATATTATACACAAATATATTTTCTGAATGAAATTGAATATCTTTGCATATATTTAAGAACTGTTTCTCCTTATATGTTCATATTATTTCTCCATTTTTAATTTTGTTAGAAAGGCCTTTTTCCTCTAAGATTATAAAAAATTCTTCTCTTATGACTTCCTCTAGCACTTAGATGATTTTATTGTTTGCATTTAAATCATCTAAACATTTGGTATTTATTCAGTAAAATGTGAGGTGTGAATTACTTGATTCTTTTTCACCATCTATTGAATAATCATCTTTTTCATGCTGGTGTGGTATGCCCTTATTATATATTGTATTTTATGTTAAGATCTCTTTCTGCACTTTCTACTTTCCATTGAGTCCATCAGTTCCTCTTACATTGGTACAATGATATTTTAATTAATGGAGCTTTATATTTTAAATATAGAGCTAGTTCCAATGCATTGTTCTCTTCAGCTGTTAGGAACATGGAAATCAGCTTACTTAGTTTTTTTAAAAAAACTTGATATTGTTATTAGTATAACATTAAATTATACACTAAAGAATTAAAAACATCTTGATGATTTTTTCTATTCAAGAACATTATAACAGAATATATTAGGTTGTGCTACTATAAAAATCTCAACCGCTTAAAACAGATACTTTTTTGCATGCTACACGTCCATTAAGTCAGCAAGGGGTGCTCCTCTTCATGTTGCTCAGATTCAGGCTGATGTAAAGGCTCAATTTTGACATAGGCTTCCATGGTGACAGAAAGCAGGGAAGAGAAAAAAGGATGAGCCATGTACTATCTTCTACCTTCTATTTGGAAATGACACTACTGCTCACATTTTGCTAGCCACAGAAATTAACATGGCCATCCCTAAGTTCAAGTGGTTAGAGAAGTATCTTCCTACCAGGTGCCAGAAGGAGAAAGGCAAACATTTGTGAACAGTTCTGATGACTACCACAAATACAGAATCTTTCCATTTAAATATTTTTTGACAGTACTGTTATAGTTTTTCCGTGTTTTTTATTTCTTGATATTTTGCCATTTTTCTTGGTACTAAAGGTAGGATCTTTTTCCATTTCACATTTCTATGCATACATACCTAGAGGTGGAATTGCTGGGTCATAGGTTATGCATGTGTTTAGTAAAAACTGCCAAACTGTTGAATCAATTTCTATTTTTACCTTCAATAAATGAGAGTAGTTCTACATTCTTGCCACCACTTGATATAGTCAGTCAGTTGTAGCCATTGTGAAATTATGGTGCTGTCTCATAGCATGTGAGTGTATGAGAGAGAAAGAGAATGTTTATGAGAAAACCAAAGTAGCACTGAGAAGAGAGTGTCTGTGTGAGAAAACCAGAATACCACTGTGATTTTGTCTGGAGAAACTCTGTTTAGTGTATCAAGAAGACTTAACTGAATCACCTCATTTTTATTGGTTTAGGTCCAGCCTAAACATGTGAAGGAAGCTTTCCGATTACTGAATAAATCAATCATCCGTGTGGAAACACCTGATGTCAATCTAGATCAAGAGGAAGAGGTCCAGATGGAGGTAGATGAAGGTCCAGGAGGCATCAATGGTGAGATGTTTATTCATATGACTGTTATGTCTGAAGTTAAGGACCAAAAAGTTTTCTGAGATGTCATGTGGTAAAAGTACACTTGTTGATGATTATGAACTCTATGTAGCAAAAAAAGAAAAAACAAATATTGAGTTTTATTAACTGTTGACATGTTAAAGTATAAATAGTTGATTTAAAATATATATACTTAGCCAGGTATGGTAGCGCATACCTGTAATCTCAGCTCCTCCAGAGGCTGGGGTGAGATGATCCCTTGAGCCCAGGAGTTTGAGGCCAGCCTGGACAACATAGTAAGACTGTGTCTCAAAAAAAAGAAAAGTATGTATATATACTTGAAAGACTAACAGAAAATACACCAAAATGGTGTTAGTAGACTTAAATCCCCTGGACTCTCCACCCTTATTTGTATTGTTATTTTGGTTTTGAACCGATATCAGAATTTTTTATCTTGTGCATGATACTGTAAATGAACTTTTAGATTATGAAATTTATATCTCCTATCCCTCATATTCCTCCCAAGTTAGTTTTTGTCTTCACTACTAGAGTTTATAAATTTATTTGTAAAATTTTATATGCTATGTATAACTATATGCTTGTTTTGAAGTTAGTATTACATATAAATAGTATATTCATAAACATTTGACAGGAATGTTGGAGACACAAAAACAAAATTCAGATGTTCACTTTTTTACTTAGGTCATGCTGACAGCCCTGCACCTGTGAATGGAATCAACGGCTACAGTGAAGACATAAATCAAGATTCTGTTCCCAAAGCCTCCTTAAGGCTGGGCTTCTCTGAGTACTGCCGAATCTCTAACCTTATTGTGCTTCACCTAAGAAAGATGGAAGAAGGTGAGGCTAAGCCTAGTCATTTACATAAGCTATATTCGCATAGGCCACTTCTGATTGCTAAACATTGTATTGTTCTGTCAGAAGAGATGACTAATAGCTAGGCAAGCTCACTTTAGCAAAGTAAATCTATGGAGTATCAGCATACCTGCCAACCTGAACATTTCCCAAAAAGTTCATTGTCAGGCAAAGGTATATGGATCATTCTTGTTAACGTTCTTAGCCTATATTAATAATTTTGAAGTGGAATTTGTGATCTGATAACACATGAAGAAGCACATACAAATGTTTTTACAACTGCAAAATTATTACTACTTACGATGAGTTTATTTGAAACATGTGGGCTCCTAGGGTATTTATAATTCATTGGCCAGTAATTGAGTTCAGAAATCTATACTGCCAAAAGACTAGAAAAATGGAGTGAAATCCTCATCTATTCATCAATAAAGTGTGGTATCTGGACATTAGTACACCTCTTTAACCTTCCTGTCCTTAACTGCTTCTACATGCTATTCAAAGTTTTATCACCCTAGTTAGCCACATGGCAGAGCAGGAAAAACAATGAATTCAAAGGGTAGAACTTAGGCCGGGCGCAGTGGCTCATACCTGTAATCCTAGCACTCTGGGACGCCGAGGTGGGTGGATTGCTCAAGGTCAGGAGTTTGAAACCAGCCTAAGCAAGAGCGAGACCCTGTCTCTACTATAAATAGAAAGAAATTAACTGGCCAACATATATATATATATAAAAATATAAATTAGCTGGACATGGTGGCAATGCCTGTAGTCCCAGCTTCTCGGGAGGCTGAGGTAGGAGGATTGCTTGAGCCCAGGAGTTTGAGGTTGCTGTGAGCTAGGCTGATGCCACAGCACTCACTCTAGCCTGGGCAACAAAGTGAGACTCTGTCTCAAAAAAAAAAAAAAACAAAGGGTAGAACTTGAAATTCTATTTGATAGTTACACTTCAATTCCTATTTAAAAGCTCCCAGGACTCTGTGCTGACTTCCAGGCATAGTTTGTCATCACAGTGTCCAATCTGCTATGGAGGAAGAGAACACCAGAGATCATCTTGGCTTACTAAAGATATGAGCCCTACAGTTTCTGCCCTGTGTGAACTGTGGACCTGTGGGAGAAAAGGCAACAGTGTGGCTATGTGTCAGGTTTATCCCTGTTCCATTCCCACATTAAATGTTTTGGGAGCTTGCATGTTCTTGTATCCATGTTGTTCATTATTCTCTTTCTCCCTCATGCAACTAAGTTTTTTTATATATATATATTTTTATAATTTTTTTTCTTATTTTTCTTTAACTGTAGATGCCTCAAATGCTTTGAGTGCAACTAAGTTTTAAATAAAACAAAAGTAGAGTTTTAGTTTTTATTACACTGTATTTCTGTGACAGTTGCAATGTTCTCCAGTCTCAACTCTTGTGAGTTAAGAGTTTTGCCTTGGACTTTTTAAAGCAGATGGTATGGATGATCTTTGCTAAAATAAACTAATAATTTTTTAGTGCTGAGTGAATGCCCATGAATTTCTCTTCTAAGTAAACTTGAGTTCCATAAACTCTTCCCCTTTCCAAAGAGGAAAAGCTATATTTAAGAAGTTTTGCTTGCTGTTGCTTTATTTCTAATTTATGCTTTTATGCTTTCAGTTGCCATTGGCAAACATTCTCTTAGGTGGTGAAGCGGAAGAAGATGAAGAAAAGACCTTCGCACTTTGAGATCTGAATAGCTTTAAGACACTTGTTTCTTATAATGTCTATTTTATTAGGTTTTTCTCCTATTATGGGTAAAGTAAGGCGTGCTTTAATACAAGTAGTATGACAGGCTATTTCAACATTACTTCAGCAGGTGTACTTTGTGACAGGTTGATGGTTATCTAGTCTGTATATTGTGTGTGCAAACCCTAAGAACTGGAAGTACAGTTTGCTAGAAGAATAATCCTTTTAAAATATATTTTTTGTTGCAGAAGAGGATGAATCAGCATTAAAGAGGAGCGAGCTCGTTAACTGGTACTTGAAGGAAATCGAATCAGAAATAGACTCTGAAGAAGAACTTATAAATAAAAAGAGAATCATAGAGAAAGTCATTCATCGACTCACGCACTATGTATGTACATAACTTCACTTGATCTAGTATTAATGAGGAAGGGAGTTCACGTCTTATCTGTGTAGGTCCATTAGTGAAATGTTTTTTATGTTCGTGTATTTTGAATCATTGGAGTGTAATCGGAATTATGAGTTGTAAAACAAGGGAGAATTAACAACTAGTAAATGGCTTATTCTGCTGAAACAAGCAGAATTTAGGTTAAGTCTGGGAAGGAGGCTATGGGGTCTCACTGCTTGGATGTTTTTAACCTGTTTTCCACCCCCACTAGCACCCTTGGTCATACAGTAAACCTTCCAGCATCCTGACCACTGACACCTATTTTCTATGATCTGTTTCCTTCATATCCCACCTTACGCAGCCCAGTAGTTGTTCTTTTCTTACACTTTCAACTCTTTTCTTTCTTTATCTTACTTGCTTTGTAAAACCCCAGCCTTGGTTAAATTGAATTTTGGTTTTTTTAAGCCTCGTCCAAGCAGCTAAAAATACCTGGAGAAAAGCATACAACCAGGTGCCCAGCCTTATTTATTGATGACCACAAGTCTTAAGTGGACAATTCTTAAATTTGTCTTATCAGCCTTACAGTAGCATTGCCCAGTACAATTACTTTTCCCTGGTCAGTTCTTTCTCTCACTCTCTTATGGGACCATTACATACCTTCTCTCTACTCATATGAACTGGTCATTCTCTGTCAGGCTTCCCCAGTCAGGAGCATTTGAACAGTTGATCGCTTCTTCCAGAAATACTTTCTTCATTTGCCTTATGAGTCACCATGACACGGGAACATGGAACCCAAAACTGGAACCCAGCCTGAAGGCCAAGAGGGTTCTTGGTTTCATGCAGGAAAGAATTCAAGCGTGAGCCCTAAGTCGGAAACAAAAGCAAAATTTATTAAACAGCAGGCAGGCTACTACATAAAGCAGCCCCTGTACGTTGCTGGCGAGCTGTGTTTATGGCTGTCTCTTGATGATATGCTAAATGAGGAGTGGATTATTCGTGAGTTTTCTGGGGAAAGGGGTGGAGAGTTCCAGGAATTGGGGGGCTCCTCTTTTCATACCATATAAGGTAACTTCTAGGGGTTGTCATGGTGCTGGTGGAAGTTTCTTTTAGTATGCTAATACATTATAAACGGTATAATGAGCAGCAAGGGCTAGCAGAGGTTGTCTTTGTTGCCATCTTGGCTCTAACTGGTCATAAGCAGGTTCTTCACCTCATCCTTTTTTTCTCAGAGACCTTGGTTCATGTCTTGTGACTCCTTAATGAGCAGGGCCTGCCAGTTTTCCTGTCTGAACCATATTCTCCTGAGTCCTGTGTCTTCCTGGTTATTTCCTCTTGGTCCCTTTTCCTGAATCTTTTTGTTCTTACTCTACTCTCATATTATTTACATTCACTACCTAAGTGCCCTCATTTTATGAATTTTACCCATCTGCTGGTGACTTACAGATTTATATAGCCAGCTCTCACCTTTCCTGTACACACCAGATGTATGTGGCTGGTTGCCTACTAATGAACTAACAGGCATCTCACACTTGATGTGTTCAAACACAGTTCTTCCCCCATTACTTTTATAGTATGGTCCCTTTTACTCGATTGCTATAGGCCAGATGCCTCGGGATCTTCTTTGATGCCTTGATCTACTCACAACAACTCCTCTTCAATCAACAATGAATCCTGTGTTGATTGGATATATACCTACCTTCGGTGTGTGTATAGTATACTTTCTGTTCTCTTTTCACCACTTCACCAGCCTGCCCAAGCCACCATACCTGGACTCTGGGGAGCCTCATAACTGTCTCCTTTTGTGTTGGCTCTCTGCTCAGCAGCCAGATAGGCCTTTTTTGTTTTTTTAGACAGAGTCTCACTCTGTTGCCCAGGCTAGAGTGAATGCCATGGCATCAGCCTAGCTCACAGCAACCTCAAACTCCTGGGCTCAAGCGATCCTTCTGCCTCAGCCTCCCGAGTAGCTGGGACTACAGGCATGCACCACCATGCCCGGCTAATTTTTTCTATTTATATTTTTAGTTGGCCAATTAATTTCTATTTTTAGTAGAGACAGGGTCTCACTCTTGCTCAGGAACTCCTGACCTTGAGCGATCCGCCCTCCTTGGCCTCCCAGAGTGCTAGGATTAAAGGCGTGAGCCACCGCGCCCAGCCCAGATAGGTCTTTTTAAAACTTAAGGTGTTTTACTGCCCTGCCTTCCAATGCTGCTTCCACATGAGAATAAAATCCAGTCTCCTTGTCATGGCCTGCAGAACCCTACACAGTCTAGCCCGTCTGCCTCATTCACCTCGTTTCACAGCACGCTTCCCCTCGCCCATTCCACCCCAGGGACACTGGGCTGGCACCCTGCACTCAACCAAACAGGTAGGGCCTTCGCACTCACCCTTTGTCTCTTCCCCAGATGCTCTCCTCTTTTCTGGTGTTTGCTTAAATGTCACCTCTTCAAAGAAGCCTTTCTTGCCTAGCCTGTCAATATAGCAGCCTTCTATACTTGCTATCACCCTACTTTGTGTTTCTTCATGGTGCTTCCTGTCTTGTTTGAAGTTATATTTACAAGCATTTGATATCATGTGCAGAGAAGCCTTATAAAAATCACAGTGTCTGTTTAGCTTACTTATATATTTCTAAATTTTCCAAAAGGGCTTTATAGTATGAAAAAGTCGGTATCCTAATGGGAAGGACGTTTAACAGAACACTGATAGTGATTTTAAGGTATAGGCCTTTGGTGGGGAAGTGAAAGGAAATGTCAGTAGCAAACATTCAGAAGGGTCCAGTCTTTGCATCTGGACATGTCTATTATCTTGCCAGACACCTGAGGACAAATATTTGTGTTCCACAGGATCATGTTCTAATTGAGCTCACACAAGCTGGATTGAAAGGCTCCGCAGAGGGAAGTGAGAGCTATGAAGAAGATCCCTACCTGGTAGTTAACCCTAACTACTTGCTGGAAGATTGAGACACTGAAAGCAACCGGCCAGAGCTGAGGAATTGTGGCACCCCACCTCCCAACGTGGAGTCTGACGTGGAGCCCTATTCCTCTGCTAGGGACAGAAATGTTCCTGGGAGTGATGCTTCAGGATATAGAAACAAATAACTAAGTTGATGGTCCTGTGTGTCATATTCCTGTCGCACGCTTTTATACCGGTGCATACGTCAGCACTTCCTTTAGTGTGCTGCTTGTCCTAATGAAGTTGGGACTCAGCAGTGTGTGGTTTCTATAACTAAGACTTCTGTTTTTATGTGTAGGAAAAGGCCCATTACCTTTATGGTATGTGATGTCTTATTAAGGAAATAACTTTCTCAGTTGCCAACTACTACTTTTAATTGTCAAATAAAATAACTTGTTCTGAAGTTTTATCTTTTTTGCTTAATCTGGGGTGAACAGGTGGAGGTATGGCATCATGAATCTAGGATTAGGTTCATGTGAGGAAGAGTCATTAGAGAATTCGTATGCTAGAGGCCTCAGAGATGACTTTCCAAGGTTAATTCCAGTTCTTTTTTTAGGGTAGCTTATACAAATAAAAGGTTTATTGTGCTTTTTTTCTTCGTTACTCTAATAATTTCTTTTACTTCTGTGTCCTAAGGGTAATTTCTCAGGATTGTTTTCAAATTGCTTTTTTAGGGGAAGTAGGCCATTTGCTATATTACAAGCTGTCCCCAAATTTTACAGCCTTCTTCCAGGAAAAGTTATTGCTGTTTATGATACTAACAGTTCCTGAGTCTTAGCTGTGATCAGTATGTTCATAATGTAACAGTTCCTATTGTAGCTTTTAACAACAGATGGCCTTCTGAGGCCTACAGGGTCAGTTAGGGAAAGCATTTCTATGTGATTTGGTTATAAAGTAAGTTTACTCTACCCTGACTCAAAGAGGATGGGGTGAGGTGGGCTGGAAACAGATAGAGAATTTACAGTAGATGCATGGTGTAAAGGTTCCTGTCTCTTATGTTTCTGATTGACAAGGGTGAGAGAGGCCTTGACATGTGTGATCTCAGACTTCCTGTGGCGGGGATGGGGTGGAGTGGGGATATATAAAGCATGGACAATACCAGGCAGGACATTCTAGTGAAAACCCAAAAGACAGTAAAAGAGCATCTCCCTTCACCGACTCCAACTTTAGGAAAATGGGGTATGGAGATCCTGAAAGGAAACAAGCTGACTAGAACTTAACCTTTAATTTGACCAGATACTTACCCAAAGGAAAATGTTAAGGGCAGGAAAGATACATTCCTTTTTGGTGAATCTGTCTTCTTCCCAATCCTGCCATTAATGAGAGTGGGGACTGTAGAGCCAAATGAGGTTATTATTACAAATAAGGCCCATTTTTGCACATCTGAGTATGTGTGCTTACATTTCCACACATTTACTTCCTCCTTGTGCTACTTGTCAGGGAGGTGAAGTGGTTAGTGGATAAAGGATAATATGTGAGATCTTTATGAAGAAAAGTAGACAAATATTTAAGGTTAAGTGGATAGACAGCATTCCAGAATGGGAAGATTTGAATTAAGTTGTCAACTAATCAATAAATTTAATGCATTTTTAACCAAATCTAAACATGTCCAATAAGGAAATTAATTCATAAGTTGTGACACAGCTATGCTGTGGGATACCCACAAACAAAAATGAGATAGACCTACATGTTCTGGAAAGAAAATATGTCCAAGACGTGGAAAAGAAAATGTGCAAATATAGCCAAAAAGATTCAGGGGAGAGAGGGAATGATAGGAGAGGCCTTGCCCTATCAGAAAGCAAAAAGTACTACACAGGTGTAGAAATTAAAATAGCATGGCCGGGCACGGTGGCTCACACCTGTAATCCTAGCACTCTGGGAGGCGGAGGTGGGCGGATTGCTTGAGGTCAGGAGTTCAAAACCAGCCTGAGCAAGAGTGAAACCCGTCTCTATAAATAGAAGCAAATTAATTAAATTAATTCTATAAATAGAAACAAATTAATATGTATAGAAAAAATGAGCCGGGCATGGTGGTACATGCCTGTGGTCCCAGCTACTCGGGAGGCAGAGGCAGTAGGATTGCTTGAGCCCAGGAGTTTAAGGTTGCTGTGAGCTAGGCTGATGCCACAGCACTCACTCTAGCCTGGGCAACAAAGCAAGACTGTCTCAAAAAAAAAAAATAGCATGGTATTGGCACAGGAATAGATAAGTCAGTCTTAAAAGTAGAAAGTCCAGAAACCATCTACATATATATAGATTTTTCGTTTCTGATAAGGTAACATTTCACTTTAGTGGAGGAACAACAGCATATTCAATAACATGTTAGAAATTGGGGCTAGGCACCGTGGCTCATGTCCATAACCCTAGAACTCTGGAAGGCTGAGGCAGGAGGATCACTTGAGGCCAGGAGTTAATATCAGCCTGAGCAAGAGCAAGATCCCCGTCTCCACAAAAAATTGAAAAATTAGCTGGGCCTGATGGTGCATGCCTATAATCCCAGCTACTTGGAAGGCTGAGGCAGGAGGATGGCTTGAGCCCAGAGTTGGAGGTTGTAGTGACCTATGATGACACCACTACATTCTAGCCCAGGCAACAGACCCAGAGTGAGCCTTTGTCTCAAAAAAAAAAAAGTCCTGCCACACAACAAACACAAAATTCAAGGCAGGTTAAAGATCTAAGGATTAAAAGCAAATGGGTACATATAAACATACAGTTAGAAGGTATAAGTTCTAATGTTTGATAACAGGGTAGGGTTACTCTGTTAGCAACAATGTATTATATATTTCAAAGTAGCTAGAAGAGAATTTGAAATGTTCTGAACACACAGAAATGATAAATACTAGATGATGGATACACTAGATACCCTGACTTGATCATAACACATTCTATGCAGGCAACAAAATATCACATGTGCCTCATAAGTAATATACCATACATCAATTATAAAAAGGAATTTGCAAAAAACCTACAGGAAGTCAATTATGGCTTCCATGAACCTCCTCTCCCAGCTGTCTGCTGCCACTCCAAAGATGTGTGGTCCTACTGTGGACTGGACTTAATCTTACCTGTCAAACACAAAAAGGCATATCTGTTAAAATATAACTTTGAAAACAAGTTGTTGGAAACAGTTATAGTGTCAGTGTCAGGAACTGTTTTTTAAATTAATGTGCATGTGATGAAGATCCATTAAATCGCAAAATATGTAAAAGGTCATGAAGCAAAATATTGCCAAAGTCTAAGGTCCACGTGGAACAGTCTAATAACAGCGAGTACTTGACGACTTGGTTGATCTCTGACCTTTGCAGTGCAATGTGAATGTGAGCACCCACAAATCTTATTAGTAGATAACAAGACTAATTAGTATACGTCAAAACAATGACTTAAACATATTTCTCCTAATAATTTCCTTTCCCTGTGACCAACTTGTTTGAAACCTTGTCAAATGTACCCCATAAATATGTACAATTATTATGTACCAATAAAAAAGAAATGACAAAAATAACAATAAGTACTGAAGTGGATTTGAGTTGGGATTTTTTTTTTTTTTAACTGGTACCAGGTAATATATCTTAAAAGAAGATACTATAAACCAAATTAAAAGATAGGATGCCAGGGTTAGTGGCTCACTCCTGTAATCTCAACACTTTGGAAGCCTGGGGCAGGAAAATCATTTGAGGCCAGGAGTGGGCAAGATAGCAAGACCTCATCTCTACAAAAAAAAAAAAAAAAAAGATAAGAAAAATTAGCTGGGTGAAGTGGTATGTTCCTGAAGTCCCAGTTACTCAGGAGCCTGAGGCAGGAGGATCACTTGAGCCCAGGAGTTCAAGGCTGCTATGATCTCATCACTGCACTCCAGTGTGGGCAAAAGAATAAGACCCTGTCTCTAAAAAAAGAGGGGAGTGATTTTTTTTTCTATCATTTCTTTTCTTTTTTAAAAGTTTATTCTTTGTGGGGGGTTTTGGAGGAGTGTCTTTTTCTGTTTGGGTTTTATTTTTTTATTTTTTGCTAGTGTGAAATGAAGTTTATTGAGGAAGGACAAGATAGATTTACAGAGCAAGAGCAAGATACAGGTTAATAGAGTAAGAGCAAGATATGTTTGCCACAGAATGGCAAACGGACCCATCTGTTGTAACAAAAGGGCTCTTTGTGGTTTTTTTAATCTCTTTATTCTTATTATCATTTCTTTATAAAGGCCAGATATCAAACTCTATTGAGTGTATATATCAGTAATAAAATAAAAATAGAGAAAGAATATGAACATAAATCTGAGAAGGAAAACAAATAAACAAATAGCCAGTCAACATGAAGAGCCTCACCCCTATGTAATAAGAAAAATGAGAAAAACGAGGAGATAATATTTTCATTCTTCCACATGTCAAAAATGTAAAGTTTTATGATGGGTGCTAGCAAGGCAGAGAGATTTAGGCACATTTCTAACTGTAGGTAGGATTTAAATTTGAAAAGGCCATTTTGGAAGACTTTTTGCATTTCAATCAAAATTTTCAATGGGTATGCCTGTTTTTTTTGGGGTTTTTTTTGAGACAGAGTCTAACTTTGTTGCCCAGGCTAGAGTGAGTGCCCTGGTGTCAGCCTAGCTCACAGCAACCTCAAACTCCTGGGCTCAAGCAATCCTTCTGCCTCACCCTCCCGAGTAGCTGGGACTATAGGCATGCACCACCATGCCCACAATTAATTTCTTTCTATTTATAGTAGAGACAGGGTCTCACTCTTGCTCAGGCTGGTTTCCAACTCCTGACCTCGAGCAGAGCAATCGGCCTGCCTCGGCCTCTCCAGAGTGCTAGGATTACAGGCGTGAGCCACCGCGTATGCCTGTTGAGTCAGCAACTTAATTTCTAAGGATCTATATTTTTTAAAAATGGTTACATGTGGACAAAGATATATGTAAGGATACTTGTTTGCAGCATTGTTTGCAACACAAAAATTTAAAACCCAAATGTTCATTATGGAAGAGGTAATTTATAGTATGTCCTTACTGGGGAATGCTGTGCATCTGTTAAAAAGTGTTAAGTCTTGGCTGGGCGTGGTGACTCATGCCTGTAATCCTAGCACTCTGGGAGGCCAAGGCAGGCGATTGCTCTAGGTCAGGAGTTCAAAACCAGCCTGAGCAAGAGCGAGACCCCATTTCTACTATAACTGAGAAGAAATTAATTGGCCAACTAATAGATATAGAAAAAATTAGCCGGGCATGGTGGGGGCATGCCTGTAGTCCCAGCTACTTGGGAGGCTGAGGCAGGAGGATTGCTTGAGCCCAGGAGTTTGAGGTTGCTGTGAGCTAGGCTGACGCCATGGCACTCACTCTAGCCTGGGCAACAAAGCAAGACTCGGTCTCAAAAAAAAAAAAAAGGTGTTAAGTCTCTTGTGTTCTGATAAAGACAGAACTCCAAGAGCTATTAAGTGAAAAAAAGAAAGCTAACAAACGAGACGAGTGGTGTCTTTATCTGTAATGTTGCGTTTATAATTGAGTTGGCTATAATGTTGATATATTTTAGATGCTGTGTACACATATTTGCATTTGTATATATGTAATAATAATTATCACTGAGTTGCACTGTCCTAAACATGCTACAAAAATGACCCATAACCCCCATTGATTATCCCCATTCTACAGGTGAGAAAACAGAGGCACAAAGTTCAGTAACCTTTGCCAGTTGAGATGCAAACCCAGGCATTCTGACCCGTGAATAACCATTAAGCTACACAGAGAAAACAAACTGGAAGGATGCATATTGTTGAAGGTATTATCCTAGGCAGGGCAATTTGCAAGTTTTTCATAGATGTTTCTATATGGCTTGAATCTCTTACAAAATGTGTTTATTGTTTACTTACATATTTTTAAAGGGGAAAAAAGTTTGGTGAGGGACTTATTTTGGGGACCATTATGTAAACAAATTTTAAAATAATTCGTAAGTAAGGCCCCAAAAATGACGAACTTTTTTCCTTCAGACATTTTCCAGGTTCCTCTCCTTAACTTGCATAAGAAGTTTGAGGTTTTTTGTGTTATTTCTAATCTTTACATTTTAAAATATTACACGGGTGAGCCATGTGCTGATTTTTGTGACCATAGATAACCTAGTTAAATATTAAGTGTCGACAATCACTTAGTAATTTACAATCCCAGCTGCAGTTATAAAGTTAGGATCCCTCCACGTACCTCCCAACAGCTCCTCGACAATGGAGCTGTCTTGGAGTGCTGTCTTTTCTGGGCTCCTCCTAAGTGTCCCGTGCTGGGGTGCAGACTGGGGATCTGATAGAAACTTCATTTCCGCCGCGGGTCCTCTCACCGACGCCTCGCTGCACAGCCTGGGCAGTCCGCTGGGAACCCGGGGCTCCGATTCTGCAGCCGGGGACAAGGACATTCATGCATGCCGCCAGCCTCTGCCCGCCGTCCTGCCAGAGTACCTGGGCAGCCTCCGTGACAGTAAGGTCACCCATTACAAAGTGTTCCTGTCGTGGGCACAGCTGCTCCCTGCGGGGAGCGCCGGGAGCCCGGACGAGGCGGCAGCGCGGTGCTACCGCGCGCTGCTGGCGGCCGTGGTCGCTGCGGGGCTGCAGCCGCTGGTCGTGCTGCACGGCCGGGGCCTCCCCGCCCGCACCGGCCCGGGCGCCGCAGATGCCTTCGCCGACCGCTTCGCAGACTACGCCGCGTTCGCCTTCCGCTCCTTTGGGGACCTGGCTGGCGTCTGGTTCACCTTCAGTGACCTGGAGGGCGCGATGACGGAGCTCGCCCACCGGGGGTCCAGAGCTTCGCGTCTCCAGGCGCTCGCCGACGCCCACAGGAAAGTCTACGAGATCTACCACGAACGATTCGCCTCTCGGGGTGAGTACACGGCGCCCCTGGTGGCCGGCGCGCCCACCTGTCCCCGCGCTCCCGCCCGCAGGTTCGGCGTTGCCCCCGCTCGCCGGCACCTCTGCACGGCCTCGCGCGTCCCCGCGTCGCCGAGAACCCGGCAGCGCGCACGTGCTTTGCCCGCCCCGCGAGATGGGAATGGGTAACTCACACTGCACGATGCTCAGCCCCTCCTCGGCCCGGCCCGTCCCTGAGTTGAGCAACCCCCTGATGGCCCTTCTGCCCTTCCCTCCCACTGCCCTGCCTCCCTGACTCTGCCGAGGCTTCAGAGCTGCGTTTGCCTTAAAAAGAGCAGCTATCTTCCCAGTATGGACTCTCAAAAAAAAAAAAAAAAAAGAGCAGCTAACCCTTCTAGCTGGAGCTCACGCTCCAGCAGGACAGACAGACAAAACTGCAAGATGGTGGTGAGACAAGCCTAACTGTACCTGTTCATATTCCTGCTTCATAGGTGACTGGAGGCTCTGTGATTCGGTAGGTCGAGGCAGAACCAGGATGTTTGTGATTTTAATTAATTCCCCAAGTGAATGTTAGGTATACCCATTTTAAGAACCAATTTTGGATTATATATGCTGTCTTTTTTTTTGAGACAGTCTCACTTTGTTGCCCAGGCTAGAGTGAGTGCCGTGGCGTCAGCCTAGCTCACAGCAACCTCAATCTCCTGGGCTCAGGCAATCCTGCTGCTTCAGCCTCCCTAGTAGCTGGGACTACAGGCATGAGCCACCATGCCCGGCTAATTTTTTCTATATATATTAGGTGGCCAATTAATTTCTTTCTATTTATAGTAGAGACGGGGTCACTGTTGCTCAGGCTGGTTTCGAGCTCCTGACCTTGAGCAATCCACCTGCCTTGGCCTCCCAGAGTGCTAGGATTACAGGCGTGAGCCACCGTGCCCAGCCTATATATGCTTTCTTATTTTTTATTATATACTGTATGTATATTTGTATATATAGTTTATCATACATAGGCATACTTGTATGTTCTACTTTTTAAACTTAATGTAGTTTATGAGTATATTCTCATTTAATTAAAAACTGTTTGAAAGCATGATCTTCAGTGGTCTTACAGATTCCCATCATATGAATGTATCATAAAGTTTAAAATATTTCTCTCATTCATATATGTTTATTCTAATTTTCACTATTACAACTATTATGTTGCAATGAACATTCCTATATGTAAATTCTTGACCACATTCTGATAAATTCTTTCTGATAGGTTCTTAGAATTGAAATTACTGAGTGAAAAGATCTGCATTCTTTAAGACTTTAGGCCAGGTGTGCTGGCTCACACCTGTAATCCTAGCACTCTGAGAGCCCGAGGTGTGAGGATTGCTTGAGCTCAGGAGTTCAAGACTAGCCTCAGCAAGATGGAGAACCCATCTCTTTTTTTAATTTTTTTTTATTTTTTTATTTTTTTATTTATTTTTGAGACAGAGTCTTGCTTGTTGCCCAGGCTAGAGTGAGTGCTGTGGCGTCAGCCTAGCTCACAGCAACCTCAAACTCCTGGGCTCAAGCAATCCTTCTGCCTCAGCCTCCCGAGTAGCTGGGACTACAGGCATGTGCCACCATGCCCGGCTAATTTTCTATATATTTTAGTTGGCCAATTAATTTCTTTCTATTTATAGTAGAGACGGGGTCTCGCTCTTGCTCAGGCTGGTTTCGAACTCCTGACCTCGAGCAATCCGCCCGCCTCAGCCTCCCAGAGTGCTAGGATTACAGGCGTGAGCCACCGCGCCCGGCTGGAGAACCCATCTCTTTTAAAAAATAGAAAGAAATTTGGCCAGGCAACCAAAAATATAAAAAATTAGCTGGGCGTAATGGCATATGCCTGTAGTCTCAGCTACTTGGGAAGCTGAGGCAGGAGAATTGTTTAAATTCCAGCTCTGAGGTTGCTGTGAGCTAAGCTGATGCCAGGGCACTCTACCAGGCAACAGAGCAAGACTATCTCAAAAACAAAACAAAACAAAAAAAACACTTTAAAGCATGGTGCTAAATTATTTTCCAGAAAAATTATAATAACTTATGCCAATAGTTATAAAATTAGTCTTCTGACCCCATTCTGCCAGTTTTAAATGCTGTAATTATTTTTATTATTACTAATTTGACAGCTGGAAACTAATCTCCTTGTATTGTTAACTTGCATGTATTTTATTATAGAGAGGTTAAACATGTTTTCTATGTTAAAGAAAAAAAGGCTAATAAAGAAAAGAAAAGGCATCATAGCAGCATTATTCACAATAGCCAAAAGGTGGAAGTCTACTGACAGGTGACAGATCAAACAAAATGTGGCATATATGTACAATGGAATATTATTCAGCCTTTAAAAAGAAGGGGATTCTGACACATGCTACAACATGGATGAACCTTGAGGATGTTATGCTACGTGAAATGAGCCAGTCACAAAAAAACAAATACTTTCCACTTACATGAGGAACCTACAGGGGTCCAATTCATGGAGACAGAAAGGAGAATGGCGGTTGCCAGGGGGTGGGGAAGGGAGAAAGTGAAGACTTGTTTAGTGGGTGTAGAGGTTCTATTTTGCAAGATAAAGAAGTTCTGGAGATTGGTTGCACAACAACATGAATATACTGTAACACTACTGAACTATATACTTAAAAATAGTCAACATGGTTGGGTGCGGTGGCTCACGCCTGTAACCCTAGCACTCTGGGAGGCTGAGGTGGGTGGATCATTTGAGCTCAGGAGTTCAAGACCAGCCTGAGCAAGAGCAAGACCCTGTCTCTACTAAAAAAATAGAAAGAAATTAGCTGGACAACCTAATATATATATATATATATACACATACATATATATAATATATATGAGAGAGAGAGAATTAGCCAGGCATGGTGGCACATACCTGTAGTCCCAGCTACTCGGGAAGCTGAGGCAGCAGGGTAGCTTGAGCCCAGGAGTTTGAGGTTGCTGTGAGCTAGGCTGACGCCATGGCACTCTAGCCCAGGGAACAGAGTGAGACTCTATCTAAAAAAAAAAAAAAATAGTTAACATGTACACATAATTTAATATTATGTGCATTTTACTATAGTTTTTCTTTAAAGGCAGGATAAGAGAAGAGCGAGCGAGAGTGATGAAGGTGTTTTAGAGAGTTACCGGGAAAGCTGTTCTTGGCTGCCATTTGAGCAGATTGGAGGGAGCAAGGGAGGGAGCTGGGAGATTTGGAGAAGAGGGTTCCAGGCTGAGGGAAAAGAGCAGCGCTCCTGAGTTTTGGGAATGAGGAACAGAGATGAGGAGTTTACTGAATTCTTCAGAAAGCCCACCTTGGGGTAGATGAGCAAATAAATGTAGAGATATGTCTATGGGCTGCAATTCTACTGAAGAAGCTCTGAATAAAATGAACTTTGAAAGAATGCAAAACTGAGCTTCTACCATCCCAAGTGAAGGAAAACCTATTATATTTTGAGGGCATATTCCATAGAACTCATTAAATTATAGAACTAAATACATATGTTTATTAAAATGCTTTGCGTGTTTTATTTTTAATCTCCATCCAGTAACGAGAGACTGTTTATTTTTAAACTCCTATATTACTTCTTTTCTTCTGCTTATTCCTCCTAGCTCTCATTTTGTATTTCACCAGTATCACCCGGCTATCTGCCCCTGACATCATGCAAGACACAAAATAAATTCCCTTTTCAGTCTTCTTACTCTTCTGAAAGGGGGTTTTCTTCTCTCTAAGTCCAATCCTATAGATTTGCTGTTCTTTTAAAAAGACATCATTTGGCCGGGCGTGGTGGCTCACGCCTGTAATCCTAGCACTTTGGGAGGCCGAGGCGGGTGGATTGCTCAAGGTCAGGAGTTCGAAACCAGCCTGAGCGAGACCCTGTCTCTACCAAAAATAGAAATAAATTAATTGACCAACTAAAAATATATATACAAAAAATTAGCCAGGCATGGTGGCGCATGCCTGTAGTCCCAGCTACTCGGGAGGCTGAGGCAGTAGGATCGCTGAGTCCCGGAGATTGAGGTTGCTGTGAGCTAGGCTGATGCCACAGCACTCCCTCTAGCCTGGGCAACAAAGTGAGACTCTGTCTCAAAAAAAAAAAAAAAAAAAGACATCATTTATTATACATCAAAAAAGTTATATAACATGTTGGCTAAAAGCAAAATGCTGTGACAAATACCCATGAACCAACTACTCAATCCAACAACTTAAATATAACAGGATACTACTTCACCCGAGGAGAATGGCTGTAATAGAAAGGACAGACAGTAACAAATGGCAACAATGTGAGCAATTGGAAGCTCGTGCACTGCTGGTGGGAACCAACAACGGTGCAGCTGCTTTGGAAAACAGTCTGGCCGCTCCCCACAAAGTTCGACTTCAGAGTCACCATACGGGGCTTAACATTCCTCTTCTAGGTATCTACCCCAAAGGAATGAAAGCAGATGTCCAGACAAAAATTGGGTACACTGACGTTCATGGCAGCATTACTTACAAATTCCAAAAGTGGAAACAACCAACGTCATGTCCATCAGCTGACAGATCAGTAAAGTGCAATACATCCATACGGTGAAATAGAATTCAGCCATGGAAAGGAATGAAGTGCTCATACATGCTACACGCTACCACGTGGAGGAGCTTTGCAAACTTGCTAGTAAAAGCAGCTAGTCACAAAAGATGACATATGATACTATTCCGTTTACATTAAATGTCCAGAATAGGCAAAGTTACAGAGACACTAAAGTAGATGAGTGGTTATCCAGGGCCCGGGGGCCAGCCGCTAGTGGGTATGGATCTCTTTGGGGGTGAAGAAAATGTCCTGGAATTAGATAGTGGATTCGGTTGCACAGCTTTGTGAATATAGCTAAAGCCCGCTGGATTATACACTTTAAAAGAGGGGAATTTTATGGTATATAAATTATACCTCAATAACAACAACAAAAGTAGGTGTGGGGGGTGAAGGTTTATAAAACAAAACAAAACAAACCATATTGCTATTCTGCCCCCTCCCATCTCCCATTACCCTGCCCCAGGTTACCACTGTGTTAAATATACTGTTTATTATTTGTCTTTCCATGACTTTTCTCCCTTGTAATGTCCACAGTTAATTGGGCCGGGCACAGTGGCTCACGCCTGTAACCCCAGCACTTTGGGAGGCCAAGGCAGGAGGATTGCTTGAGGCCAAGAGTTCAAGACCAGCCTGGGCAACATAGCAACCTTGCCTCTACAAAGAGTAGAAAAATATTATTACAGAACATGTTCTTAAAAAAGAAAAAAAATAAAAATAAAAATAAAAAAAAAACAAAGAGTAGAAAAATAAGCTGGGTGACATCACGTACCTCTAGTCCCTGCTACTCAGGAGACTGAGGATAATCGCTTGAGCCCAGGAGTTTGAGGCTGCAGTGAGCTGTGATCATGCCACTGCACTCCAGCCTGGACAACAAAGCAAGACCTTGTCTCAAAACAAAATAAAATATATTGGTACAAAGCCAACTATTTCTAATAAAAATTTCTTTCAACTACAGAAAAGGTAGCATTTTAGAAAATAAAGCACATTCACCCTGTTTTTTAAAAAATGTATGTTAAAGAAATAAATTTATATTTATTGCCAATTAGAAAATAAACAATATGAAATGCAGTTCTGGTTTTTTTCCTAAGAATTTTTTTGGTCAAGGTATGATTTGCAGACAGTGAAATGGACAGATCTCAATTTTACAGTTTCATTAGTTTTAACAAACACATACACCTGTGTAACTCACAACCCTGTCAAGATATAAGACATTTTAGTGTTCTATACCACTATAGGATAACTGTAGTTAACAATAATATGTTAATAGTTTCAAGTGGCTAGAAGGAGGATATTTTTTTTCTTTTTTTGAGACAGAGTCTCACTTTGTTGCCCAGGCTAGAGTGAGTGCCATGGCGTCAGCCTAGCTCACAGCAACCTCAATCTCCTGGGCTCAAGCAATCCTGCTGCCTCAGCCTCCCGAGTAGCTGGGACTACAGGCATGCGCCACGATGCCCAGCTAATTTTTTGTATATGTATATATATTAGTTGGCCAATTAATTTGTTTCTAGTTAGAGTAGAGACGGGGTCTCGCTCTTGCTCGGCTGGTTCGAACTCCTGACCTCGAGCGATCCTCCGCGCTCGGCCTCCCAGAGTGCTAGTATTACAGAGCGTGAGCCACCGTGCGGCCTGGCCTAGAAGGGAGGATATTGAATGTTCCCAATATAAAGAAATGATAAATGTTTGAGACGATGGATATGTTAATTACCTTGATCTGATCATCATACATTATATGCATGGAAACATCACTACGCAGCCTATAAATATTTAGTTAGTGTTTGTCAATTTAAAAAATAAAGTAAAATTAAAATATATAAGACATTAACCAATACCTCAGAAAATCCCCTCGTGTCCCCTCTGAATCCATCCTGACCTTGGGAGCAACCTCAGGTCTGACCTCTGTCACCATAAACATAAATGGGATCAGACAGTATGCACCTCCTCAGCCTCGAATAGCCGGGATGACAGGCACCTGCCACCACGCCTGGCTAAGTTTTCTGTTTTTTGTAGACATGGGATCTTGCTGTTGCTCAGGCTGGTCTCGGACTTCTGACCTCAAGCCATCCTCCCACCTCAGCTCCCAGAGTGCTAGGATTACAGGCGTGAGCCACTGCGCCTGGTTCCAGATTACTTTTACTGAAGGATTCAGAGCATAAGGGAAAGGGGCTATTTTGCATTGACAACCACAACAACTTTTGTAGGAATGACTTCTCCTGTGGTGGGAACAGAAGTGGGCTTATCCCTCAGTGAGTCCCAGAGGGTTTGGTAATGCCTCCGAGGGATATGGATCTAGCACAGTACTATGCAGTGATTTTCCACACAGGCTGAACACAGTCAATTCTCTATCCACAGCAAATCTCGGTTTTGAGTTCTATAGGCATGGACACCATCTTTAACCACGTCCAGCAAAAATTGGAAGATAAATTATCTCATGCCAGACCAATTAACCCCTTTCAATCCCAAAGAAATCATGAACAACAAGCTTCGAGTAAGAATCCAGTTTTGAGTAATCTGCATTAAGAAGTATAGTGTGTGCTTGCACAGGGAGTGGGGCAGGAACCACAGCAGGGAAATTTGATTGTTTTGTATGATTTGAGAATTTGCAGGACTTCAGGTCGTTTTATCCATGCTAATTGTAAAAACAGCTTGCAAAGCCACATACAAATGATTTGTGGGTTAATTGTGCTTAGAGAGTGACTATACATCTGTGTTGGCTTCCTTGGTCCATAGATGATACTAAGTTGCCATACTGAAACATGAAGCACAGGCCTAGAACATGTGTTCTGTGTGTACTGATGTGACGATGGGCTGAGCGTGCAGCTCTGTGGAATGTGAAATGCATGTTGGGAGCAACCATTAAACAACTAGAAAACAACATTATCTTATCAGAATGAGGACTAAATGTCTTCAAGTGATATTCCTTCCTTGCCCAGAGGAATTTCACAGTTTCACTATGCTTATCGAAATAAGCACTGTGGTAGTTGATAGTGGTTGTTATTGTTAGTTGTGGTTTCGTTGGCCAGGGATATCTTCCTCCCATAGAGGATTTCAAGGAAAAGGAAGTCAGTCCTGTAGTCCTGTCTCAGACTCTGGTTTTATCCAGTTTTTGTTTTGTGTTTCCAAATTACAGGTCTGAGCAATTTCTATGCACCCAGTCCTAAGCTTGATACTTGGAGGGATTAAAATAATGTTCAAGTTTTGCTCCTCAAGGAACATCCAGTGTGGGTTGAGGATGTATGTGGGTGGAAGAGTTAGCAACACAGAACGCCTGAGGAATCCCAACTCTGCTACCGTGTTTCTCGAACGGTGGTCTGAGGACCACTGTATCAGAATCGTCCTGGGAGCGTGTTAAAATGCATGTTCCTGGGCCCACTCCAATCTTCTGACTCCAGATCTCTGAGGGCAGGGTCTGGAAACGGGTATTTTAACAACCACAGCCGTGACTCTGGTGCGCACAAAAGTTTGAGAGCCACTGTTATGTCATCTAATCTCAAAGCAATGTCATCTAATGTGTGTACAGCTGCACATGCTTACATTTCCCTGTTTCCCACCTCACCGCACGGTGGGGGCTCTCTTGTTGTCTGTATAGTGGCATAAGGACCAGCAGTTTCCTGAGTTCATCCCACCTTCAAAAAGAAGTTTAGGAAGGAGTTCTGTCTTTGCCTCCTTTCCCTGGCTGGAGACAGGGCAGGGCAAAGGACTTTTCCAAGTGCTCTGCATTTGCATCTTGTAGTCCCGGTTTACATAAAACATTCTCAAACAGGACATTACTTTTTTAAGCCACCTTGTTTTCTAAAATGTTTCAGCTGGAGTAAAAATCAGGTAATTTCTTCCAAAATCCTTTTTAAAGTTGGTGAACATCTAATAGAAAGGTCCATAGGAACTGAATCCCCAGTGGCTTCTATGGTCAGACCCCCCTGCCCTCGCTCACCTCTGCGGCTGTCTCTGTCGGTTTCAGGCGGAAAACTCTCTGTCGTCCTGCGAGCTGAAGAGATCCCGGAGTTCCTGCTGGACGCCCCCACAGCTGCACTTACCCAGGTGACGACAGCCCAGAGATATAACTGTAACCTCTGAGGAGAGTTGCAGTTTTGATTTTTAGAAACAAGAGAAGTTTTTGTCTGTCGGTGTGGCATTTTTATAAGTGCCTCAGAATGAGTGGCATGTGTCCTCTAGATGTATTAATTACTTTCAAAACAAAACCTTGTAGCCCCAGCTCTGGCTCGGTCAAGCGTCAGCTTACCTACAGAAAGAAGCCAAATGCGTCTGCTTGCTCTGTTTTTATTATTATTATTAAGAATCCAAAATATTAATAGTTGACAAGAGAAGAGATCAGATTATAGCAAAACAGATACACGGGTAGATGGGCTTTTATTTATTTATTTATTTATTTATTTTATTGAGACAGAGTCTCACTTTTTGCCCAGGCTAGAGTGCCATGGCGTCAGCCTAGCTCACAGCAACCTCAAACTCCTGGGCTCAAGCGATCCTCCTGCCTCAGCCTCCCGAGTAGCTGGGACTACAGGCATGTGCCACTACGCCTGGCTAGTTTTTTCTATATATATTTTTTTAGTTGTCCAATTAATTTCTTTCTATTTTTAGTAGAGGCAGGGTCTCGCTCTTGCTCAGGCTGGTTTCGAACTCCTGACCTCGAGCAATCCTCCCGCTTCGGCTTCCCAGAGTGGTAGGATTACAGCCGTAAGCCACTGCGCCTGGCCAGGATGGGCTTTTAAAATGTGCTCCCTAGAGTACCCATCTTGGTTTCTATATCCTCTGTCACTTTTTCCCTATAATTTTAAAAAGAAAAATTAAAACATCTGAGACGTAAACAGCTTTGGCCACCTTTTGGCTACTGGGCAGTGTGAAAAGCCATCAGAAAACAGCTGGTTTCTGTGGTTCTGCAGCCCTGACCATAGGACACCATGCTGCTCGCTGGCCTCTGCGCCGTGGTGGGAGCCCCGTGTGCCAGGGTGCAGTCCTCAGATTTTCCAGTTTAGATATGATAAAACTCACAGAGATAAGAGTCTGGATAGACAACTCCCAGGCTGATTGCACGGCCAGAATGCCACCTAAATTAGTTTACAAAGGGCAATACTGCTATGGGTAATGGACTCAGGAGACCAAAGTGCTGATCAGAAAAAATGCGTGTAGAGCAATAGCCTTTGAACTGGTCTCTCTGCCCCTATCCAGGCTATGCACTGCTTCTGGGTGATCTTCCAAAAGCACAGTTCTGACCAATTCCTTTCTGGGAAGCCACACTCCCCTGGATTGGGACAAATGCCTCAGGGCCTTCCAAAGTGTGTAGGGGTGTGTGTGTGCATGTGTGTGTGTTGCTCTGGCCTCACCTCCTGTGTTACCCAGTGTGTATGTTGTGCTTGCTTTCTATTCTCCTGCATTCCCTATTTGATGCCCTTTCTGTCCTCCTACGTTTCTCAAACCTTCTTCCAGCAAAATTCTACCTGTTGTTATGTCCATGTTATAGAGCCTTCTTCCAGCAAAATTCTACCTGTTGTTATGTCCATGTTATAGAGCCTCTTGCTGGATTGATTCCTTTATCATTACATAATGACCTTCTTCATCTTTTTTTTATTTACTGTTTTTGATTTAAAGTCTGTCTTATCTGATATAAGTATGGCTACTCCGACTTGCTTTTGGTTTCCAAGTACATGGAATATCTTTTTCCACTCCTTTATTTTCAATGTATATGTGTCTTTATGGGTAAAGTGAATTTCTTGTAAGCAGCATATAGTTGGATCATTTAAAAAAAATCCATCTGCCAGTCTGTATCTTTTAAGTGGAGCATTTTATCCATTTACATTCAAGGTTAATATTGATATGTTAGGCTTTGTTGTTGTCATATTGTTAGTTGATTTCTAGTTGTTTTAGAATTTCTTTCTTTTTCTCTGTTTTTGTCTTTGTGATTTGCTGAACTTCTGTTATGTTGCCATTTAATTTTTTTTCTCTTCCTCCTTTGTGTGATTATTTTATAAGGCTTGTGAGTTTTATATTTTAGTGTGTTTTCATGATGGTAAATATTGTCCTTTTGTTTCCATGTTTAAGGTTCCTTTGAACATTTTCTGTAGGGCCAATCTACCAGTGACAAATTCTCTCAGTGTTTGCTTGTCTGGGAAAGACTTTATTTCTCCTTAATTTATGAAGCTTAGTCTGGCAGGATATAAAATTTTGGCTGGCAGGTTTTTTCTTTCAGCACTTTGAAAATGCCATCCCATTCTTATCTGGCCTGTAAGGTTTCTGCTGAGAAGTCTGCTGTTAGTCTGACAGAGTTTCCTTTATAGGAACTATAGGTGACTAAATCCTTTTCTCTTTCTAATTTAAAAATTCTCTCTTTCACTTCTCCTTTAGTCATTCTGCTTATAATATGCCATGGTGAAGTCTTTTTTGCAATGTCTTAATATTTGCTTGGGGATTCTGAATATCTAATTCTCTTGGTAGTCCTGGGAAATTTTTATCAATTGTTTTCTTATATAGGTTTCCTAAACTTTCTGATCTCTCTTCTCCCTTAGGAATATCTATAATTTGTTAGTGTAGTTGCTTTTATGTAGCCCCAGACATCTTAAAGGCTTTGCTTATCCTCTTTTATTCTTTTTTCCTTTTTTTTGTCTGGATTGTTGCAAAAGGCCCATCTTCAAGTTCTAAGATTCTTTCTTCTGCTTGTCCTATTCTTGAAGCTTTTGAATGTGTTTTGTATTTCCTTCATTGACTTTCTCAGCTCCAGAAATTTTTTTTTAATGATATCTATCACCTTAGTAAATTTTTCATTCATATCCTGAATTGATTTTCTGATTTCTTTGCATTTGCTTTCTCTTCCATATCATTGAACTTCTTCAGAATCACTATTTGGAATTCTTTATTTGGCATTATGAGGAATACTTTCTTTTTTTTTTTTGAGACGAGTCTCACTTTGTTGTCCAGGCTGAGTGAGTGCCGTGGCGTCCAGCCAGCTCACAGCAACCTCAAACTCCTGGGCTCAAGCGATCCTACTGCCTCAGCCTCCCAAGTAGCTGGAACTACAGGCATGCGCCACCATGCCTAGCTAATTTTTCTATATATATCAGTTGGCCAATTAATTTTCTTTCTATTTATGGTAGAGACAGGGTCTCGCTCTTGCTCAGGCTGGTTTCGAACTCCTGACCTCGAGCAATCCTCCCGCTTCGGCTTCCCAGAGAGCTAGGATTACAGGTGTGAGCCACTGCGCCCGGCCGAAGAATACTTTTTGATTGGGATCTTTTGCTGGACAATTCTTATGGTCCTTTGATGTTATTATATTTCATTGCTTTTTCCGTGTTTCCTGTGTCCTTCTGTTGATATGTGCATATCTGATGTAGCAGTCGCTTGTTCTGATTTTTTGAAATTGTTTTCAAAGAGGAAAATTTTTTCCTGAAGGTATATATACGTTTTTGGTTGAGTAGGACACTTTGGCTTTGATTTTGGCTTCCTAGAGTAGTGTGATCTTTGTATGATTTCTTAGGCAGTACACAGGGTGGTACCTGTGTACCACGCCAGTGGTGCCTGTGATTTCCTTGGTGGTTTAGGGAACAGTTATTAACTGAGGCTGCAGTGAAGTTTTGCTGGGCACTTGAATGGCAGCTGAGCCAGTCTTTGGGTCCCAGTGGTGGAAGCAGTGGAATGAGTATGACTGATTTTAAGCCCCAGAGCAGCTGCTGCTGGCAGCAATGTTAGTGTGTTCTGGGGGGCAAATTCTTGAGCCTTCAGGTGGCTTGTTCAGAAAGTAGAAGTGGGAGCAGAGGGCTAGGGGTGTGGGCAGGGTCTCAGCTCCTGAGCAGCTAGTGTGATGTGAGAGGTGGCTGTAGCAGTGGTAGAGTCACCCAGTAGGGCCCAAATGGTCCATATTGGTGTTACTGGTAGCTGCAGTGGATTGGGCAGGCTAGTGCCCAGTCCCACAGCTGCCAGACATTGCTCTCTGGAGCACTGTCTCTGTGCAATCTCCTAGTAGCTCCCAGTGTTAGGCCAGAGACCGGCATAGCTTGAGGGGTTCTCCTATAGCTAAGATCATAAAAGATCAGCTAGGTGAATGGAGCCCTGGGGGCTTCTCTTTCACTGTTTCTCCACATCCAGGAGCTTCTCTCAGCTCTGCCAGTCCCCAGCCAAGCAAGTTGTCCTGAACCCTCTCCTTACCCACTTTTGGTGCTTCCCTGGTGAATCCTAGCATTCTTTCCTAGACAATCTATTCGAAACGTGAGAATTTCTAACTACACTGGTTTCTCTCCATGGAGGAGGCGCATCCTACCTGTGCCTAGTCAGCTGTCTTAATCCTGTCTCTGGGTTTGGGCTTTTCTTATGACATTTCCACCTTTCTGCCTTTTCTTCATGTAACCGGTGCAGTTACTAACCTCCCTACTAAATTATAAGCCTCTGTGGCTCTTATGCACCTTTAAATGAGAATCTCCACCCACTATACCCAGCACAGTGATTTCAGAATTAGGAACTCGATGATTATGTGTTGTTTGGAATTGACAAGCAGAGGCAAGAGCTGAGAGGAGACTGGGGAAAATTGGAAAGATACTTGCCAGCAGGGAGCAAGTGTGTGGCGTCTTTAGTAAACACGGATGATAGCTCCATTGAGAAAGCAATACGGCCCCCGGGTGGGTCAGTTATCACAGGTCTGCAGAGTACTTGGTTCTGAGCAGATGCCATCTCCTACGGTCCTCATCCCGAGGGTGATCTGAGAGAGGGAGAGGACAGGCAATGACCTAATCACGACAAAGATAGAGATGGACAGCCAGCCAGGCTCGCTGAGGGCAGTGGGGGAAGAGAGGAATGATCACAGCGGTGTCTTCGTGTGTTTAGACTCTGTGGGTCTGAAGTCTTTCGAGCACGTGCAGACCAGACACAGGGCAGAAGGGCATGCCTTTATCGCAAGTGTGGGTGGGGGTGTCGACAACCAGGACCGGGAGGGTTGTGCTGTCAGCTGACAGAGTGGGCCAGGCTGGGGCTAACCGGGCTGGACCTCAGACAGTGGCCTGAAATTAAAACAAAATCTAAAAACCCAATGGGGTCCGCAGAGATCACCGTGCAGCCCAACGGCTGGCTGGGGGCTCCACTGCCTCCAGCCTGGCCACGTGCGAGGGCCGCGTGGAGGAGGCTGCGGGGCAGTGCTGACTCTCTCTCCCTCCCTCTCCCACCCCTGCACGGGTGGGAGCCCGCCACCACTTACCACGCACACTTAGCGTGCGCTTCCTGCGTGCCCAACACCTGGCCGAGCCCACAGACGGTGGATTCCCAACAACACGCAGACACAGGCGCCCCCACATACTCCTCGCCCGGCCCGCCTCGGCCCGTAGAAAGCCCCACTTTGCAGTCGCAGAGAGGAGCCCTCAGAGCAGCCCTCTGTCTTGGAAACGCTTATGCTCCCACGACCCTGTTTGCTTCTTTCCAGGACTCGGTCGATTTCCTCTCTCTCGATTTGTCTTACGAATGCCAAAATGAGGCGAGTCTGCTGCAGAAGCTGCGTAAATTGCAGGTAAGTGGAGCCCTTTCCACACCGACGATGCGAGGCCAGGTTCCCGGGAGCGCGGGCCGCGTCTGATGCCCTGGCTGCTGCGTGAGGCGACCTGCCGTCCGCAGTCAGAGGACTGGCTGATGGCACCTGGGAGTGTCCCTAGAGAGCGCCAGGTGCTGGGCAGCCTCTCCAAGAACGGGTAACGGGGGTCAGACTGTTAAGGTAAATGCTGACGAGGATCTTCTGTGCTCTCGTGTAGAAATCTACTGGGAATCGAAATTCCAGTGTTCACTCTGAGTTTTATTTATTTATTTATTTATTTTATTTTATTTTATTTTATTTTATTTTATTTTATTTTATTTTTTGAGACAAGAGTCTCACTCTGTTGCCTGGGCTAGAGTGCCATGGCATCGGCCTAGCTCACAGCAACCTCAAACTCCTGGGCTCAAGCAATCCTCCTGCCTCAGCCTCCCGAGTAGCTGGGACTACAGGCATGCGCCACCATTCCCTGCTCATATTTTCTGTATATTTTTAGTTGGACAATTAATTTCTTTCTATTTTTAGTAGAGACGGGGGTCTCGCTCTTGCTCAGGCTGGTTTCGAACTCCTGACCTTGAGCGATCTGCCCACCTCGACCTCCCAGAGTGCTAGGGTTACAGGCGTGAGCCACCGAGCCCGGCCCACTCTGAGATTTAAAAAGACAATTCACTGGTGGTGGTGATGGCTGCCCACCGTGAATCTGCTTAATGCCACTGAACTGTACCCTTACAAAATGGTTACGATTTTATGTTTATGTCTATTTTACAACAGTTTCTTTAAAAGCAAAACATTCCACACATTTCACACGCAGGTCTATTAAGCCAGATCGCAGCCGTGGGGACCTCCCAGTGAGCACAAGACTCTGCTTCCTGCACCCAGTATTGTTTTATCAAGTCTAACCATTCCAGCTCATTAGAGAAAGCTTGTTAGGAGCCTCCTATCCAAGATTCAGGTTTCTCTCTTATGCTTGGTCACTGCTGTGCACCTTAATTCCCTGGAGTCCCAACTAACTAGCCTCCATCTCCTGGCAAGGCTTACCTGGTGGCGCCCAGTGGTTTCTCCAGGACCTCCCGAATTCTAGCAGTATCCCCATACTTACCCTGATCAGCTGCCTTCTCTGGGCCTGTCCAGCGATGTCTGACCTCTTGCCCCTGTGGGTTTGGGCAGGAAGCCACTGCCCTTTGCACGGCAGCCCCACGGCCTCTGGTTTTGAATCCCACCACCTCCACCGCCAGGAAGGATGGCTTACCTGAGGAATTATCTGTTTAAAGGCCCAGCTCAGTAATGTCGAACGCTCAGCACTTCGGCTACAGGGAACCTCTGTGTTGCAGCGCTGCTTTTGTTATTTGCAAATAATAAGATGATCTCATCAAAGACAGTAGATGCATCCACGAGACATTTGAGACATAGCTGCATGGTTTAGTGCTCACCAGACACTAAATGAGGCCCTCTATCCTCACATTGTCTCCACCCTTTACAATGCACCCTAAAGTTTAAGAAATTAAACCCAGGTCAGACACTGGGTAGTGGGCCTCAGAGGTGGGACTTTTTTTTTGAGACAGGGTCTCACTGTGTTGTCCAGGCTGGTCTCAAACTCCTGGGCTCATGTGATCCTCCCACCTGGGCCTCCTGAGTAGCTGGGATTACAGGCACCAGCCACAGTGCCAGGCTCCAGAGGTGGGATTTAAACCAGGACTTTCTCTTTCACCTCTTGACCTAAATAGGAAATAAAATAAAATAAACTACCAGGGCTTTCTCATTCTAAGATATCACACTACCTTTCCAAACAAAAATAAGTCCAAGGTATAGGGACCATATAATGAGGATGGTTTAATATTTTTAAAAATCACATATGATCAATCTTTGTTTTGTGTGTGTATTTTGTTTTGTTTTGTTTTGTTTTGTTTGTTTTGTTTTGTTTTGAGAGAGAGAGTGTCACTCAGTTGCCCTGGCTAGAGTGCCGTGGCATCAGCCTAGCTCACAGCAACCTCAAACTCCTGGGCTCAAGTGATCCTCCTGCCTCAGCCTCCAGAGTAGCTGGGACTACAGGCATGCGCCACCATTCCCTGCTCATATTTTCTGTATATTTTTAGTTGGACAATTAATTTCTTTCTATTTTTAGTAGAGACAGGGGTCTCGCTCTTGCTCAGGCTGGTTTCGAACTCCTGACCTCGAGTGATCCGCCCGCCTCGGCCTCCCAGAGTACTAGGATTACAGGCGTGAGCCACTGCGCCCAGCTAATCTTTGTTATTTTTATAAACACTTTCTCGCCTGAACCTGAACTTGCGTGCAACCCACAGCTTGCACTTGTGGGCTTGCTGACGAGATTTCTGGGCCCCAAACAACTTTGTGGTGTCTTCCAGGTCTACGGTGTCTCTGCTGACCAAATCTGTCTTTTGTCCTCCTTGAGGAATTAGACCAGAGCTTGTTGCTAAGCCAACGGGTTCACATTTTAAAACCATCACCACTATGCAGAGGCCGTGCAGCCTCTGAGAGACAGTCAGCAGGGGCTCTGGCACTGTTTGTGCTCGAGGATGTGCTTTACGGGGTTCATGTGGTTCCCTTGTCATATGAAAACATTTTCAAGAAGACCCGCTCCTGCGCACGTCTGGATAAAGCTGTGAAACTCCAGTCTGTAGCCAGCCAGCCAAACGGTAACACTCGAACAAACTTAGCAGTCACTTGCTGCACCCTGCAACCAACCGGTCTTCACTGCTTTTATTTCCTTGGGTAGGAATTCAAATCCAGACGCTGCACTTGACAGCTCAGAGGCAGCCTCCAAGACTCAGAATGACAGCTGACGACAGCTGAGCTGGCGAGGAGACGTCCCTCTCTGGGATGCCAGCTACATGCCCGGCGGCATGTCCCATGCACGGTTACCACGCCCAGGACGGGAAGGACAGCTGAGTGCTCCCTGCAGAGAGGGGCTGAGCTGTGTCCCCAGGAGCCTGAATCACGGCTTCCTTCCCCACATACCCTCCCTCCTCATGCCAGGCCCCCTCCCTCCTCTTGAAGGGGCCTCTTCCCTGGGCTGTGGAGGGGAGAGGGCGGAGGCCATGCAGGGAGGGGCGGGCACCTGCTCCTTCCCTCCAGCTCCCAGGGCACCTGCACACCCCTCTCTAAGCCTCCCCAATGGGCTCCCAGCTGTCTCAGGTTGCCCTGAGGCTGTCAGCAGGCCCTGCACCCCGATGAAGAGCCAGGGCACACCCCCAGGTTCTGAATTCTGCAGGAGGCACAAGGGGGTCCCACGTCCACTTACCAGAAAAGGTCCTGCTCCCCCAGGGAACTCTGCGCTTGGCAAGAGGCAGGACACGGGGGGCCTCCAAGACTCCTCTAGCTCCCTAGTCCTGGGAATGACAGGCTGCCCCACTGCATGCTGATCGCCCAGGAAGGAAAATCCTGGGCTCCCTGAGCACGCCATCCTCGGTCGTCTGGCTCCCTGCGTTGACCCCACACAGGGAAGGATGAGGGCTACATGGAGTGGCAGCCCCCTTAACTATGTGGTACGGGCACCTCACTCGGCCTCTTGGAGCTTCAGGCACCTCATCTGTAAAGAAGGGACATTGTCCCAGGTGGCTGTGAGGAAATAAAGCATGTGCCTGGCTCTTTTTAAAGTACTTGCTGCTGGTGTCTCTTGGTAGCTTCTAGTGGCTCAGAGGAGGAAAAAGTTAGTGTGGGAAAAATGACCAAACCCTGACCTCCCAGGAAACCTAAGTTTAAAGTGAAGTCAGGTGGGACACAGTGGCTCATACCTGTAATCCTAGCACTTTGGGAGGCCAAGGCAGGAGGATCTCTGAGGCCAGGAGTTCAAGACCAGCCTGAGCAATAGCAAGACGCCGTCCCTACAAAAAATAAGAAAAATTAGCCAGGCGTCACAGTGTGGGTCTGTAGTTCCCAGCTACTCGGGAGGCTGAGGCAGGAGCATCCTGTGAACCCGGGAGTGTGAGGTTGTAGTGAGCTGTGATGACGCCGCTGCTCTCTAGCCCAGGCACAAGACAGAGATCCTGTCTCAAAATAAAAACTAATAAAAGAAAATTAAACTGAAAAGTCAAACAACCTAGCAGCCTAGAGATATTTCCCTTGATACTGAAATGGCTAGAAATGGGGTGAAGAGGGATTACACTTGCTCCAAGTTTAATGACAGCTCTCTTGACTTTTTAAAAAAAGTCAAAGTCATATTTTTGTTATAGAAAATTCCAAATATCCAAAAGTAGAGAGAATGATGAACCCCAATAAAGCTATCACCAGCTTCAGGAGCTACTGATTCATGGCTAACCTTGTTTCACCTACACCCCTAACTTGTCCCTCCCAAACTGGATTATCTGACACAAACCCCAGACATCCATAAACATGGCAAAAGTGGCCTTTTATTTATTTTAAATTTTTTAAATTTTTTTTGAGACAGAGTCTCACTCTGTTCCCGGGCTAGAGTGCCATGGCGTCAGCCTAGCTCACAGCAACCTCAAACTCCTGGGCTCAAGTGATCCTCCTGCCTCAGCCTCCCGAGTGGCTGGGACTACAGGCATGTGCCGAGATGGTGGCCTTTTAACTAGGCTCCTGATGTGAGTGGACAGGCTTGTTCCCCACCCTAACACAGGGCCTGGCTCTAAGAGGGGCCTCATCCGCGTGAGATGAAGGAGCAGGTGGAGGTGGGCGTCGGTGGGGAGGGGGCCTATGTTACTGAAAAGCGTAGGTCTTTCTCTTTCAGCTTCCTTAATTAATTGAGATGGCTAGAGGTCATGTCCAAAGCCAGAGAAAGTTTTCATAGCTTCTTATCTTAAACCCCTGCCCCTGTTATCAAAAGATACTTTCCAAAGAGCTTTGGTTCACTTGCTCGTCTTTTGTCTTTTCCAGACGATTGAGCCAAAAGTGAAAGTTTTCATCTTCAACCTCAAACTCCAGGACTGCCCCTCCAGCAGGAAGAGCCCAGACAGGCTCCTCTTCAGCCTTCTCGAAGGTGAGTGGGCCATCGCTGGGGAGGTTTTATGGTGACATTTGGTGCACTGGTTTGGTGAGTAGCAGTCTTGAAATCTGGGGTTCCAGTGGGAGGAGAGCACAGAAGGAAGGCTGGTCTGAGAGGCCCCTCCAGACAGGGTTAGTGTGTCCTGCCTTCCTGTGGACAGCCCCTTGCAACTGGCCCCCATTGAACTAAGAAAGAGAAGAGGTTCTGCATAAGGATGCCTCTTATAGAAATAAAGACTATCAGGGCGCAGATGTGAGCTGTCAGCTTGGAAACTGATCTTTGCCTGTCTGTCCTCTTCCATTACCTCTCCCCTCAAGGCCTCTCATCTCTGCTGCTCTCAACAAGGCTGTCTCGTGCCTCTCTCCCCAGCCAGCCCTTTCTGCTTGCCCTAATCCCATGTCCCCATTATCTCAGACTGCATGTGGCCCTGGTGGGTACCTGACCAAGATGCTAAGAACCCTCAGGTCTAGGACTCACAGCCCAAGGACTGTCTTCTTGGAGTCTCTTAGTTCCAATTCTTGAGAGTAGATCTGATTGGCTGGCCATGCATCAGAAGGCTGTTCCTGGTCCAATCAAGTCAAGGGCAAGGTGGGGGCTGTTAAGGCGTGAAGGCTGGTGGTCGCTGGAGTCTCTGCAGGAAGGGAGGAGGAGGCAGAGGGGCACATGCCCAAGGGTCCTGATATTCAGTCCTGTCACCCTAATCCACAGGCCAGAGGATGGGAGAAGTCAGTGGTGCCTTTCCCACTATTTGTCTGAGTCCGTTTTGTGTTACTATAACAGAATACCCGAGACTGGGCCATTTATAAAGAAAAGAAGTTTATTTAGCCCACAGTTCTGGAGGCTGGGAAGTTCAAGGTTGGGCGGCTGCATCTGGTCACCTAGCGAGGGCCTCATAACATGGTGGAGAGGTGGAACAGGAAGCGAGCACCTGCAAACGGGTGAAACACGAGAGGCAGCCTTGCTTTATGCCCACTCTCCTGGAAACTAATCCAGTCCTGCAAGAGCGGAACTCACTCCCTGAATTAATCCTTTCGTGAGGGTGAATTTCTCATGGCCCAACCACTTCTTAAGGCCCCACCACCTCTCAGCACCGTTACTCTGGCAGTTAAATTTCTGATGATTTTGGGGGGAGACAAACCACATCCAAACACACCTGTAACCCCTGCCAGCACTGGGCTGGCTCCACGGGCTCCCTGAAGCTCGTCCATTCTATAGATATCTTTAATAACCCTTACTGTAACTTTTTTCTGGAGTCACAGTCTCACTATGTTGCCCAGGCTGGTCTTGAACTCCTGATCTCAAGCGATGCTCCCTGACCTCCTAAAGTGCTAGGATTACAGGTGTGAGCCACCACCCCTGATCCCTAACTCACCTTTGATGGCTTAACAATGTCTGCTCTTAAATCTCACTCCTTTCTAAATATTCAAAATGGCAACTTTTATGTTTATATATAGTTTACCATAATTTTAAGATAATTCCACCCCTTTCTGATGTTTGCGTTTCTCTAAATCAATTGTTCTCAAAGTTGCAGTCCCAGATCTGCAACATCAAATCAGCCCCACACGAGAACTTGTTAGACATGCTTGTTCTCTGCTGGACCAGAATCTCTGGGAATGGGCCCGGCAACTTGCGTTTTAACAAACTCTGTGGGTGATTTTGATTCATGCTGAAGTTTGAGAACCATATTTTAAGTCATAAGTAAACAGAAATCACTTCTAACCTCTTTAAGTCCTTGGCCCATGGTATTTTCCAGAGGGGCCTGAAACCATTGCTTGGAGTTTGGGCGTGTTGTCCAAGTGAGGAAAACTCACTTGTACATGCGTGCTCTTGCTTGGGCTTCACATAGAATAAATTCAACTTCTTCTCTTACAGCCATAAATAATGACCAAGTGCTCACCCTTGGGTTTGATATTGAGGAATTCCTGAGTTGTTCATCAAGTTCCAAGAAAAGGTAATGTCAGACTGCCTGTTGAACCATCCGTAACTGATATTCGTAGAAGACTCTTCTGTTCACATGTGTGACCTCATGGGCCTTTTGTCATTGCCTCTTGGGCCAGTGAGTTCATTACGGCCATTCAATCAACAGATGGGAGCAAAAGGCTCAGGGAGAAAGCGGGAGGACCCGGCTCTCACGGAGCCTTCCCACACGGGTCCGCGTCCCACCTGTCCCCTCACCCTGCTGCACGTGACTCGCAGAGCTGGGATCTGAGCCCCTGCCTTCCAGCTTAAGGTTTTGTTGGAGGAGGTGTGAGCTTGTGGAAGAGCAGCCAGGCCAAAGATCGAGCTGGCCATCCTGCCCAAGTTACGTGGACAACTGAGGGACACGTCAGGGGCGTCTGAGTAGGAGGGGGGCATTCTCCACCCCCGTTTCCTCCATGCGAAATCTGAAACGCCTTCCCCAGGAGGAGACAGCGTGGGTAGGAAAACCAGTTTCGAGGCCGGAGCCTAACTCAATGGTGTTCACAGGACAGAGGTTTTAGTTTATTTATTTTATTTTTTAAATTTTTTTATTTAAATTTTTCTTTTATTTATTTTATTTTTCTTCTGGCAATGGACTGATGGAGGGACAGAGGTTTTAATCTGGTGGGGTTGCAAACGATTTCTTCCTGAATGACTCAAGTACCAAAGTTTGCAAACGATACACTTGAACAAAATCAGGGCAGACTCGAGGTTACGCCCAATATTACATTACTCGCATGCACCCGTACCCCAGTCAATGCGCTTCCCGGGTGAGCGAGAAAAGAGCGGCGTCGGCCAGGCCTGTAATCCCAGCACTCGGGGCAGGCCAGAGGCAGGGATTGCTCAGGTCAGGAGTTCAAACCAGCCTGAGCAAGAGTGAGACCCCGTCTCTACTAATAAATAGAAAGAAATTAATTGGCCAGACTAATATTCTATTATGAAAAAATAGCCGGGCTCGGTGGTGCATGCTGTAGTCCCAGCTACTCAGGAGAGCTGAGGCAGCAGGATTGCTTGAGCCCAGGAGTTTGAGGTTGCTGGAGCTAGGCTTAGCCAGGCACTCACTCTAGCCTGGGCAACAAAGCGAGACTCTGTCTCAAAAAAAAAAAAGAGTGGTGTGGAAACCAGCCCTGGGAGCTCCCCAGCACCTCGGCACCCCTCGGGGTGCGCGCACGCGCATGACCTCACACACTGTGCCTTAACATGGGACAGAGGCTGGGGTGATCGTGTGGCTTCCAGACCTTCAGCGAGAGCTCTCCTTGTCACTTACCTCTGACATTTCATAAACTTCAGCGCCTCCACCTCTCTGTACTTTTCCTCTCCCAGCACCTGGCTGTCCTGAGCCACAACCTCCTTCTATTTTTCCCTCCTCTTAACTCATTTTATTTTATTTTATTTATTTTTTGAGACGGAGTCTCACTTTCTTGCCTGAGCTAGAATGCCGTGGCGTCAGCCTAGCTCACAGCAACCTCAAACTGCTGGGCTCAAGCGATCCTACTGCCTCAGCCTCCCAAGTAGCTGGGACTACAGGCTTGCGCTACTGTGCCCGGCTAATTTTTTTCTGTTTTTAGTTGTCTGGCTAATTTCTTTCTATTTATAGTAGAGACTGGGTCTTGCTCTTGCTCAGGCTGGTCTCGAACTCCTGAGCTCAAGCAATCCTCCCGCCTCGGCCTCCCAGAGTGCTAGGATTACAGGTGTGAGTCTCAACTCACTTCAGATCAGCAGTTCGGATCAACAGACCCCACGCAGCGGCTGCACAGCAGGCTTCGTCCGGCAGACGAGAGTCACAGTTGTCCCCTCATCGCCCCTGGAGTCAGCCAAGGAGTGCCGACCTGTGTCTTTGGGAAAGAAAACTCCAGAGGCTGTAATAAAATGGGTTCCCTGAGAGGCCAGCGATTACAAAACCACAGTTGATGATTACAAAACGCTAATAACACCAGCTCCAAGGTTCTCCAACGCCTGACTTTGTATAGTTCACCTGGGAGAAAGGTCTAACATCGGCTTATGTGAGACTGACAGGGCCAGTACTCAGGTGGACGTGGGCGGAGGGCCTGCGGGGCGGGTGGGGGGAGATTTCAGAGAGGGCTGACCTGGTTTTCTCCCTCGAGAATTTTTTTTTTTCACCACTAAACAAAAGGATTTATCTGAGAATTTCCAAACCTGCCAGAAGTGGCACTTACCAAGCCCCAAAAGACAACAGCAATCTTCCCAGCCCCCTCTTCCTCTGCCCTCCACCATGCACCCACCCACACCGCAGGCCGATGCTAGAGAAACTGCACCTGATCCCTCTCCTCTAGGAGGCTTTACCCCCCATACCGGAGTATCTGGGGAGGCAGCCCTCTGACATCCCAGGAGATGATGGCGGCCAAAGCCATATGGATGGATTGAGGAAAGAAATTAAGTAAAGAGGCACCAAACAGGGCTCCATGGAAAACCTCAACGTACCCCTGTATAAAAAAGTGGCTCCTCTGGCCGGGCGTGGTGGCTCACACCTGTAATCCTAGCACTCTGGGAGGCCGAGGCGAGCAGATTGTTCCAGGTCAGGAGTTCGAAACCAACCTGAGCAAGAGCGAGACCCCATCTCTACTATAAATAGAAAGAAATTAATTGGCCAACTAATATATAGTAAAAAAATTAGCGTGGGCATGGTGGCACATGCCTGTAGTCCCAGCTACTCGGGAGGGGCTGAGGCAGCGGAGGGATCGCCTTTCGGAGCGCAGGGAATTGACGTTGCTGTGAGGCTAGGGGGCATGCCTCCCACGGCCACCTCGACTCTACGCACTGCGCCGCAACAGAGTGAGGACTCTTTGTCTCAAAAAAAAAAAAAAACAAAAAAAGCTGGGGCTCCCAACATACGAAGAAACCCATTGCGCTCCCCAAATTGTTGAGTCAAATATAGATCGCTACCGTATATATATTTTTTGAGGTTTAGCTTCAGTCTTTAATGCTGTCACGCTGCATATTGACAAGTCACACGCTTTGGCCCCCTATTGGCAGTGGCAACTTACAATGAATCTAAAGGTCCAGCACCAGACCAGCCTACAGGGAACAGACATTTGTTCCAAGCCCACCCCCCCCCAAGGTAAAGCGGAGAGGCCCCTGCGCGACTCTCATATCCACGGAGCAGGGACACACAGCACTGCACCCCAGGGGAGGCACAAAAGAGCATTATCTGGGTGTTGTGAGGAGTGTCGCTGAAGGAGGGGTACTGGGGGCAACTAGGCTAAATCTCTAAGTTAGGCAAACCCGGCACTCCCAGCCCCAAGGCCCGTATGGCGAGTTCTGTCCCATCCCGGGGTGGTTTGTGTCCTGAGGTCTCTTTTCACGCAGGCCAGGAGGACAGAGTGGGGTGAGAAGGGCTGGGTCAGGGCCAGGTCACGGCGCTTACGTTCACGCGCACGCGCACAGCCGGGGCTGAGCGCGCAGGTGCAGCGGCGCGCCCCGGGCTGCGCTGCAGACGCGTGCGCATGTTTTGGAGAATCTACTAGGGCTGTCGTGATCGTTTCCCTCTCTGCTGCTCCTGCAAATGCGAGGGGGCCCACGCTGAGCGAAACGAAAGCGGGGTGCCTAGGTCGGGAAGACCCTGCCCCACCCCCACTGTGGGGCGACTCAGGCCCAGACTTTACACCTTGGGAGGGAGACCCCTCTGCAGTGTCCCTGTTGCTTCTACCAGGCAAAAGCGCCAGCCCCTCTCCACTGACGGCAGGGGGTGGAGGGGTGTGGGGGCTTCTTGTACCGCACCTCCTTCTCCCCAGGCGCGGCCCGTCTGCAGACCCACAGACCCATTCTGCCAGCCCGTCCCCAACGCTGCCTTCTGCTGGGTGCCATCTGCAGCACGCTATGGGGCTGTGGACACAGTACGGGGGCTGTTAAATCAGTTTAGAGGCCGGCAGCCAAAATGTTTTTAAAAAAAAGGAAAAAAAAAAAATTCGAAAAAAAGGAAAGAAGGAATGAGAGAGAAAGACACAGACTACAATAAAACAGAAAATATCAGACTACATTGCATATAAGGATAGCACTTTTGCTGATATTTTATTTCAGATATATTACATATGTACACATACAGGTACATAAACATAAACATATACACACATAATGGTATAGTGGTTAAAAGCACGGACTCTGCTCCACCACTTGCAAGCTATGTGGTCAAGGAGAAGTTACTCAATCATCAGGGATCCAGGCTTCTAGCTTGTCACCCCTCACAAGGCTTTTGCCTCATGGTCCAGGATGGATGCTTGAGCTCCTGCACATTATGTCTGTATTCCAGGCAGTAGGAAAAAGAAAGGAGGCTGCAGCCAGGGCTGATACTCAGTTGTTCCACATCAGTAGAGCTGTACCAGTAGTTCAAGTATTTAAATACCTCTCTACTAGCTGGTAAAGAGCTGCTGGCCTCTGAAGTCCAGAAGTTACTCATTTCCACAAGTCCCAGTTTCCTCCTCTATGGTATGAGGATAAATAATTGTAGTACTATTTCCATTAATTTGTAAAATCTAATGAGATAATACACATAGATTCTTATCACAGTGGCCAGCACAGAATCGAGGCTCAATGAATTGAAGTCACCATTATTATGGGCTGTGTTTTATAAAATAATTATAAGAAGAATGAAGTGTGGCACCAGACAGTCTTCAAGGGCAACCTAATAGGAGGACAGGGGCACTGCTGCTGTCTTCACTCATGGAATAGCAAAAATGACTCACCAAGGAAGGGTGGCAATAATGATTCTTTCTAGTGTTACAGCTATTTAATTTTATTTTATTTTATTTTAAGACAGAGTCTCACTTTGTTGCCCAGGCTAGAGTGAGTGCCGTGGGTCAGCCTAGCTCACAGCAACTCAATCTCCTGAGCTCAAGCAATCTTTCTGTCTCAGCCTCCGAGTAGCTGGTACAGGCATGCGCCACCATGGCCCGCTAATTTTGTATATTATTTTTAGTTGGTCAATATTTATTTCTATTTTCTAGTAGAGACGGGGTCATCGCTCGGGGTGTTTCGAACTCTGACTAGGCAATCGCCGCTCAGCCTCCCAGAGTGCTAGGATTACAGGCGTAAGCCACCGAGGCCGTGCCTGTTGCAGCTCTTTTAGAGTTTGTGTAGCAGGTTTTCTGGTCCTCACCAGAAGAAAGACCCCCCCCCCGCAACACACACCAGACTAAAAAAATTAAAATAAAAAATAATAATTTTCTCACCTACTAGTCACTTCCTGCCCCTGGCTCTGCAGCTATGGCCTTCGACTCGGTGTTTCTGGAATCTCTGCTGAGTAAACACGTTGCCTGCGTTCATCAGCAGGGGCATTTGTAACTGGCAGTCATTCATCACTGTCCGTGTCATTTCACTCCCACAGCGTGTCGTGTTCTCTGCCTGACAGCCTGAGCCTCGGGACGGACCAGCCGCAGGGCCAGGAGGTGGCGGCCGTCTCCTCGCCCCCGGGCTCTGCCTACCAGAGCGTCTGGGGAAGGTTTGCCAACCAGTCCAGCGCAGAGAGGGACGCCTTCCTGCAGGGCGTCTTCCCCGAGGCCTTCCTCTGGGGTGTCTCCACGGCAGCCTTTAGCGTGGAGGGCGGCTGGGCCGAGGGCGGGAGAGGGCCAAGCGTCTGGGACCGGTTTGGGCTCCTGAACGCCACCAGGGGCCGAGCGACACCGGAGGTGGCCAGCGACAGCTACCACAAGGCGGCCTCTGACGTGGCCCTGCTTCGTGGCCTCCGGGCTCAGGTGTACAAGTTCTCCATCTCCTGGTCCCGGCTCTTCCCCACGGGGCGTGGGACCAGCCCCAGCCCCGCCGGCGTCGCCTACTACGACAAGCTTATTGACCACTTGCTGGACTCGGGCATCCAGCCCATGGCCACGCTGTTCCACTGGGACCTGCCGCAGGCCCTGCAGGATCTCGGTGGGTGGCAGGACGAGAGCGTGGTGGATGCCTTCCTGGACTACGCGGCCTTCTGCTTCTCCGCTTTTGGGGACCGCGTGAAGCTGTGGGTGACCTTCCACGAGCCCTGGGTGATGAGCTACGCAGGCTACGGCACCGGCCAGCACGCTCCGGGCATCTCTGACCCCGGGGTGGCCTCTTTTAAGGTACTTCCCATCCCTGTAGCCCCTACTAATTGGAGAAGGAAGGACACTGGCTGGAAGAAAGCCATTTCATCTTCCGCCATCAGCGAGTCTTCACTATTCGTTCTTTAAAGGAAATCAGAGCGAGGGAAGGAGCCATAAATTGTTGGTTACCTTATCTGGTCTAGATGCTGTGCCGGCACTTTACGAATAGTTATTCCACCCTTGGATAGCACTGACGGGCCAGGGAAGTGGAGCTCGGACAGGACGTACAACCCGGTCGTGATGACGGTGCCAGTGGGTTGCCAGGTGGAGGTCAGGACTTGAGCCCAAGCCTCCCTGACTCCAAACCAAGTTCCCCACGTGACCTGGGACTTTTAGCGGCAAGTGACCGAAAACCCAACCCCAACTGACTTAAGCAAGGAGAAAATACACGCATATAGGAAGCTGAAAATTCTTGGGTTTAACTCGACCAGGGTGGAGGTTGATCAGGGCACAAACGACATCACCAGAGCCCAGTTGTCCTCCCTCCCTGGCTCCTCTCGTCAATTTTATGCTGGGGCTGCTTGGCAGCCGATGGCAGCAGCCCTGCTTCTGTTCTTTCCTGACCAGGCCGGGCGTGCTGGCTCACGCCTGTAATCCTAGCACTCTGGGAGGCCGAGGCAGGCAGATTGCTCGAGGTCAGGAGTTCGAGACATCCTTCCCCCCCCCCATCTCTACTATAAATAGAAAGAAATTAGCCAAACAACTAAAAACAGAAAAAATTAGCCAGGCACAGTGGCGCGTGCCTGCAGTCCCAGCTACCCGGGAGGCTGAGGCAGAAGGATTGCCTGAGCCCAGGAGTTTGAGGTTGCTGTGAGCTAGGCTGACGCCATGGCACTCTAGCCCAGGCAAGAGAGTGAGACTCTGTCTCAAATAAATAGATAAATAAATAAATGAAAGACCAGCAGGAAAGAAAGCTCACCTCTCTTCTGCCGTTCCCAGCAAAAGTGCCCCTGTGTCTCGTGGCCTCTGAGTGGCCGCATGCCCATCCCCCATTCCTTGCTGGTTCCCGGTGAGGGGCTGTGGTGACCCACTGGCGTGAGGCAATGTCCCAGCTGCACCCTCCACACGCTGGCCGAGGGCTGAGGAGGTGGGGGGGGCACCTTTCCACAGGGCAGTCAGGGCACCATATCCACAAGCAGGGCAGGCATATGCTGGGGACAAAGTTTAAACTGGCTTAATAAGGGTCCTTGCCGTCATCTCCCTTTTCTTCAGAGTCTCCCAGCAGGCCCACCAGCTTTCCCTGGCAGCATTCTTCAGGACAGACGTGTCAGGCTGGCTGTCCTCTGTCCCTCTTTGGGTTCTGTCCTTAAATAAGAGTTATTTCCTATGCCCTGTGCTAGATCTGTGTAGAGGGAGACACAGCCATGGCCCTGGCATGTTATAAACTTCTGGGGGAGACGATACTAACACAGAGAATAACATTAGAGAATGATTCGAGAAGTCCACAGTTAGGGTGAGCTGGAACACCATGAATAAATGACTCAGTGAAATGCCAAAGTTACCGCACGTAAGTCAAAACTTCCATTCTGCTCTTGTACGGCAAGTGACGGCACATACAGAGAGACCACCTTCTGAAAACGGAAGGTTTCAAACTTTCTGTTTTGTCTCCGTGTTGTAAAAGTTATCCAAACCTACTCGGGAGGCTGAGGCAGGAGGATTGCTTGAGCCCAGGAGTTTGAGGTTGCTGTGAGCTAGGCTGACGCCACAGCACTCACTCTAGCCCAGACAAAAGAGTGAGACTCTGTCTCAAAAAAAAATGAAAAATAAATAAATAAATAAATAAAAATAAAAGGCAAGAGGAGAGCAAGCTAAAATGTAGCGGGCTCATGCCTGCACTCCACGTTTCTGCTCGGTGCTTTATATACACTTATTTAACCCTCCCAAGCGAATCTATGACTAACCCACTTCTCACAGACAAGAAAGATGAAGTTGAAAGAGCAGATTGTCTAAGTTTACAGAACAAGTCAGTGGTAGAGTCAAGATTTAAATCTAGACTGAAATCCACCACCTCCCCTTCCCCTATTTCTCCATGATGCTACACCAAGGAAAGCTATTGACTTTTGTAAGACCATGAGTTCAGTCTACAAAGGGATTCCTAGTGGTAATTTTTCTTCCTAGATTTCATTAAATAGAAAAGAGAACAAGTGGGCTACAAAGAGGGTCCTGTCCCTCGTGTGTTAATTAAAATACTCCTGGGCCGGGCACGGTGGTTCACGCCTGTAAGCCTAGCACTCTGGGAAGCTGAGATGGGTGGATCGTTTGAGCTCCAGAGTTCAAAACCAGCCTGAGCAAGAGCAAGACCCCGTCTCTACAAGACCCCTGTCTCTTTCTATTTCTAAAAATAGAAAGAAATTAATTGGACAACTAAAAATATATAGAAAAAGATTTAGCTGCCGCATCCTGGCCACATGCCCCTGTAGGAGTCCAAAGCTACTCGGGGAGGCTGCAGGCAGAAGGATTGCTTCGAAGCGCCCTGAGTTATTGCTGTGAGCTGTGAGGATGGATGCCATGGCCTCAAAGCCTGCAGCAGGAGCTGCGAGACTCTGTCTAAAAAAAAAAAAAAAAAAAAAAAACTCCTGGTGGACTAATTGGTCAGTAAGTACTTATTAAGGGCAGAGGCAGGACAGCATTTGTGCTGTAACAAGTAGGAACGTCAGAGCGAGGCGTATTATTATCGCTTACTGCTGCTCTTGACTGTGGCGCCGTGGCTGGAGGTGATTACCCTCTTCTGCGATTTTGTTTTTTCCGCGCCGTCCTGAAGGAAGGTGGTAATAGAATAGATTGTACTGCGCGGAGAGGAGCGGTATTACATGCGAGAAATCCTTGAGCAGTAGATGCTCAACACGTGTTTGTCGTTGTTCTGAATGTGCGTGTGGAATGCCTTCCTGATCACTGCTTCACCCGCAGCTGGGAGTGCAGTCGTGCTGCCATCGTAGCTCAGCGCCTGCCTCCAACTCTGGCTCAGTGATTCTCCCACCTCAAGCCCTCACAGTAGCTAGGACTGCAGGTACACTTCAGCAACCAGCTCAGCCCCACTTTTTAATGTTTGTGCGAGCATAAGGCGTCCCCCAGTGCTGCCCAGGCCTCGTCTCAAACTCCTGGGCGCTGAAAGTGATCCTCCTGCTTGCGCCTCCCAAAGCTGCCTAGAATTAAGCGGAAGCCCATGAGACACAGTCCCTCTCACGCGCGCTGCGATCTGTTGCTTAGTTTGTGTATGCATAGAATTATGTGCGTGTTGACTTTGTTGGCATCGATATCGCTGTCAATTATTGCACATTGCTGTCTGACATTATGCCTTGCACATTGGCGTTGTCGACATTTGTTGCACAGTGTGTTGAACTGAGTTCGACAGGTTCTTTTTTTTTTTTGAGACAGAGCTCTCGACTTGCTGCCCAGGTGTTCATTGTTGTGTCTTTATGCATATATTCTATCTTTATTCTGAGCAAAACTCAAACTCTTCGCCGCTCAAACGGGATCCTGGCTGCCTCAGCCTCCCAAGTTACGCTGACAACAGGCATGTGCCACCATGCCTGGTATGTTTCGTATGATATTAGCGTGGCAAATGAAATTTCTCTCGTCAATTTATGCAGTAAGAGGGGGTCTGGCCCCCTGCTTGCCTCAGGCTGTTGTGTCGAACTCCTGACCTCGAGCAATCCGCGGCCGCCTTGCGCTCCTAGAGTGCTAGGAGTACAGCGCGCTGAGCCCACTCCGCCCCGGCCTGACTTGAGGTTCTTGACAGTTATTGTTGCCCGGACGTTATTGATGCTGACATCAACATGGCTGATGCTGACTTGTTGGCATCACTGTTAACTTCTTGACATCGTTGTTGACCTGTTGACCTTCTTAGCACCAGTCTTGTTGATGCCGTTGAACTGTTAGTGTCATTACTGACTTGTCGACATTGGTGTTAACTTGTTAGCATTCTGGTTGCTGACTAGCTGCTGGCTCGTTGGTCCTGTTGTTGCCATTGTCGTTGTTCCTAAGCACTGTGTTTCCTCCTTCCTTCCTCACGAGGTGGCTCACTTGGTCCTCAAGGCGCATGCCAGGACTTGGCACCACTACAATGACCACCACCGCCCGCAGCAGCAGGGGCGCGTGGGCATCGTGCTGAACTCAGACTGGGCAGAGCCCCTGTCTCCAGAGAAGCCTGAGGACCTGAGAGCCGCGGAGCGCTTCCTGCACTTCATGCTGGGCTGGTTTGCGCACCCTATCTTTGTGGATGGAGACTACCCCGCCGTCCTGAGGGCCCGGGTCCAGCAGATGAACAAACAGTGCCCCGGCCCGGTGGCCCAGCTCCCTGAGTTCACGGAGGCAGAGAAGCGGCTCCTAAAAGGCTCAGCCGATTTTCTAGGTCTGTCTCATTACACCTCCCGCCTCATCAGCAAGGCCGAGCAAGACACCTGCACCCCTGGCTACGATGCCATCGGAGGCTTCTCCCAACACGTGGACCCTGCATGGCCCCAGACCTCGTCCTCTTGGATCCGTGTGGTGCCCTGGGGTATAAGGAGGCTGTTGCAGTTTGTATCCTTGGAATACACAAGAGGAAACGTGCCAATATACCTGGCCGGGAATGGCATGCCCATAGGGGAAGGTGAAGACCTCCTTGAGGATTCCTTGAGAATCGACTACTTCAACCAGTACATCAACGAGGTGCTCAAGGGTAAGAACGGTGGACGTGCTGGCGGTGGGAAGGTGGGCGGTACTTCTCCACGTCTTCAGAGTTTCGTTTAATGGAACAAAGACAGTCTCCTGGGGAAATGAGGCCAAAGAAACAGTACTGGTAGTGATAGTGGGAAGTCCTTCACATCGGCCTCCTGTCTTTCCCAGGCTCATTCATGTCTTTGCTCCCGTGTTCCTATTCCCTGGAACGCCTCCCTCCTGCCTTCGGCCCACCTGAGGCCTAGCCAGTCATCAAGCTTCATCACCTTTCCATGCACTCGCTTAACATACATTTGTTGACTGCCCGGTGTATGCCAGACGTCGTGCAAGACAGTGGGGGTGCAATGTTGGACAAGCAGCGCCCTTTCCGCAGGGAACTCACAGTCTACAGAGGGATACAGACAGAGAATTGCAGTCCAGGGTGATGAGGACATTGCAGGATGGCATGGGGACACGTAGGGTGGGACTCCAGCCCATTACATTTTCTCTCATTGCTCTGAACACATTGGTCTTCATGTCCTTTAACTGGACATAAAATCTACCTTCCACATCATTCATCTGGTCTAATTAATCCATTTCTGTAGTCTCAATGTTAATATACTGTGTCATAGTCTTTTTTTTTTTTTTTTTTGAGACAGAGTCTCACTCTGTTGCCTCGGCTAGAGTGCCGTGGCATCAGCCTAGCTCACAGCAACCTCAAACTCCTGGGCTCAAGCAATCCTTCTGCCTCAGCCTCCCGAGTAGCTGGGACTACAGGCATGCGCCACCATGCCCAGCTAGTTTTCTCTGTATATTTTTCATTGGCCAATTAATTTCTTTCTATTTTTTAGTAGAGACGGGGGTGTCTCACTCTTGCTCAGGCTGGTTTTGAACTCCTGACCTTGAGCGATCCTCCCACCTTGGCCTCCCAGAGTGCTAGGATTACAGGCGTGAGCCACCACACCCAGCCTTGTCATAGTCTTTTTATTTCAAGTGAAAAGGAATGGCACGTGGGTCCATCTCACAGGTCGGTCCCAGTGACTTGCTGGGGGCCGGCCATCCACCCTGAGGCTCTGCGGAGGAGGTTTCAAGGCCTCGTCTAAATTTAGAGGGAAACAGTTGATTCATGACACCTGCCTGCCGTGGGCGCTGCTGTGAGGAATGGAGACTCACATCCGTGTTGGGGAGATCAGACACCCTCTCTGTGCTTCCCCTGGACTCTTCTCACGTCAGTTACAAGTCTGTCGTCTTCACAAACTTGGAAACTCTTTAAGACGTTATCTCAAGCGGTCACTGACACAGCCTAGTGCAGTAAATAGGGGCAGATATTATCCTCAGGGGACACCTGCGACAGCTGACACCCCGAGAGATTAGGTGATGCCCCAACGGCCAGTGAGTGACCCGGAGGCCTCTTGCTTCTGGCCCGGCTCTTCACCCACTAAGCTACGATGATCTAATTCATCTTTTTGTGCCCAGAGCCTAACACAGGCCTCGGACAAAATATTTGCTCACCAGCTAATTTGTCGAGCAGCTTTGCCACCACTTACACAATCAGCATGTTTGCTGTCTGAGAGGAACAAGGTCTAAGCCAGGCACCCTCAAACCACAGCCCACAGGCCACATGCCGCCTGCCGAGGACATTTATCCAGCCCGCCGGGTGTTTTTGCCACCGCTGCCTGTCCTGCTTAGCAGCCGACTCGACCCGGGCCCACCGTGCACACTCTCCAATGGCCTGAGGGACAGTGAACTGGCCCCCTGTTTAAAAACTTTGAGGGCCCCTGGCCTAAGCCTTTGCTGGCCCCACGGAGGAGACATGGCCATTGCCTTGTCGCTTTGCCACTGGTTCTCGCTTGACTCACGGGGCTGTGTGGAAAGTTAACGGTGGCCAGGCGTGTTCGCTTCTGTGGTGCCGTAACAAATTACCATAGACGTGGTGGCTTAAAACAACAGAAACTTATTCTCTCACAGTTTTGGAGGCCAAAAGCCCCAAATCAAGGCAGGGCCACTGTCCCTTTGAAGGCTGCAGGGGAGGAGCCTTCCTAGCTTCCCCAGCCTTGATGCCTCGGGCCTTCCTTGGCTTGTGGCTGCGTCACTCCAGTCTCTGTCTCCGTCTCACATGACCTTCCCCCTGTGTCTCTGACACGGACGTCTGGCATTGGATGTAGGGCCGACTCGGTTGGTCCAGGGTGATCCTGTCTTGAGATCATTAACTTAATTACTCCTACAAAGACCTTTATTCCAAATAAGGTTATATTCCCTGGCAGCGGGGGTCAGGTGTTAGACGTGTCTTTTGAAGGGGCCGCCATTCAACCCACTACACCAGGGAATCGTTTTCTAGGCTTTATTGCTTTTTTAAAAAAATATGGAGTGTGTCATCATTTTATGTCAATATGACTAATTGTAAACAAGGAGAAGCAAAAGCACATTTTTTAAAAGATGAAATGATTTACACATTCTATATAAAACCCAGGCATCCTGATGCTAATGAATGGGGAACATTCTGTCTGTAATTCGAGACAGGGATGCTCCTGTCGAGGTTTATGGCCATAGAAGTGGCCTGATGTTTTGTGAGGGTCTCATGGATTTTCCTTTTATCTGTTCTAAGGAGGTAAAAGGGCTAACTTTGGGAGGGGCAACCTAAGTTACCTCCAAACTTCCACATCAAAAGAAAATTTTTTAAAAGCAACATCAGTAACAGAGACTTTACTTATAATTTTTCAATAATAATTATTTTATTGAAAAATAATCCTGGCTGGTCCAAAGGTAGTACGTTATCTCAACTGATTACATAGACAGGTAGAGGTAAAACTCTCCATTGTACTTTTTCTGCCTTCTCACTACTGCACTTGACTAGTCTTAAAAAACAAATAAATAAAATAGTGATGCTGGCCAGGCATGATGGCTCACACCTGTAATCCTAGCACTCTGGGAGGCCGAGGCAGGTGGATTGCTGGAGATCAGGAGTTCGAAACCAGCCTGAGCGAGACCCCATCTCTATTAAAAATAGAAAGAAATTAATTGGCCAACTAAAAATATATATACAAAAAAATAGGCGGGCATGGTGGTGCATGCCTGTACTCCCAGCTACTCGGGAGGCTGAGGCAGGAGGATTGCTTGAGCCCAGGAGATTGAGGTTGCTGTGAGCTAGGCTGACGCCACAGCACTCACTCTAGCCTAGGCAACAAAGTGAAACTCTGTCTCAAAAAAAAAAAAAAAATAGTGATGCTGTGGCACACACCTGCAGTCCCAGCTACTCAGGAGGCTGAGGCAGGAGGACTGCTTGGGCCCAGGAGTTCGAGACTAGCCTGGGCAACATAGCAAGGCCCCATCCCAATAAAATAAATAAGTTAAATAAATAAATAAATAAATAATCCTGACTTTTGTTTCTCTTCCAAGCTATCAGGGAGGACTCCGTGGACGTTCGCTCTTACATTGCTCGTTCCCTCATCGACGGCTTCGAAGGCCCCTCTGGTTACAGCCAGAGGTTTGGGCTGCACCACGTCGACTTCAGCGACAGCAGCAAGCCGAGGACGCCCAGGAAGTCCGCCTACTTTCTCACCAGCATCATTGAAAAGAATGGTTTCCTCACCAAGGCAGTGAAAACGCCGCCGCCGCCGCCACCACCGAAAACAGCCAACTTTCCCTCCAAAATCAAAGGCTTCGCTGTTCCATCTGAGGTGCCCTCCAAGGCTAAAGTCGTTTGGGAGAAGTTCTCCAACCAACCCAAGTTTGAAAGGGACCTGTTCTACCACGGCACGTTCCGGGACGACTTTCTGTGGGGCGTGTCCTCCTCGGCCTATCAGGTCGAGGGAGCGTGGGACGCTGACGGCAAAGGCCCCAGCATTTGGGATAACTTCACCCACAGCCCGGGGAGCAACGTGAAGGAAAACGCCACCGGGGACATAGCCTGCGACAGCTACCACCAGCTGGATGCCGACCTGAACATGCTTCGCGCCTTGAGGGTCCAGGCCTACCGCTTCTCTCTCTCCTGGTCCCGGATCTTCCCAACGGGCAGAAACAGTTCCATCAACAGTCACGGGGTTGATTACTACAACAGGCTCATCGACGGCTTGGTGGCCAGCAACATCACCCCCATGGTGACACTGTTCCACTGGGACCTGCCCCAGGCCCTCCAGGACATCGGCGGCTGGGACAACCCTTCCCTGATCGAGCTGTTCGACAGCTACGCAGACTTCTGTTTCCAGACCTTCGGTGACAGAGTCAAGTTCTGGATGACCTTCAATGAGCCCGCGTACCAGGCCTGGCTGGGTTACGGCTCGGGGGAGCTGGCCCCGGGTGTGAAGGATCCCGGCTGGGGGCCCTACAGGGTTGCCCACGCGGTCATCAAAGCTCACGCCAGGGCCTACCGCACTTACGACGGGAAGTACAGGCAGACGCAGAAGGGGGTCGTCTCGCTGAGCCTCAGCGCCCACTGGGCGGAGCCCAAGTCGCCGGGGGTCCCGAGAGACGTGGAGGCGGCCGACCGAATGCTGCAGTTCTCCCTGGGCTGGTTCGCCCACCCCATTTTTAGAAACGGAGACTACCCCGACGCCATGAAGTGGAAAGTGGGGAACAGGAGTGAACTCCAACATTTAGCCACCTCCCGCCTGCCGAGCTTCACCGAGGAAGAGAAGAGCTACGTGAGGGCCACGGCCGACGTCTTCTGCCTCAACACCTACTACTCCAAAATCGTGCAGCACAAAACCCCCCGGCTGAACCCCCCCTCCTATGAAGATGACCAGGAGATGGCCGAGGAGGAGGACCCCTCCTGGCCTTCCACGGCCATGGGCGGAGCCGTGCCCTGGGGGATGCGGAGGCTGCTGAACTGGATCAAGGAGGAGTACGGTGACGTCCCCATCTACATCACGGAAAACGGGGTGGGGCTGACAAACCCGAGGCTGGAGGACACCGACAGGATATTCTACCACAAGACCTACATCAACGAAGCTTTGAAAGGTGCGTGAGGGTTAAGTTCCCCTTTAAAAACCTTCCACCATGCCACAGGTCGTGTGCTAAAAATGGTTCGCCAAGGTGGTTTATGAGCCATCGAGAAATCTCTCTCTTACGCCCTACCCCGTAACTCTTACACCTGCTTGGGGGTCGTATGTCCCTTGAGAAGCTGGGGGAGGGGGGAAAAGCTACAATCATCTCCCCAGAGAAAAAACACAAATGTACACACATAGAACTCCCGCAAGAATATTTTCACTGGCCTATTCCTTCATCACTGAGCAGCTGCTATGCGACAAACTCTGTTGTGGGTGTCGCAGATACAGCAGTGAACAAAACATAAATTTCTGCCCTCATGGAGCTGATATTCTGGTGGGTTCCGGACAATAACAAGAGCAAGGCCAGGCACAGTGGCTCACGCCTGTAATCCTAGCACTCTGGGAGGCTGAGGCGGGAGGATTGCTCAAGGTCAGGAGTTCGAAACCAGCCTGAGCAAGAGCGAGAGACCCTGTCTCTACTATAAATAGAAAAGAAATTAATTGGCAACTAATATATATAGAAAAAACTAGCCGGGCATGGTGGCGCATGCCTGTAGTCCCAGCTACTCGGGAGGCTGAGGCAGGAGGATCACTTGAGCCCAGGAGTTTGAGGTTGCTGTGAGCTAGGCTGAAGCCATGGCACTCACTCTAGCCTGAGCAACAAAGTGAGACCCTGTCTCAAAAAAAAGAAAAAGAAAAACAAAACAAGGAAAATCCTCTGCAAATTCGCACTTCTGTGCTTACCTTCTAAAATGGGCTGAGGTTCTTGAATTTGGGACATATCCATTATCCATTTACCCCAACAAAGGAATTTAATTTGGGGACAGTCATTAATACTTGTTGTGGGGTCATTGATGCTGGCAAAAACGTGAGACCAGCAAGATGGCCTGTCCACTTCTTGGGGCGCACATCCTTTGTGCACAAGTGGATGGTTTAGGGCCACAGTCTCAAGAGCCAGGGCTTTAGGGCTCTTTAGGGCCAGCACTTGGCTGGGCTTCCTGGAGGTCCTGCCTCCTGCTGTAAAGCTCTCCTCTGCTCCCTTTGGGATGTCCCCAGCCTACAGGCTCGATGGCGTAGACCTCCGAGGGTACTCCACCTGGTCTCTGATGGACAACTTTGAGTGGCTCCATGGCTACACGGTCAAGTTTGGACTGCACCATGTTGACTTCGATAACGCGAACAGGCCTCGCACCGCAAGAGCCTCCGCCAGGTACTACACGGAGGTCATCACCAACAACGGCATGCCGCTGCCCAGGGAGGACGAGTTTCTGTACGGGCAGTTTCCCGAGGGCTTCATCTGGAGTGCGGCTTCTGCTGCGTATCAGGTGAGGCGATCTGGGCGGTCAGGCACCACTGACTGCGCACCTGCTATGCACACCTGCTAGGCACCAGGCTCCGGGTTTGGTGCTGGAGCGGACAGGTGCGTGAGCAGTAGATGCCAGCAGGCGTGTGGACAGTAGCACATGCTCCGGGAGGTCCTCTTCTGGACAGCCAGGATTCTGCACAGCCCCAGATTTGCCCAGACCAGCACGGTGAGATGAACTGTGCTGAGATGGGTGTTTGCAGGGCCAGAGGGAGCTCGTGGAGCCTAGGCAGAAACACTGGGGCAAAGACATGCAAATACAGTCCTGCCTCGCTTAACAATAGGAAGCCTTCGAAGAGGAAGACATGCTTCCATTAGGTGGTTTTGTCTTTGTGCAAACGTCACAGTGCACTCCCGCAAACCTAGACTGCACACCCAGGCTCCCAGGCTGCAAACCTGCAGCATGTGACTGTGCAGGATCCTGCAGGCAACTGTAACACCACAAGAAATATCTGTGTACCTAAGTATATTTAAACGTAGCAAAGGTGCAGTAAAAATGCTGTATAATGCATAAAAAATGGTGCGCCTGATAGAGCACTCACCATGACTGGAGCTTGCAGGACTGGAGGTCGCTCTGGGTGAGTGAGTGAGTGGAGGGAACGTGAAGGGACATTGTTGTGCACTGCAGTGGACTTCACAAACGCTGGCCACTCAGGCTATGCTGAATTTATTTTAAAAATTCCTTTCTTCAGTAATAAATTAACCTTGGCTTACCTATAACTTTTTTACTTTATAAGCTTTTTGGTTTTTGACTTTTGAGATAACACTTAGCTTAAAACACAAACGCATCATACAGCTGTACAAAAATGTTTTCTTTCTTTGTGTTCTTATTCTATAAACTTTTTTCTAGTTCTGAATTTAAAAATTTTTTTTTTTTTTGCTTTTTAAACTTTTTTTGTTAAAAACTGAGACACAGACACACACATTGGCTAGGCCTTCACAGGGTCAGGGTCATCCACCTCCTCACCTTGTCCCACTGGAAGGTCTTTGGGGCATTAACACCCAGGGAGCTGTCATCTCCTTGAATAACAGCCCCTTCCGGAACACGCCCTGGAGGACCTGCCTGAGGCAGTTTCTCAGTTACTTTTTTTTGTTAGTAAGTAGAAGGCGTACACTCTCAAATCACCGTAAGTTCAGTGTAGTAAATAAATAAACCTGTAACACGGTCGTTTATCGTCACTGTCGGGTATCACGCACTGTACACACTTGTCTGTGCTGTGCAGTGCATGTGTTCCCACCGCCATCACCAAGTGCGCGATGGGTAACGTGTGCGCTATGTGATGCTGCACCAATGCAGTAGAATTTCACGCTCTTTATAATCTTAGGAGACCACCGTGCTGCGCGCTGTTTGCTTCGTTGGTTACAATGGCAATGCGACTGACGTTGCTCACATGAGGCCGTGATTGCTGATGCCCAGCTCTCCTGTGCTGGCGACGTTTCTTTCCTTGTCTTTTCTTTTCTTGAGACAGAGCTCTCCACTCTGTTGCAGGGCTATGAGTCGTCGATGGACATGAGCCCTAGCCTCACAGCAACGCTCAAACTTCTGGCGCCTCACAGCGAATCTCGCTGCGCCTCAGCCTCCCGAGTCGCGCTGGGACTACAGGCGATGCACCTCTGCCGCCGCGCCTAATTTCTATATTTAGTTGGTTGACGTATTTCTTCTATGTCATACTAGAGTCATGGGGGGTGTGTCACTCTGCTCGCAGCTGCGTCGTCTATAACTCCTGAGCTCAAGCAATGCCCGTCCGCGCGTCGCCTCCCCAGAGTGCTAGACGTTACAGGCCCGGTGAGCCACCGCGCCGCCCGACTTCGCTTTCTTAGCCTGAGCGTTGTCCAAGCAAGCAGTTTGCCCAAATCGGCGTGCTAAATGTGGTGCTTTTCGGATGCCCCTAGACACTATGCGTCCTACGTGCTACCCTATTCATGGCGCAAGATGAATGCTCACTAGGTGCAGAAACATAGGATGCGTTGTTTGTTTTTTCTCCTGGCAAAAAGTGAAACACCCTTAAAATATAAAAAGCAAGAGCGCGGTGCGGGCGTCAGCCGGTTGGGCTCCAGCGGGTTTCCAAGTTCGCCTGCCTCGCCTGTCCTCTCGCTCCGAGCGTGCTGGCGTCGTGCGCACGTGGCTAGAAAGAAAGCCGCCGGATGTCAGGACCTGGAGGGGGTGGCCAGACTCCCAGAGGAGGTGAGGCTGAGAAAGGTGACCTGGCGGCCCTCGCGCCCAGCTGACCAGCGCAAGCGTCGAACTTCCGTGAGCGTAGTAGAGCCGAATGACTCTTAATCAGGGCGCGCGTCTTGTGCATCCTGAGATCGAAGGTGCGTGGAGAGGGCAGATGCGCAGAAAGGACTCGAGCTGTTTGGAGCACGTTGCTCACACGCCACTGAGGGTGGAGAACGATGACGTCGGAGACGTGGCCTGCGGCAGTTACCACAGATCGACGAGACGTGCGTGGCGCCTGCCGGACACCTGGCGTCTGCCCCACTATCGCGCCTTTTCTGTCTCCGTGGACCGGCGCTATCGCCCTCCGACGACGGCGGACCACCAAGTTCGTCTCTGTCTGAGCGGCCTCCGCGGCTACTACTCCGGCGCTCATCGACGCCCGCGGGCTGCTGGCCGGCCCAAGAGCCAGCCGCGCGGCGTACCGTGTGCTTCCCAAAGATAAGACCTACCCATAAAATAAGCCCTAGCAGGATTTCTAAGCATTTGGCAATAGAAGCCCCACCCCGAAAATAAGACCTGGTGATGGGCGTGGCTGCGCAGCGTGTCTGCACAACCCATGCATTTCCCCGCGGAGCAGTAAAGAAGACGAGCAGCCCTTCTCATCTGCCCCATCGTGACAGCTACTATCCCAGAGGTGACCGGAAAGGTGCGGCAGCCCCACCAACAGGGTCGGCTCCCCTGTCAGGTCCCGGCCATCCTGTGCATGCTGGAGGCTGAGGCTTTGAGGGGAAAATGACACATCCCCTGAAAATAAGCCCTAGGGTGTCTTCTTGAGGAAAAATAAATATAAGACCTTGTATTATTTTCAGGGAAACACGCTAGGGTGAGCCCTGGGCAGGCCCCAGCTAAGGCCATGTGCAGGAGTCGGCTGGGTGGGGCAGCACATGTATTGCTAAACAAAATGCTGTTTTCAAGTTTAATTTTTGCAACTACCGATAAATTCACAGGGTGCAGAATTTAAACGCATAAAACAGTTTCCTTCCCAACAGTTTCCTTCCTTCAGCCATCCAGTTCCCCTCCCTGGAGGCAATTTACCCCTCCCATCAAAGGAAAAACTTTTGGGTCTTTTTGTCTCTCTCTCTTTTTTTTTTTGAGACAGAGTCTGTCACCGGAGCTAGAGTACCATGGCATCAGCCTAGGCTCAAGCTATCCTCCTGCCTCAGCCTCCCAAGTATCCGGGACTATAGGCATGTGCCACTATGCCCGGCTAATTTTTTCTAAATTTTTCTATATTTAGTAGAGACAGAATCTTGTTCTTGCTCAGGCTGGCCTCAAACTCCTGACCTCTAGCAATCCTCCAGCCTCGGCCTCCCAGAGTGCCAGGATTACAGGTGTGAGCCACCACGCCTGGCCTTTTTGTCTCAACATTCACTCTCAGGTTTAGCAGCGGACATTTGTGCAGGCACATCTAACATCAAGGGCTTCCCGTGGAAAGCTTGCCTGATGGAACTACTGATCTACCTTTGTCACAGGTGACCATTTACCACTGGGACCTGCCCCAGGCGCTCCAGGATGTGGGAGGCTGGGAGAATGAGACCATCGTGCAGCGATTTAAGGAGTACGCAGATGTGCTCTTCCAGAGGCTGGGAGACAAGGTGAAGTTTTGGATCACACTGAATGAGCCCTATGTCATTGCCAACCAGGGCTATGGCTACGGGACAGCAGCTCCAGGTAAAGGTCCCAGGCCTGACTTGTTTCTTTGGGATGTGGCACTCTTAGCATGTCAAGACATGAAATCCAGGGGTGGCGGGAGGAGGCTGCCAAGAACGCCCCACGGCAGTGTCCCAGAAACCTGCTCCTGCTCAGGGCCGCAGAAGTCTCCCTTCTGACACCTTGGCGCTAAACAGCCATACCTCAGGATGACAGCATTTCCTTGCCCTTTGACTCTGACCTGCCTCTCGTGGGAGGCTCCCTGAGGTCAGGGACATGGACAGATAGATACAGGGAAGGACAATTGTCAGGCCACACGTCAGGTCCACAGTCTGTTTCCTGCAGGTTCTGATCATTGGTCTGGCTGAGCTGAGCTCACGTAATAATAGTGCAACCTGACTCGAACCAACTCAAAGCTGCTTGTGGTCTTTATCCCACTTAGTCTGAGCATTCCTAAGTCCCGCTGCAGGGGTACAAGTGTGCCTGACTGCAGAGAGCTGTCCCGGGCCCTATGGGGGTGATAGGAGATATATGATATGTGCAACATAATACTTTTCTCAAATACAGAAAATGTTTAATTCCAAAGCACATCTGACCCAAGGATTTTTATCCTTTTATTTCTAGTTGACATGTATTAATTATACATATTTATGGAGGACAGAATTATATTGTGATATAATATGTAATGATCAAATCAAGGTAATTAGCACATCCATCATTTCTCTGGGGTGTGAATGTTCAAAATCCTCTCTTCTAGCTTTGTGCAAATACACACTGAATTATGCACTATAGTCATCCTCCAGTGCTGGAACTTACTGGAACACTGGAACTTACTCTTCTCACCCAGCTGTAATTTCATATCCATTAACCAACCTCTCACCACGCTCTCTCCCCCTCCCCTTCCCAGCTTCTAAAAACCACAATTCTATTTCTCTGCTTCTATGAGCTCTTTCTTTTTTCAGCTCCCACATCTGAGCAAGAGCATGCGATATGTATCTTTCTGTGCCTGACTTACTTCACTTAACATAAAGTCCTCCAGGTTTACCCGAATGACAGGATTTCATTCCTTTTTATGGCCAATAGTATTCCATTGTGTGTATGTACCAGCTTTTCTTTATTCATTCATCCATGATGGACACTTAGGCTGAGTCCATATCTTGGCTACTGTGACAAGTGCTACAATAAACAAGTGGGTGCAAGCACCCGTTTGACATATTGATTTCCCTTCCTTTGTATAAATACCCAGTAGTGGGATTGTTGGGTCCCTAAGGGTTTTTATTTTTTTTTTGAGACAGAGTCTCGCTTTGTTGCCTAGGCTTGAGTGAGTGCCATGGCGTCAGCCTAGCTCACAGCAACCTCAAACTCCTGGGCTCAAGCAATCCTCCTGCCTCAGCCTCCCGAGTAGCTGGGACTACAGGCATGCACCACCATGCCCAGCTAATTTTTTCTATTTATAGTAGAGATGGGGTCTCGCTCTTGCTCAGGCTGGTTTTGAACTCCTGACCTCGAGCAATCCGCCTGTCTCAGCCTCCCAGAGTGCTAGGATTACAGGCGTGAGCCACCGTGCCCGGCCTCCCTAAGGGTTTTGAATAAGGGATTGTGGACCTGTCTTTCCACCTTGAGAACCACCCAATTTCCCTTTTCTCCAGTTCTGAGCTTATGAGAGTAAATTTGTATTCATTGATGCAATTCCCCAAAATCACATGCAAAAGCTAGAAAGAGCCACGGGCGATGTGCTTCGAGTCGGTGTCAGATGCATCTCCCATTGGCCTTGGCTGGCACTTTGGTTTACCATCCCCTCAACACAGGAGAGGCGGCTCTCTGGTAGCCTCTGCTCCCAAGGAATCTCTGTGTCAGTTGCTTGCATTAGCTATATCGTCCAATGCCTACTTTCACAGTGGGTCCCCAAAGAGCTCCAGGCTGTCATCTCCTGAGGCACACTCTGTTAGGGATATTTGACCTGAGACATATGAGCCATTCTTTTGGAGGACGAGGACAGAAGCCAACATTTATCAAGTGGCTTCTCTCTGCCAGACACAGTGCTGCCGGGAGCTTCGCATTTCATCTCCCTCTCACGAGTACTCTCTGCCACCCACATCACTGAGGAGAAAACTGAGTGGCTGAATTACTGGCCCAAAGTAAGAGGTCCGGGTTTGAATTCCAGTCTTCTGAATCCCAAAATCTGCACTCTTTTTCCCAAACACCAAGGGGACATCTGTAGGCAGGGAGTAACACTCTTGGCCACATCTGTCTTCTGTTGACATCCCTGTGTGTGCTTCCAGGAATCTCCTTCAGGCCTGGCACTGCACCCTACATTGCTGGCCACAACCTAATCAAGGCACATGCCGAGGCCTGGCATCTGTACAATGATGTGTACCGTGCCAGTCAGGGTGGCGTGATTTCCATCACCATCAGCAGTGACTGGGCTGAACCCAGAGACCCCTCCAACCAGGAGGATGTGGAGGCAGCCAGGAGATACGTTCAGGTCTGTTTTTTCTTCTGGGCATTGTTCTTACTCTTGTCTGTTTTTCCTCCTGTCATGGTCTAATAGAAATAGAATTTGATTGTGAATCAAAGATTCAGGATCTAGGCCCCATTTTGCTATTACCTGGTTTTGTGAGCTTGGGAAAATCACCTAATCTTTTTGTACCTTAGTTTTCTCATGTGGGAACTGGAAATGCCTTACCCACCTCATAGGTTTGCTGTGATGAAAGTGATAAGTTCTTTGGGATTGGGTTGTCTTTTAAGTCTTAAAAAATTATTTGCACATGTAGTCCTTTCTGCATGTAGCATCAGTTTGAAGCTAACTCATAGGAGAATATTCCGTCTCTTCAGTCTGTCTGGTTTGACTATAATGGCTAATAGAGCTGGGCTGCAATTTCACACTTCACCTCTAGGTGTCACTAATTTTATTAAATATTTGCTCTAGCCTAAGCATTCCTTAACCACTTCAGTACAGCACTCACCAGCAGCGAAACCTGGCCAACAGCCCGCACTCATAGTCCGAACGATAGTTTGTGCTGTGCATTGACGACGAATCGCTTTGCTCTAGTGTGATGAGGAAAGCTTTAAAGCACTGAAAGCTGGTTTTACTTTACAGGCAGCTTTACTTGTAATGTAAATCAGAATAGGTAATATATACATATGTTTTTATTACGTTATTTTTAAATGTTCACAATTTTATTTTGATAAATGAAAAATCAGAAAAGTCAAGTTTTGTTATTAACGCTAAAGTCAACGCTCGGCTGTGCGCCTTCGTATCACGGCTGTCGGCTACAGTTGACGCTCGGCTGTGCATGTTCATCTGTGGCTGTCGACTATAGTCGATGCTCGTACCGAAGTGGTTAAATTGGAGGCCTTCATTCTGTGAAACTCATTAGTGCCCCTAATTTGCCAATTCTATGAGTTGAAAATAGGGACATGCATCTTTTGGTCATGGAATTTCACACCAAAGAAGCAGAGACACTAATAGTAAGCAGGTCCCAACAGTGCCTACCTTTATTTCAATCTGGCCCCTGATAAGAGGAGAGAGGGCAAGAATAGCTCTCATTCACAGCACAGTTTTTCCTGGTCCCTGCTAGTCTCTCTGAAGGGGTTAGAAGGCGCCTTCTTCCATGTTCCAATGTCAGGAAAGAAAGGCAAGGCGCTCTCCCTCTCTCTCTCCTCTCTCCAGATTGGTTCCACTTTGGTCCTTGGGGGTGGAGTCTGCAGACTGTGGCACTCTGACTCTCTTGGGGGACACCAAGGGTCTTGGTTTGCTGAACTTTTCACAAGAGACCTAGACAAAGGCGGTCAAGTTAATAACTTAGGGCTTAATTTTCCACTTTGCTAGCCAGCTGGGGAAACAGTTTGGGGACAAAATAAATGCTTCTCTCATTTCAGACTCACAGACCTGGTGAATTAGAGCAATATTTTTTTTTTCCTGAAATCAAAACCCCAAACCTCAGGAAACGTTAGGCTGTCACATCATTGCATTGAGCCGCTTTCTGGTAAACTGTGATACTGCAGCCTGGGACCATGATAGACGCATCTCCTATCACAGTCAGTTCCCACAGAAAGATCCGATCTGTTACCTCAGAGAGTGCCTTTAAAGCCTTTTTTACCAGGGTGTGTGTGTCCCAAGCCTCATTTCCGACGTGGGCAGAAGCTGCCCTGACCTCACATTTCGGGCATCAGCCAGCAGGTGCAGGGCATTTGAAGAGACTGAAGAAGTCTCCCGAGCCCCCCAGCATCACGGTGTTTGGGTGCCACATGTCCCCCCCACAATGAGGATGGCCTAGACCTCATTACAGAAAATAGGTCCCACAGTTCCCCATTCCAGGGCTGCCAATCAAAAGCCCAGGAGGAGTTCTGCTTTGCCTGGGCGGCCAGTCAGGGCTTGCAACTCAGCCCTTCCCAGAAGGTTCTGGTTGATCCACAGGCACTTCGATGAGGAGGTTCAGCTGCTCTGTAGCGAGAGAGGGAATCGGGGCCTTGGAGGCTTCTGGTCTCTCCCTCCTCCCTGTGGGGCCCTTCCCAGGGCAGCCGGGAGGCATCTGCCAAGCGCCTGGGCCCAGTGCCGGGTTCAGCTCCTTCACGTCACGCTGCAATCATTAAGCGCATGGCCCTGCCCTCAGGGAGATGGCAGCCAAGCCACAGACGTGGCTGGACAGACCTGGCCGCTGAAGCCACAAGACGCAGGGAGCCACAGGGGAGAGGCGGGCTCGAGTCTGGGGGCCGGAGAGGAAGCGGGAGCTTCTGAGGCCAGAGAGTCCAGGAGGGGCGTCGCTTTCTCTCGCTGTGGCCACCTGCGAGCCGGGGCTGACCGACCCCCCACCCCACCCGCAGTTTATGGGAGGCTGGTTTGCACATCCCATTTTCAAGAACGGAGACTACAACGAGGTGATGAAGACACGCGTCCGTGACAGGAGCTTGGCCGCAGGCCTCAGCAAGTCCCGGTAAGGTCCTGGCGCCCACAGCGCCCAGAGCTTGTGCGTTGGGGTCAGAGGCGTGTCTCAGGTAAGCTACCACGTCTCTGGGCTTCTCCATTACACCTGTGTCCGCAAAGCTCTTAGCCCAGCACCTGGCGATGCTGTGTGCTTGACAAAAGGCAGTTGCTATCATGCTTATTATATTTAAGGAAATAATAGAACAGCCAGGAAATCTGTCCCAAGGGCATCCATCTCTTGGCAACTCCATTACCTCACTCCAAGGACAAACCCCCCAGCTCTTCCTGTCCCAGTTCATGGCCTTAAGGTGAATGTGGACACAGCAGGCGACGCCCGGCATGTGCTTTCCACTGTTGGCCAGTAGGTGGCGATGCTTGGCAGCAAAGCAACCCTGCTTCCTGTCAGCAACAGCCAACATTTAATGATCTTCTGTTATTACTTTTATTCCTAATTAAAGATAAGTAAACTGAGGCACAAAGACTAGGCAAGATCAGCCCACTATTAAGTGATGGAGCTGGGCTTTGAAACCAAGCCATCTGCCTCCAGGGCCCACTCTTGGGGTTTAAGGTTCATCCAGCTGGGATTAGAGGTGTGGTGTGTGGAAAGGCACAAAGTGACGGTCACTGGCCTTAGGGGAACAAACCCACAGCTCCAGGGTGGCTCATGTGACCTAAGCAAGGGAGGGTAATAAAAGGAATGCAGAAGATCTGCCTTCCTACATAGCCTTTGAGTCTTTCCCCTAACTTCCCGACACAGCCCAGCTCTGAGGATTAAAAATCCAGTTCCCACCTTGCAATGCTCATCCTGGCCCGGCTGGGGCCAGCCCTGCAGGGCAGGCTGCGCCTAAAGGTCTGGTCTGCCAACCCTGATCCCCAACAAGCCAGTGAGCGCTCCAGTCCACCCGTGTGACTTTTCTGAGCGCCCACGAAGCACCTGAGTCAAGGCCAGGCCCTGCGGGTCCACGAGAGGGGACAGTTCCAAGTCTGGCTCCTCAGGCTGCAGCCCGACCAGCAGCGAAGACGGCATTCCATGGAATTCCCTTCCCCAGTCTCGTCAGCACAGGGAAAACTCAGAAGACGAGCGAGGTCGGGGTGGGGCAAGCAGACCCACGAGACTCAGGGACAGTGCGGGACATCGGTTGAGAAGGGCCTTGACAGTGGATAGAATCTGGGAGAGCAGAGGTCATTCCATCCAAGGGTTGGGGGGGTGTGAGTGCAGGCGTGCAGCACGTAAAGCTAAGAGTGGGGAGACCTGCCAGGTGGCAGGGAAGGGGCCAAGGCCACACACACGGTGGAGGGCGTGGAAGCCAGGGACAGGGCCTTGGCCTTGGTGCCACAGGCCCTGAGGAGTCACTGCTGGTGCCTGGGGGGTGTGAGGAGGCTGGGTTTCCGTTCTCTCTGGCATTTCAGAAACTCCAGGGAGGTAAGGCTTTGATCCCTCAGGCTAAGGGGAGCAGAAAGGTCAAGAAGAAGGTGTCAGAGGCATCTCTGGGCAACACCAGCAGGGTCTCTGTGTCGGCACGAGTGGCCGAAAGGGACCTGTACGCGCTGCACACGGAGCACGTTAGCCGAGGGTCATACAACAGTCTCCTCGCTCGAGTCCGTGGGAAATGCCCAACTCTTGCTAGTCCTGGGAAGCTAAAAAGAAAAGAAAATGCTCCATCCACATGTTAGGAAAACAAAGTTCGGTGACACCATGAGAGCAGAGAAGTCCAAACATCAAATACTCAATTTGCAAAAAAATCTTGCCTTATTCATAAGGGTGGCCTGGAGAAAAGAGACACAGCTAAACACACAAACACAACAGCAGAGGAACGCATAAAGGGCAGGCATGCAAATAGGAATCATAAACGATCTTACACCTTTATGACTATAAAGGAGCAGTCTCAAGGTGTGCACCTCAGACATGCTCTTGGTTTTGAAATCTGTAGATACTGTCTATTAGATATTTGCACGTTAATGTTTGAAGGAAATAAAAAAATAACGCGTGAGGGGGCTTCGCTCAGGGGTGACTAGCAGTTTCATTTTGCCAAGAGAGAGAGGCTCCTGTAGGTAGGGAGGGAAGAGAGTGCGTCCTGCCCTCTGAGGGGCCCCTCGCCCCGGCCAAGCCTGTGGCATTCAGAGCACCCCCTGCCCCTGCCCGTGACATCGGTGACATCTCTTCCCAACGGGAGACTCTTCCTCAAGCCCTTGATGCCCCCCTACCCAGGCTGCCGGAATTCACCGAGAGTGAGAAGAGGAGGATCAACGGCACCTACGACTTTTTCGGGTTCAACCACTACACCACCGTCCTGGCCTACAACCTCGACTATCCCACCGCCATCTCTTCCTACGACGCAGACAGGTAAGCAAGAGCTCTCCGCAAAGGCCGGACGGTGCCCGGCGGCCTGAGCACCTGGCCTCTGGCGCCACGTGGGCCCGGGCGTCAGGCTGCGCGCATGCGCATGCGCCGGAGTCCCGCGGGAAAGCTCTAGCGGCTGGTGGCGGTGGTAAGCGCCGCGCCGGGCTTCCGAGGGGCCGCTCACTGGGACACGGGTGCTTGGCCTCGTAGAAGCGTTTTCAAGAAAAATATTTTTATTCCCTCAGTTTTCATTTATTGCCAGATTTGTTTCACTTCTCAGATATATTTCAGTCAAAACAGTAATATTTTTTTTTCCCTTTCAAGGAAGAATTCAAACTTTCTTTCTTTCTTTCTTTCTTTCTTTCTTTCTTTCTTTCTTTCTTTCTTTCTTTCTTTCTTTCTTTCTTTCTTTCTATTTTTCTTTCTTTCTTTTTTTCTTTCAAGTCACACACTGTAGATCGGGTTGGAGTGCACTGGCATGATCATAGCTCACTGCAACCTCAAACTTCTGGGCTCAAGCCATCCTCCTGCCTCAGCCTCCAGAGTAGCTGGGACTATAGGCATGCAGCACCACACTTGGCATTTTTTTTTTTTTTTGTGAGTCAGAGTCTCACTCTGTTGCCCGGGCTAGAGTGCCGTGGCATCAGCCTAGCTCACAGCAACCTCAAACTCCTGGGCTCTAGCAATCCTCCTGCCTCAGCCTCCCAAGTAGCTAGGACTATATTTTAGTTGGCCAATTAATTTAATTTCTATTAATTTAATTTCTATTTTTAGTAGAGAAGGGATCTCACTCTTGCTCAGGCTGGTTTCAAACTCCTGACCTTGAGTGATCCGCCCACCTTGGCTTCCCAGAGTGCTAGGATTACAGGCGTGAGCCACCACACCCGGCCTATTTTTCTTATTTTTGTGGAGTAGGGGGTCTCGCTATGTTGCTCAGGCTGGTCTCAGACTCCCGGCCTCAAGTGATCCTCCCACCTCGGCCTCCCAAAGTGCTGGGATTACAGGCGTGAGCCACCGCACCCGGCCCAAACTTTTATTTCTGTATTACACAAATAATATATATCCACGGTAGAAATATTAGAAAACAAGATTGGGAAATTCTTATGTGTGTCATTTCAGAAGTTTTATGCATGTGTGTGGGCACACTATTAATCTCTTTATATATAACATTTACTTACATATATTATATATTACTTATATAATTTATACTTACATATTTATATCATGTATTATATAAATATATTCATTTGTCTATTTATTACAAAAAACAGGATTATATGTGTATACATTATTTTGTTCCTTTTCTAACAAGCATCTTTCCACATCAGTAGCTCTGAACCTGTCCAGGTTCTTTCTTTGAAAATAAGCCCCTCACCCCGACTGCATCCTGACAGCCCCCGAGTTGGGCTCGCTGAGAGGGGCTGAGGAGACTCCAGAGCACCCCTCTACTTGTCCTCATTCTCCTCCCCCACCTCGCCACACTGGGACTGTCTCCCCAGTGACTTGAGCTTATGCAGTGTCCCTCTGTCAGTTCAGAAGATAAAGCCAGGTGCTGAGAAAACAAAACACCTTTATCCGAAGTATTTGGGCATAAAAAGTGTCTAAAGGCTGGTCCTTATTTGACATGTGTGACCCTCGAGATGACCGAGCTTCTTGGACACTTGGGGTAGGCCCCAGCCCGTGTGCTCCCTGTCGTCACACAAATGAGAGCCCCACGTTTCGGTGTGTGTGGCTGCATCCGTGGTCTGTGTGTGGGGTGGACTAAACACAGGTGACTCGAAGGAGCCCATTCTCTGAAGACACAGCACTGGCATCCATGGGGAGCCTGGGGCTGGGAGCATCCAGAGCCTTCCACGGCTAGTGTAGGTGCTGTCTGTTAGCAGAGAGCCAGGGAGGAGGCTCGGGCTTCCCTCTGCACAGGGACAGGACTTGAAGAAGGGAGAGCAGTAAGTGGCTTGTCCAGAGCGGCACTGGCATTGCGTGGGCAGCTAGGACTAGCGGAAAGAGGAGAATTTGAGGCACTTTGATTCTTCTGGGTTTAGTATGACTCTTTTTTTTTTTTTATGAGACAGAGTCTCATTTTGTTGCCCAGGCTAGAGTGAGTGCCATGGCGTCAGCTCACAGCAACCTCAATCTCCTGGGCTCAAGTGATCCTCCTGCCTCAGCCTCCCGAGTAGCTGGGACTACAGGCATGCGCCACCATGCCCAGCTAATTTTTTCTATATATATTTTTAGTTGGTCAATTAATTTCTTTCTATTTTTGGTAGAGACGGGGTCTCGATCACGTTGGTTTCAAACTCCTGACCTTGAGCAATCCACCTGCCTTGGCCTCCCAGAGAGTATGACTCTTAAGTCTAGACAAAACCTAAGGCTTTTCCTAGCATAAATCCTGTTTTGTGTCTTGGGTAAAGAGCCACGTGGGAGTTACAAAAGGAGACCTAATGTTTCGTTTTTGAACTCGTAGGGGAGTTGCCTCCATCGCAGATCGCTCTTGGCCGGACTCTGGCTCCTTCTGGCTGAAGGTGACACCTTTTGGCTTCAGGAGGATCCTGAACTGGCTAAAGGAGGAGTACAACAACCCTCCGATCTATGTGACCGAGAACGGGTTTTCCCAGCGGGGAGAAACAGACCTCAACGACACTGCAAGGATCTACTACCTCCGCTCTTACATCAACGAGGCCCTCAAAGGTATGCTGGGCCCACCCCTTCCTCCACGTACACCTTTCCCTGTTGGGAACACCCGCCAACATCTGCAGGAGGGAGCTACTGCGTCCTGGAGCCTCAGTAAGAAGAGAAAGATGAGGCTTCTCACTCCTGTTGGGTTTAAGCTTTTCTTTAGGGCCGCGCTCTGAGCTTTTTCCTTCCGAGAGCTAAGCCCAGCAGGCAAACCCAGTGGCCCGACGCCAGCTAGACCTCGGTCCCTGGCTTGAGTCACCTGCTCCCCTGGATCCTTCCTGATGTCCGATGTCTCCTGAGGACGGTCTGGGCAGGGGGTGGGAGCAGTGGGCTGGTTGGTCGTAGGGTCTTTTGTTCCCCAAGCAAAAGTTTGAGACCATTGGCTCAGCCCTAACAGCTTGGGATAGGGCTATGAAAATAAGGGAATGGAAAGCAGTGCTGAGTAAAAGAGAAAGAGTAATGCACTGGCCAAAGTTAGATGATCCTTCCCGGCTAAAATCTTATTTGCTATAGGGAAGAGTGTTGACATTTTAAGGCACTGACCAAGACGTATCCCGAGAAACACAGAGGGGAATGTAGATGACCCAGTGTTATCAGCTTAGTCTACCCGTGTTCCTGTCTCCCATTCAGGGCTGAGCCTTTCTAGAAAGATGCTGGTGGCTCTCTGCAGCTCCATTCGCAGAGGACCTGCTAACAATCATTGCACGCAAAGGAAGGGGCGACTCTCTCAAAGGGCTAAAGCCAGAGTTCACCCCGATAAGTGAGTCAGGGTGGTGGGGAGAGCTGTGGGAAGCCCTGGCTTCCGTGGGCCTGGCAGGAAGGTATCTCCTGAGACGAGGAGAGCTCATGCCCGGGCCTCTGTGTTTGGGCAGCTGTGCAGGATAAGGTGGACCTCCGAGGATACACGGTTTGGAGTGTGATGGACAACTTCGAGTGGGCCACGGGCTTCTCAGAGAGATTTGGTCTGCATTTTGTGAACTACACTGACCTTTCTCTGCCAAGGGTCCCCAAAGCATCAGCCAAGTTCTACGCCTCTGTAGTCCGGTGCAATGGCTTCCCTGACCCCGCTGCAGGGCCTCACCCCTGCCTCCAACAGCCGGAAGGTGAGATGTGGCTTTGGGAGGGACTAAACCCAAAAGGTGAGGGGTGAGGGGAAGGGCCCCTTTCAGTCTATTTTTCTTCTAGTTTATTACCCTCCTCTCTGCCTTACCATCCACCTCATTCAACCAGTATGTATTTTCTTTGAATGTTCCAGACATTCTTGCATTGGAATAAAGGAGACTGCACAAATGTGCATGCCCAATACTTGTTGAATGGCCAAAAGAATATAAATTACTGTACGAATGTAAATGACAATTATCCAGTTTAGATTATTCAGGTTGAGTATCCCTAATCTGAAAATTCAAAATCACAAATGCTCCAAAATCTGAAACATTTTGAGCGCCAACATGACAACACAAATGGAAAATTCCACAACTGAATGCACGTGACAGGTTGCAGTCAAAACACAGTTAAAACTGTTTCATGCACAAAATTATTAAAAACGTTGTACAAATCACCTTTAGGCTATGTGGATATGGTATATATGATATATAAATGAATGTTGTTTAGAATTAGGTCCCATCCCCAAAATACCTCATTACTTATATGCAAATATTCCAAAATCTGAAAAATTCCCAAATCCAAAACACTTCTGGTCCTGAGCATTTTGGATAAGGGGTACTCAACCTGTATTCTAATTGCTGCTAGAGATGTTTAAAAAATAAAAATGCTTCATTTCATTTGGAGGCTCTTTTTTTTTTTTGAGACACTCTGTTCCCCAGGCTAGAGTGCCGTGGCATCAGCCTAGCTCACAGCACCCTCAAACTCCTGGGCTCAGGCGATCCTCCTGCCTCAGCCTCCCAAGTAGCTGGGACTACAGGCATGCGCCGCCATGCCCGGCTAATTTTTTCTATGTATTTTTAGTTGTCCAGCTAATTTCTTTCTGTTTTTAGTAGAGACGGGGTCTTGCTCTTGCTCAGGCTGGTCTTGAACTCCTGAGCTCAAATGATCCACCTGCCTCGGCCTCCCAGAGTGCTAGGATTATAGGCGTGAGTCACTAATCGGAGGCTCTTAATACGCACTGAAAGGGGATGGGTACCACCTCGGCAATGCAGCCACTCTGGCTGTGCAGATTTGGGGTCCTGTGTAGCCTCTGGACTCCAAGGATCTAGCATGGGCCTAGTCTGGGGTCACGTGGATCTGATCACTCAGTCAGAGCGCGAACCACTCTGTTGTCCTCTCCTAGATGCCGCACCCACCCTCAGCCCCATGCGAGGGGAGGTTCAGTTCCTGGGGCTGACGCTCGGCACCGCAGCAGCAGAGACCGCTTTGTATGTTCTCTTTTCTCTTGTGCTTCTTGGAGCCTGTGGCTTGGCATTTCTGTCATGCCTGCACTGCAAGAGCTCCAAGCAACGGAAAACACAGCCAAGCCAACAGGAGTTGAGCCCTGTTTCTTCATTCTGACAAGTTACCGCCTCCTCAAGTTCTGTGAAGCAGGCCTCGCTCCTTTACATGCCTTTGCTGGCCACAAAACTCCTAGGGTCTTGGATTCTGCCTGTATTCAACTTCTCCGTAAAGGCCTGATTAAAATGAAAATAATCTGCATTTTGCCCCGGTATCAGAGTTCATTTGGGTATTTGAGGAGACAGCAGGTGGCTCTTCCGGAAATGTGCAGATCCGGAACTGATCAGGTGCGTCTGTGAACCACTTAATTGACTGGGCTGTTGTAAGCTTCAGCCTTGTTAAAGGTGGAATTGTGAGTAAAAACCATAAAACCTTTGTATAAACCTTTCCTAAACCTTTCTGTAAGAAATCAACTCCACTGCGTAGACGGACTGCAATATCATCTCCTGCCCTTCTTCAGGCTCTGCCCAGCCTCATACCTTGTTTCTCAGAAAATAAAAACAGTTCTGTAACTGTGTCCCATATCCCATGGTTGCTGCTTCTTGAGAGAGTAGGCTCGGCAGCAGTTAAGTCACACAAGACATCTGGGGCTCCTACTAAGCTTTCCCACCAGACCAAGACTTTCTGCTTACATTATATTCCCTGAAGCAGATACCACAACATGCAGAAAGAGGTGGCCTTCACACAATCCTTTGTTCTCCATCCCTTAAACACTCCCACTGCCACCCCTTATGCTGTCCCCAGCTCTCCCACCTATCAGACAAATTCTAAGGACCTGAGCATGGCCCGCATGGCCCACAAGGCCCGTGTGATCAGACCTTGGTTCATTTAGCCTGTTTCCCTTCCTCCTTTCCCAACTTGTGGTGGTTCTCAACTGCCTGTAGGTCCTTGACTATCCCACATTCCCTTTGTGTCTTCCCAAATGCTACTCCTTCTGCCCAGGATGCCTTTTCTTCTTAAAGTGCCTTCAAGTCTCAGTGGAAATCATGAACTTCCTCCTCTGGATGGCTCCCCTGAATTCCCCAGGAAGATACTCCTTCCTCTGCTTGGCTTGTAACCATCCCTATTATAGCCTGACAGCTTTACACCGGAACTACACATTTCTCTGTCAGCTTCTGAAGGCCAAGGACCACGTCTGTGTTTGGCACAATTTAGAGACGGCAATGGAAAGCACACCTCCTCCTTTTGTTTATCCATTCACGAACATATCCAGAGCAGTGGCGGGAAAGACGTGGTCTTTATCAACATCCCCAAATGTGCTAGTGACACAATCTGTGCAAAACACTTAAAAACTTCATTATATTGTCTCTAGATAGCTGGGAAATGTTTTCTTTTAAATAAAGAGTAATTTTGGGCTGATTTTAAGAGTGATCATGCTTGAAATTTTGTTTCTTATAAGCATTTCTTACCTGAATGTTTATGTATGTATATGAAAATTCCTATCAAAACATTCTACCATCATGAGTCCCAGCCTGGCAGTCAGGAAGTTGTGGTGCATGAGCATTTTTCTCCATCAATAGATAAGAAGAATTTGTCAGATAGGAGTGAGAGTGGTTCTAAAACTGATATTAAAGACATTTCTTGGGCAGAAACTCTCAGTATCATAAGCTGTTAATTATACCTAATCTCAAAATCCAATATAACTTTTTTTGGGGGGATGACACTAACAATAAAGTTTCACATACTAAATGAACTTGGAAGAAGAGCCATGCTAAATGTTGGGGGAAAAGAATATTAAAACATATTATAAAGCTAGTTATTAAAGTAGCCTGGTAACAGAGAGCAAATAGATCAATAAAGGAAAACAGAGCCTAGACACACAACCAACTACACAATGGAACAAGAGGATGAGACAAAGGTGGCAGGCCAAATCGGCGGCAGGGAGGTAAGATGGAAGATCCCATAAATGGGGGTGGGTCAGCAGGCCAGCTCTTGAGGACAGTTAGCCACAGGTATGAGAGGGAGGCAGATCCTTTCCTTGGATACCAGAATTGAACATAAAAAAAGGAAAACATAAAAATTCTAGGACACACAAAAAATTAATTTTTGAAGTGTGAAAGGTATTTATGAGCAAGACTTAAGACCCAGAGGCCATAAAGAAAAACACTGGAAATACTGTGGCAAAAAATTACCAAACGTACTCATCAAAAGAGAGGGAGAAAATATTTAACAGCATTTGCTAGCAAAGGGCGAATTTTCTTAGTGTCCATGGAATTCTTTAGAAAAATATGAAAAATAAAAATTGGCAAATACACAGTTCTCAAAATAAGTCAAAATGATCAACATTAAAAGATGCTCAACTTCATGATAAATACAGTGCATATAAATGCATATACATTTTTGATCAATCATGTTGACAAAGATGAAAAAGTATAATATAGTGTTGGCAAGGGTGTGGGGAAATGGATATTTTCATACACTGTTGGTGGGGGTCCAAATTCATACAGCCTTTCGAGGAGGCAATTTGACAGCATCTTTCATAATCCAAACTGTAAACACCCTTTGACTTAGTAAGTTATGTAACATATCTTACAGGTATATTTTCACAATAAGAATACCCCCCCCAAGGCTGTAGCAATGTCTGTGATAGAAACAAACAAAAAAATTGCAATAACCACTGAATGCCACCATAACATGGGGTACATTCATCAAGTAGAATGCAATGCAGCCATTAATAAGGATGAAGTAGCTATGAGTTGACAGAGATCAAGATAGTGTAAGTAAAAAAGCAAGATGCAGGGTAGTATATACAATATGATCCCATTTATTTAAAAAATAAAGATTACATATTTGTTTATATATGCATAAAAATTTTCTGAAAATTACATATGAAATTTACTAGATTACCTTTGGAGAATAGTATTGGGGCTTAAGATGTGAAGAGGGAGACTTCATTTTCATTTTACAGCCTTATATACTGTTTTAAATTTTTTACCATGTGTACTTCAAAATATAAAATTGAGGAGGGATCTTGCTACTCAAAAATTATGAAGCATTCTTTCAGATACATTTCTCTAGGATTGAAATTTGATTTTTTTCAAGGCAAACTGACTTGAAGTACTTGATGTTTTTCCAAATGTATTTCTAATACTTATTAGTAGGGTCACACCCATTGACAGGATTTTTTAGAATATCACATATTGTTGCATTTTTAAAGATGACAAACTTTTATTTAAATGGGATGCTCGCTAGAGAGATTTTCTTTTTCAAACTGAACTTCTTAAGTTATGGAAATAGTATGGTCACTAAAGAAAATTGGAAAAACATGAGGGTGCAAAAAAATTCACTAAAGCCACACATAACCACTCTAACCACTATAATGTTTTGGTGTGTTTTCTTCTTTCTTTACATATATATTAATACCTAGTACTATATATATAGAAAATGTGTTTACAAAGCTGAGGACACCCTCTATAGCTCTGGATCCTGCTTCTTTTCTCCCAACAGGTAACAGGTGCTCAATAAACATATGGTAAATTGAGTTGCTAATCAGTGTACCATTCATTTCTCCTTATCAAAAATTAATTATGTCTGCAGAGGAAATTCAGTTGGTTTCCAGTTCTTGAGTAAAATAAATAATACTTAATAAGTATGTTTATTCCTAAACACTGTCTGCATTTGTGATCATTCTTTAGAACAAGTTATTGGATCAAAGAATATGAAATATTTAAAGTTTCTGATGAATATTTTTCAGAAAGATTACACTGGTTTTCATGCCTACCAACAGCATAGCCTGTTTCCTTGCCAAAAATGACTACCATTTTTTAAAGTCACTGCTATTTCATAAGTGAAAAAGTTTGCTCTGAGAAAATTTCTTCCTCCCATTACAAAATAAAGTCAGAGTCTTTCCATATGTTTGCTCAAGAGTGCTACCTTCCAATCTAAAACAGAGGAACTATTTTCAGACATTGTTAGTTTAGTCATCTTCACTACCAAAAACATTACAGATAAAGTAGCATGTAAGTCAGCTTCAGAATCTCCTTCAAATTCTTAAGAATAACCAAATAAATAAAGGCATGTCTTCTCTACTTCTTGTCCTACAGGTACTTTAGGTCCTTGAAGTGTGATTATTGAGGACAAAGCTTCAGTATAAAAATGAGAGAGAAAACTAGGTTGTAGATTAACAGCTGTTTTGTACCTGATGAAAACAAAGACCTTAACAAACCACAAGTTTATGCAAAGTGATGCCTCACTGAGTTAGGAGAGACAGTGACATGGCATCAGTATATGTCAGAAAATTTATTTCTTCAGTGATATTAAGGTAAGGTGGCCCAGCTACGTTCCTGGCATAGCTCCAGGGCAGTACTGGGGGAAAAATAAAATCAGAGATACATGACCTCACCAGAGCCCTGTGCAACAAAAAGATCCTAGGATAACAAAACTTAAAGCAAAAATAAGATCATTCGATTTTTGAAAAATATTTTTTATTCAGTGTTTAAGATTAAAAACAAGATTTTGTTTGCAGCTGATGAGCAAAAAGAAAAGTTAAACATAAATTATCATCTGATTGGCTAGTTAAAATGCTCTGACTCAGAGTCAAATTACTCAGTGACATACCAGTTACTTTGTGTGGGCTTAAGAGTCTTCGAGCAAAATAGCTCTAAACAAAATGTGTAATCTGAGAGCACAGAGCTAATGAGTATACGAAATACTAACTAAGAAGCGTATGGAGGCAGCCTGTGGCAAGCCTTTTGATTCTTCTAGGCTTCTAGCAGTGGTTACCATATGCAAGGACCAAGCAGCCAGTTATCTTATGTTTTGACTTTTCTGAGTTAAACAACTTTAACCCACACCCACTAAGCAGGAATAAAGAGACACTTTATAAATCAGTTGGAAAACATAAAGCAGTCCCACTTTTCCAGTAGAATTTTAGTTGAATTAAATCATAAGAGAAACAATGATTATTGCACATATTGTACTTGTCGCACTACATCTGTTGAGTAGAATTTCCATTCCAAGTGTTGTTTTCATCTTCACCATCATCTTGAGTCCTCAATCTATATATCTTCCCCTCCTTTTTAAAGTCTTCCCCGCGTTTTTCCAGAACTCTTTTTCTGACTGGTTCTCTAATGTAACAAAAGAAGAAAAGGGAAAATGACATAAAATAAAAACAATAGCAATACAAAGCTATTTCCTTCCAACTTCCATTAGTATAGGCAACTATACATAACTTTTAACGTCATCTAAGGTAAGAAAAGTCCACAGGAGATAATTATATCTAATACTATTATATCTAATACTATATTAATATTATATCTAATACTATTATACTAATGCAATATTAAACTTTATTAGTCTTTGGTAGTTTAACTTCATCTGTTCTCTAAGCCAAACCAGCCAAATCACATTTTCCATTTCCATGTGTTTCCTGATGACTTAACTAGCAGGAGCATTTGCACAGCACCCTAGAGGTTATCCAAAGCTCTAGTTACAACTTAATTGACAGATGTGGCTAATTAGCAATTTTTTTTCTTCTTTTTTTCATTTTCTGTTGCTATAACAAAATTAGCAATTTTTAATCCTCTCAAAATCTTTAATAATGACTTATTTATAAACAATTAAGAACAAAGAGGACGGCTGGGTACGTTGGCTCACGGCTGTAACCCTAACACTCTGGGAGACCAAGGCAGGAGGATCTCTTGAGCTCAGGAGTTCTAGACCAGCCTGAGCAAGATGAAACCCCAACTCTACTAAAAATAGAAAAAATTAGCTGGGCATGGTGGTGCATGCCTATAGTTTCAGATACGGGGATGGGGAGGCAGCTGAGGCAGGAGGATTGTTTAAGCCTAGG